TTCCGCAGCCTATCGCAGGAAACTCAAAAATGATGAATTCGTTTTTACATTTATTAAATAATAAAAGAGAGCTCATGGAATTTTATTAAATTGGCAAATAACGCTAATTCGAATGATAACGATGCATCCATCTTGGCCAATAAAACAGCTAGTAACTTCCCACGCAAATTATAACTACCGTTTGTAGTTATTTTATATTACTCAAATGCAATTAAGCCATTATGAATTTTGACTATTTGTAAGCTAAACAGTTGTAGTTTTTTAAGCCACAAAAGGATTTCCGTCAAAATAACGGAACTTTGCAAATCGCCTGTAATTTTTTTACAGCGGTTATTGTTGTTTTCCCCATGAGAGGTCAAATATTTCATTGTCTATAAACTTTTGGCATAAAACATATTTATCACTTGACACTTGGTTTAACCTTAGAAATAGGATAACTGTAGCCTTCAGATAATGTCCTCGGGTCAATAAAAAATATGACGCTAGCTTCTTTATGACCTAACATATTTAGAAAACAGTCGATTCAAACGGTATTAAAAATTAAAATCATTTAGTTTTTTGATCATTTAGAAAACTTGATATTACATCGAGTTTAATCGACCGTAGGATAGCAAAACAATTTTTTCTTTAGTAAGTTTATTTATTTGTGACTTTTTTAATCGAGACAATTTTTTATGACGAACTTCTGGGACTGCATATCACCAGATAGGAGAACTAAAGATCTATATGGACAAAGTTGGTCAACAATAATCCGTAACTATGTAGTTACAAGTTTGGTAAATATAATGGTGTTAAGTAACTTAGTTATCCGCTTAATACGCAAGTTTGCACATTCTAGACAATCCCGACTTTGTCAATAGTTGAACTGGAGTGTATCATTTCTGAAATATTAATTTTTGTCCTTAACTCTATGTAAAATTACACAATCGATTAGTTGATCACATCGGCATCTTTGCCTTAAGATAACGACACTTTCGTAACAGAACAATCATTTTTTTTCCTCTGGATACCGAAAAGGTAATTAACGAGGGCAAAGTAAAACTGACCCCGTATTGTATGGGGTCGTTGGTTCACCGCTAAGAGAAGGGTCGACTTTAATAAAAGTGTTATGAGAAAACTTGGCCGCTAATGAGAAGAACTGATGCACATCAAAACCTCACTGCGGACCTTTTATTAGTTCACAAAAGTTATAACTTCTTTCAAACCTTTTTTTTATATTGTATGATTTTGTCGCTAAATTATATTTTTATTTAATTATTGTTTACAGAATAAATGATATCTTCTTAATTTTGTCATCAATTATAATTTCGGAAAATTAAATAAAATATCTCTTATCACTAATGCCAAGGACTAGTTAACTTGTGTAAAGATGCGATGACAAAAAAAAGTTGTTACCTCCACTTAAGACATCTACTTTGTAAATGTAATGATAAATATGTATTATAAAAAAAATTTAATATAAGTTTAAACAAAAAAGTAATTTTTCCTACTATTGTAACTAGTAACTCTTAAAAATTGAATATAATTACTTTTTTCTCTCCAAATAAAAGTAGTTCCTACCCACTCCTTATTACCAAACCCTAAAATCCTGACTAACCGACCGCTGCTTCAGAGTGAGGTACAGAAAGGAATTTTTGGAAACCAGACCTCTATAACGAAGCGTTCTATGTCCCATCCTTTATGCAGTTTATACTGATAACAAACCGACAACATCATCCTTACAATCTACGGACAAGATTGTAATTTTTTAGGCCAATACTGAAAAAGTAAGGCCAAAAAAAAATTGTAATTTTATTTCCTAACTCCAATCCCACCCAAGCCTCATCTAATATCCAGGAGCAACTTGAGCTCATTGAAGAATGGTGCAAAACGTTGAAGAATGAGCAGTATAAATGCGCCCGAATTAGGTACACGTCTAACAAACAACCTTACCCACGTCTATACGTTAACGGTAAAGAATTTCCGACATCTACACAAGTAAAATACTTATGGCCAGTAGAGTGACATGGAAATTTGGATTTGGACAACTACGAAGACTTATAGAACCGAAATCATACATGACGGGAAAAAACAAACGAACTGTGTACAAAACATTAGACAGACAGAGTGGGACTGTGTGGTACTACCAAGTAAGCAATTTAACATCCAATGAATCCACGCGTTCCAATCAAAAGTCATCAGACGAATTCTCCGAACTCCTTATTATGTCTCCAGCCTCACCATCTACAATGGCCTTAACATTATCTTCGTCAAAAATTTGATCCGTCCCTCTTCTTCAGGTTTCATTCCAATTTTTCAACCCATCCTAATCCTACTGCTCAAGCCCTCCCACCTCTTACCAACCCAAAAACCGTCCAACTCGCCTCAAACGACGATGGCCTCGTGATCTCTTCGCCTTCGAAAACTAAGTGCCAGAACTGGCTGGCTTCTTATAAGAAGCAAACAAGTCCTCCGGGTGCAGAACGTAGTGTTAGTGTTTTTCCCTGGATCTTATACCCTTAAGAACAATGTGTACATGATATAAATTAATATTTTTTCAAAAAATATTTTTGTAAATTGAAACAAAATGCTCAGCGCGTTTTCCTTTTTATTTTCCTCTTCTTTGCTAGTTTTCTAATTTCCTGTATGTTTCTTGTTTTTTTTAATGTTTGGTTGTCGGGTTGAAATATTAATTTACAAAGCAACTGCGTAAAATAAAACAATCACTAGGTCATTTCTAAAGTTTCCCCTTAATTGTCTTATAGGTAGAAACAAGAAGAAAAACAGCAATTTCTCAAATCGAAACTAATACCAAAGATCGGAGTTAACGTCGAAATTGATATGAACAATCAATCTTTCGGGATGATGAAGGAATCTGTCAGCTTTTATGGAATGCCAGTGCCTGCGTTTAACACAGATCACATCTCACATTAGATCCCACCATTCAGAGAAGGCATTATCGTCATTACTAAAAATGCGATTTCTCTCTATCAGGCAAATCACCCGTCAAAACGCTTCCATGTTTTGAAAGTACAATTTCCTTTCTTTTCCCGCTGTTTTTCTTTCTTATTCCCTGAGATCTTTTTTCGTCAAATTATTTCGTTTTATTATTAACGATATACATTTAAATAAGAGGGGTGAGAAAATATAACTTTTCATGCAGATAAGTCCAAGTAATCAGTAATATTTATATAGTTATATCTAAATTCTATACATGCATAGTTTACAGATATAAATGTAACATAAATAGATGTAAGGGGCACGGCAAACATTTTTAATTTTAAGAAAACACATTTGTCAACTATAGTAAAGCTCTCAGCCATCGTTCGACCGGATAATTTTGAATATGTAGTTCCTTCTGACCTGACTTGACAAAAATAATCAATTAAAAAATAATAAATTACGTAGAACGTATTTGTGGTTTATGACAGAAACGAGGTACGATCTCGAAAATTAATACGTAGAAAAATCATGTCTCATAAAGTTTGTCGGCTCTAAACATTTAATAAGGAAATGACCGATGCGTGGCCTTGAGGGACGGTAGCAGATCTTGATCCAATATCTCAGGGCAACACATATTTTTAATTGTATATAGATTTTTGTACTTTCATGTATGTAATGTGTGTTATTAATTTGAACGAATGTAATTATTTATGTGAATGGAGGGGTCTTTTCCCAATCACCCCAGGCGTACTCTGGGGTAGTGGGAATGAATGTGTGAATGGAGGCTCTTCTCCCCAATTACCCTAAAGAACATTACAATGGGGTGGTGTGAATGAATTGTGGTGTGAGCAGGTAATTTATTAGCGTGAATGGCAGGGCTTATCCCCAATTACCCCGAAGAATATCGAGTACTCTGAAGTTGTGTGAAAGCTAACCAGTGTACCCTGTTTTTATCTTGTCCCTGTGTATTATTGTTTATTAGTCGTGTTATTTTATCCACAATTGACGAAGCCCTCAAGTGCAGAGAAGCTAGCATTAGGATAAAGAAAGGAGAGAGTAGCAGCGCAAGGAAAAGATAAGACCAGAAATGGAACGCTAAAAAGGAAAGGGCTGGCGATGTCCAATGCACTTTGCCAATTCTTAAAAAATAGCATAAAACTATGAGATGTTATTTTTTTATATGTAGACGACTCTTATGCATAATTATGTTATTATAAATAAATCGACCTTTTAGCATACCAGCTCCATTTAAAAAAAAAATGTTGTTTGGTAGGAAGGATCTTGGTGTATAGTACATGTAACATATGGCTTTGAACGACTCTTTATCGCTTCAAAATCAAATCAAGAAAGGAATGAATTCTAAGTTTCTAGTAAATAAACAAATTAAAGTACAAATCAAACATTTACCTATTTTAAATCATGGTATTTACATAATTAATGATATTAACGGTATAATTTCCCAGAGAGAGTTCAAATCAGAGAAGAGAAGAAAGTCGTTAATAAAACATAATTATACAAATATTTTAATTGCATAATTTAAAACAAATGCATAAATAACTAGTCATTTCACAGTTTCTAGGTACAACCGTATTTGAAAGCACAACATTGGAAGGTCTGAAAAATTTAACAGTCGACCGGTTCATTTACCTTGGAACTTGGAGAAATAAAACATATAATTTGATGTTTTGTGGGTGATGAACATGTAGTTTGCTAGTTTCTTATCATTTCAATATATCTTAGCTGTTCTTGTCTGGTGCTAAAACAATATAGAATATATATAGACAAACCAGAAAGATCAAAAGCGACCAAACTAATTCACCAGGTTTAACAAGTGATACACTTGCTACCGACATGTTTTAATTTTATACAATTGATTGAAACAAGCAGTATTTGTTTGTCTTTTTTAGTTTCAAATGTATTGCAATATCAGTATACTTTATGTTGAACTTTGCTGGGTCTACATTCTTGCTCTCTCATTTTCCACTTCAGAAAGCGATCATTGTTGACCAGTTTAGCATAGGTTCATCCTCTCGGAGAACTATCAACATCAATAAAATTTATTCTCTATGCGTTTTCAGAAAAATGGGTCACGGAGAGTCCAATGCCGTTGAGTTCCGCACCGGCACCACCACTGACTCGGGAGACGCCGACCGTGCCAGCGACAAACTTCACAGCAAAGGAGTCGGCAGGGGTCGGCAACGGGACTACTCACCATCCTGGGAACGCAACCCGTAAATCAACGACGATCGACGACACGGACGAGTATTACTCCGCTTATCCGGATTATCCCGATCCCATTAACTCATCGGGTGAGAGAAATGTTTCTATTTGTGTGTGTGCGCGCGCGCGTATGTGTGACTGTGCGAGCGCTTCCCAACCTCGTGTTTTAGTTTTTGTCCAGAACTTTAAAGAACCGTCTGAAACGCCCTTAAGGCTTACAGAATATATCACTCTCATTCCATTAAGTTTTCCGATGCTTTTAACCATATTTTTTTCAAGCCCTAAATATACCAAACTCCTGAACGTTTTTATCTAAAAATACTTAAAAATTAAAGCCTTATGGTTAATAATAAACAGATTTGTGTATACGCTTAAATAATGTCTGATTAAATGTTGTTCGTTTGAATAATTAATTTAATTTATTTTCGTTTCGTGAATGTTAACTCCCGCAGCATATATGTCATTATTTTACAGTTCTGGCTTCTATCTTAAAAGTTTTTATATATTGTTTTAAATAACCTGGAAATTTTTAAGATAAGTGATTATTTTTTTTGTGTTTGTTTAACAAAAACATTGCCATGTAGGTTTTTTTTAAAGCAAATTCGTTACTTGTTTAAATATTTATTGTGCCTTTCAGAAATTTACACCCATCTTCAGTATCTACAGTTTTAACAGATATAAGTATAACAAAGGACATTAGCATTTTACTACATTTTATCTTTTTAAAAATTACTAAATCTTTTCATTATATAGTTGCTTTTAAAAATTTTAAATTCAACTATTTTTAAAAAGGTAAGCCTTATAAGTTATAACAAAATGTAAAATACTAATGTCCTTTGTTATACTTATGTATTTAAAAAAATATAGATGCTGATGTTGGGTGTGAATTCTCGATACGTCCAAATAAAAGTTTAAATAAGTAACGAATTTGTTTTTAATCACATGGAATTTTTGTTGTTTTAAACAAAAAGAAGAAAATATTTTTTATTTGACAATACTTTTTTTATTCAAATGTGTAACGCCAAAAAGATTTTGGTACAATTCTAGAACAGAAATCCTGAAAACGATTTATATGTTTATTTACAATCTAGAGAGGCAAAAATCACCAAAACCACCACAAAAAAATAAATTCAGAAAATAAGCATAATAAATACTTTACTTTTTGCCCAAAGATAATATGTTTTTGTAATGTATTTCAAGGAAAAAACATTCATTATTTATTTTAAGAGAAAATAATAAAACATAAAATAATAATATTTGTGATTCATTGCCTGGTAATATAAGTAGGTCCTGCATTCAGAAGTTTTTTTTATTTATTAAATTTTTATTGCATTCATTTTTTAATAGGTTTTTAAAGGTTGATAATAAACGTTTTTGTTGATAGTTTCCCTTCGATTTATGAAATAAAAAAATGATCTGCTACGTTTGAGAAATATGTTAACATTTTTGTGCAGTAAGAATAATTTATTAAAACGATTGGCGGATGCCGCAAACAAATAAAACAATTAATTGAAAAATGTTAATTGGTCAATCGGACCACGAACTGTAATGGAAATAAAACAATTTTAAATGCACAAAAAATTGTAATTTGGACCAACGTTTCCGGCCTTTATGGACCCTTTTTCAGGACGTTTTTTCCCTTGAAAATAAGCCCCTAAAGAACCAAAACGTTGGTCCAAATTACAATTTTTTGAGCATTTAAAATTTGTGTTTGAATAAAACTACTTTTAGTTCCAGCACTAAAAGAAGTTTTATTCAAACACAGATTGTCTATTATGGAGTTTCATAGCTTGGACTGTACTACTTTAGACAAAACATTTAAAATTGTTTTAAACAACCAGCAATCGCTCGTTTGTTTATAGCCCCAGCGATTAACATTGGATAAATTAAAAATTAAATCCAATCCGCTGGTTGAGTATAATTTATACACAGTTGTTGATATAAATAAATGAGGTCAGGAAAGAAAATAGTTGTAAAGAAATCAAGAATCATATTCATTCAGCTTTTAAATTTGTAAAACAGTAGTTGAAAACAGTCAAATGTTATTTTACACGTATACACGGCCAGGCGACATGGCCGTTTAAAAATTACGAAAGACATTGACATGACAACTTATCGACATTGTTTTAACATTTCTCCTATCTGTTCACCAACTTTATACAGCAGCAATTCCGTCCATCCTTTTAAGAACGGTGTTGTTTTGTACGTCTGTTATTTAGAATTCGGCGTGTTGTGTTGTTCAGCTAATTTCCCTTAAACAGATTTTTTCACAAGTTCATTAGTTTGTTTTATTTTCTTAAACGTAATAGTTGAAACCAATAAGTTTATTTATTAGGACAATATGTGTATAATAATATTTAATTCCGTATCGAACTGAAATCCAGTGATAAATCAGAAACACGCGGTTTGCCTTGTTTATCTTTTTCCCAAGGAGACGTGGGGTGACAGTGTCTCTTGGGGGTGGTTAAGGAAACCAGTGTCAGCCCTTTCCTCAGTTTCTCTCCCATTCTTGCCACAATAACCCTTCCTAGGCAGGATTTATTTGAATCTGGTCCCTTAGGTCGCCGAAGTATTCCTAGGCCGGTTCTACCGCAGGTAACCAGAAACATGATTAATAAAACCACGGTTACCGACCAAATGTTAACCTAAGAATTTAATTAAATTGTTAATAATTTCTTTTTACCGTGTTATGAATTTTGGAAATTTATCAAATACTCTGATAAGTATCGTTTCATTGACTCCATCCATCCCTGTTGTCTTTTTTGGAAGAAATTTTTTTACAGCTCTTCTGACTACCCCAAAAAATGCCGTTCTAAATAATATCTAATTTTATTCTTTCCTCGTCCTCTGGAAATAATTTGTTCATTGTGGTTGTGATGGAGTGAGTGTATGATTAAACAAATTCATTGTGAAATTTCATCATAGGGTCTGCGGGATGATGAACTTTTGTTTTTGTCACTTTTGTCGTTGATCATTTTGGCCTGACTATCTGGCCTGACAGCCCAAAACAATGAGGCAGACCAAGATGATAAAAAACCTACAAACAAGCCTTATGTTTCTCTAAAAAAGATTAGAATTATTTCTTATGCAGATAATTGTTGCAGGAAGCGTGCTTCCTGAGCCTGAAGTCAGCCCTCTGGAAAGCGAAGAACCAGTTCCGTTGCCAGACGACAGCCTCGCGGACACCGACCTCCACGACCATGACCTCATTGACAGCGTCATGTACATTTATTTTGGGGGTTCGAATAGAGACCGCGGCCCAGCAGGAAGACAGGTGACAGTCAATGTTTCCACTTCTACATCAACCGCTACTGCTCAGCCCCACAACGTTCAGGTCTCAGATTTAAAAAAATAAACCTGAATCTCCTAAATGCTTTCGCAAGGCCCCTTTATCAAGTATCATTTGCATTTCGTAAAATGACAGTTTTTTTTGTTTTTGTTTTTTTATCTAGGTCCTTATAGTCGGAGCGGTAATGGCGCTGGTCGCTCAGTTCCTGACTCTTGCAGGTGCCTTCAAAAGGCTCAAGACTGAAGACTCTGCTTTAGTCATCCTTCTAAATACAGAGCTAGCTCTCACGTGCAGCAATCTGCTCTTTATGCTCGGTGTGCAAGTAAGGCATTAATTATAAACAAAAAATAATTTTATTACTTTAAGTCATATCCAAACGGCGAAGTTTTGCTCTAAAGTTGTTCAATTCAAAAATGTATAAAACCTCCGAATCTGGTAATTTTTACTTTACTTTCTTATTTAATACATAAAAGATTAAATTTTCTAGCTCTGTAACTAATTTTCCCTGCCAAGACATTTTGTATTCAAAACAGTTTTAAAATGCGCATTTTAAATTGTTTTCCTGACTATCATCACAAAATCAAATTTACATTTCAATTGTAAGATTTCCTCTCTTGGGATCTACAAGGTGATGATCCTCGTAGTTTTAGTCACATGCACTTTTCAACATTTCGCCATCAACAGTGATCGAAAACGACCAAGCTGGTTGATTTTCACTTGTTGTAATTAAAATTCTTCATCGAAATCGTAGTATTTTATTGTATTATATAAATATAAATATTATGCAATATTAGTTGGGTAAGGCTAAATAAATTACATTGGGGCTTCTCACAGTGTGGTCCGCTGCGAATATCAATAAAAATTAATAATTACAAAAGCAAACGTAGAATAAATAAATCAAATTAAAAAATTAAAAAACATGAGTACTGAAAACGAAAGTTGTTTTATTTTTATTTATTCATTCTACGTTTATTTTTGCGCACGTAAGCAAAATAGACGTAGGTAATTGTGACGGACGGGAGTAGGCTGGTCGGTTGATCGGTTTCCTAGGAATTTTATTGTTTTTTTACTTGGGTTCGCAACAGCAGAGGTCATATAAATCCTCAGGGTGCCGGTGTTTTTGAAAAAAAGCTCATTTGTAAGTATGTATTCGAATGCAGGGCCGTTCAATTCGAACCCGGGACCTTTACCTTACAGTGATGAGCGCCGTATCAACGCTTAAACCGTTGCGACCACCGACGCCCCTAATTTTATTGTTGGTACTAGAGTCCTTTATTACCGGGGGAACTCCTGCTTTTGGAACACCCTGGATTTTTTCCAATATTGTATATAAAAAGCCGTTGTTTCTCGAAAATGTCATTTAAGCTCAAACTTCTCTCACGAGGGTACTACCCACTTGTGCCATTCTCATTGATCAGTTATTTACTCCAATTTGGATCGGTGGTTGAAATTAGGATCTCTGAGGAAGCATGTAGTTTCTCCATCACGTACACAGCCAGGAAAGAGCCGAATTGGAATATATAAGGCGAAAGGACGACCATAAGATGAGAACATTACTGACGATAAGCCAAATGAAAAGCAGTCTTCACATGAAGCATCTCTGCAGGATCCAGCACGCTCAAATTCTCTCAAGTCTCCGAATAGGTTCAGGTCAAACAGTCCGTAGAAGCGGAATATATAAAAAGCGTAAGTACTTAGATTTGGAATTTATAGAGGTTGACAAGGGTAAAGCTCAGTGTGTGATTTGCGCAAAAGTTCTTCCAAACAGTTCACTGGTTCCAGTTAAATTGCGTCGACATTTTGAGGGTACACACCCTGAACGCCGGGAGAAACAGACTGATTTTTTCATGAGGAGGCGCGCTGAACTGGCTGTCTCTTCAAACTTTCATGAAAACTCATGCAAAAACTGTTAATGAAAACTCACTAAAAGCGTTTTACTTGACAATTTATCGAGTGGCACAGGCGGGTAAAGATCATATCATTACTGAAAAAAGCAGTAAAACTTATAATTCGGTGCCAATATCGAACAGTAGTGTTAAAAGACGGATACTTAATTTTTCAAATGATGTTAAGAAATCGCTGGTTTCTCGCATCCAACAAAATTCATTTTCTGTCCAAATCGACGAATCTACTGACACAGTTGATACTAAAGCCGGTCTGGCCCAATGACTGGTCGAAGGATCGGAGTGATTACTAAAATAAAAGACGAATCAAAAGATTGCAGTAGCAGTCATTGTGTTCTCCACAGGTTTTACCTACCTATTGATTCCTTTCCGACCAATTTGATTTTTGTTTTCCGGATTTTGTAAATAAAATTAAGTACGTCAATCTAATGTCTGTTTTCATAGTGATACCCCTCCATCATCTAATTAGGAATGGACTGGCTAATTTAAAAAACTTTAATTTGCTATATACTACTACTGCAAATATCTAATTTTAAATACTCGAATGAGATGGGCTCCGCCATCGATTTGGTTCTGTGTAAGGGGTCTGCTGTATAAAAAGTTTGTGAAGCCCTGAATAAATTAATCTTAGACACAATTGATTCTAATTGCCAATTCTATAAAAAGTCACTTGCAAAACAGGACTGTCGTAATGTTGCGATACATGCAATGTGGTACAATTTTATTTTTTCGATGTTTATTTTTAAGGCGACGAGTGACAAATGGACATGCGAGATGATTGCAATCGCCCTGCACTACCTCCACCTTGTCACCGCCTCTTGGTTTTGCGCCAACTGCTTCCACAGCTACTGGAAATTGTCCCGGCCAGCTCACAAGCCGAGGATTTTATTCTACACGCTCGCCTCATGGCTTTTTCCAGCACTTGTAGTATATGTAAGTACAAAATACATAACATTTCTTCGTTTTGTAACTGAAATTTTGAGTAACAGTTGTACACATTGTAAAAGACAAAATTATGTATCATCACAAATATACTAATGATAATAATAATGACATCTTAAGCACTAGGGAACTAATTTTTGTTAACATAATTATTGTTAAGATAATTAATTATTTTGTAAAAAATATAATTCGGAAGTTCTTCAAACTTAGTGGGAACGCCAAGGTTTTTATCACGAATTTCCGTGAATTAAATAGGCCTTGAAAGTTTTTTCCTTTTGCGTTAATACTAAAAGGGGAAACTTTGTACAACTTTCTCGTTAATATCTGATAAATTTTAAGCGCTCTTTTGTCCCTGTTGCAAATCATCCTCTCCACAACGTCACTGTTATACTACCACTAAGTACCATAATGGTCATAAGCATTGCTGAAGTCAAATTGAAATATTTTACAATTATATTTGAGTGCTCACGTGCAACATACATACTGGGGTCCTTGTTAGATGGCCCGGCTGAATTTCTCTTGAACGCTCAAAAATTCGAAAAATACGTCAATTTTATTTTTGTAACATTTCGGAGAGAGGAATTAGGATTTTCGCGAACATACAGTAAAATATTAGCTACTCGTCGATATTACGCTGCCGGTTTCTTGGTGATGAAACAATAACTGATCTCCTCATATTGCGAGCAACACGAATAAACGTTTGGGGCGACCAGGAAATTTCTGCGAGTACAATTCGATTGCACGACGTTCAATACCACCACTGTCAATACAGCAGTCGTGTATATCAACTCGCTGTTGATCGGGAAAATGTGTTCTTCGGTTCATTTTGAATGTAATGCTGAATGTAACGAATAAGTACTATGGTAAAATTTATTTACTTCCAGGAATTAAGATTTGCTCTCATAATGCGAGTTTGACAAACAATGACAGAATGTAAAGAACAAAGACAATTAGTGTTTACTTTAGGGAAGAAGATTGATATTGAAATTAACAACGAAACAAACGAAATGCATTTTTTTCTTCAAATTTTTGCAATAACTTGTCATGTCTTAACTTATTTAAAATCGACTTGCTCCATTGGTTTCAGCGTATCAAATTCTTTAAAATGATTAGTCAGGATGTATTTTAAATTTTGAAGTTGAACTGGACTTTGTATACATATACATGTTTATATATTGATAGTCTGAAATTTATTCAAATTTATAATTGTAAACACATAGTGCAGATAACACATACATTTTTCTTTATTTTATCACTGCATACATAATGCAGCATGCAAAACATATTTACAAGGATATACATGTACACACTCATACACAATACTGTATACACATTTACATGTCTGTGATTGATTTGAACCGCCACCAACCAGTAAAAGTGGCCGTAATTGTTCATTATGGCGTGAAATCAATAGCCCCTAAGGTGTCTAACTTGTTTTTTTTTAATTATTATAATTATTATTAGTCTGTTCTAGCCGATTAAGGCATAGAGAGGAAGTTGATTTAATACAACATATGTAAATAAAGCAAACATAAAATAATACATACAAATAAGAGTAACATTAAATTGAAATTTTATTAAATGTGTATATTTAAGTAATAAAGTAGCAAAAAAATATAGCAGCAAATTAAATTAAATTTAAATTGTGAGGAGATTCTTTAATCTGAAATTTTCTATGTATTGGGTTGTCCGGAAAATAATGCAGGATTTTGGTATTAAACAAAAAAAAAGAAACTAGTTACTTTAAAGCAATGTTCTTTAATCAAAATAATTTCCCATACTCTCAATACATTTCTCCCAACGTGTTGGTAACTTATTAATTCCGTCTGAGTAGAATTCAGAATTTTTAGAATTGATAAAGTCAATAAATGCATTTTCCAGTTCCGTTTGATTTTTGAATATTATGTGTTGTAAGTAGTGGTCCAGGTGTCTAAAAAAATGGTAGTCAGTAGGCGAGAGGTCCGGAGAGTAGGGTGGGTGAGGCAAAGTTTCATAGCCAAGCTCCAATAATTTTTGTGACGTTACACGTGACACATGTGGTCGAGCGTTGTCATGCAACAAAATGGGCCCTTTCCGATTGACCAAAGAGGGCTTCATTACTGCCAATTTCTGATGCATGGTATTAATTTGGTTACAGTATGATTCAGCATTGATGGTTTCGCCAGGATTTAAGAAGCTGTAGTGTATTAAACCAAATGAAGCCCACCATACCGTAACCATTACCTTTTTTTGATGAGTTGGGGGCTTTGGAAAATGTATTGGAGCTTCTCCTTTGTCGAGCCACTGTCCAGAACGTCTAGTGTTATCGTAGAGAATCCACTTTTCGTCACATGTAACAATTCTGGCCAGAAATGGGTCATTTTTGTTTCGAAAAAGAAGTGATGCACAAACATCAAAGCGCTGATTTTTTTGGCGATCGTTTAATGAGTGTGGAACCCAATTTTCGAGTTTTTTCACTTTTCCAATCGCCTTGAGGTGGTCAGCGACGGTCGTTTTACTGACTTTGAGTTGCTCTGCAAGTTCTCGAACAGTTGTTTTGGGGTTTTCTTCCACCACTGATCGCAGAACATCATCATTAAGAGAGGAAGGCCTTCCACGACCTTCTTCATCTTCAAGGCTGAAATCTCCCTCCCGAAATTTTTTAAACCACCTTTGCACAGTGCACTCATTAACACAACCCTCGCCCCAGACTTGGTTAATGTTTCTAGCCGTTTGGGCTCCGCTTCGGCCGAGTTTAAACTCGTAAAAGAAAATCGTACGAAATTCTCGCTTTGACATTATAAGGATGACTGAATTATTTCCAAGTAGCGGAATGCTACAGAGGTAAACAAACAATATCATTTGGAAGAGGATTAATAAGTGTTGACATTCATACAAATGAGTAATCCTGTAAACGTAAACAGAATATTTTATATAGATTTTTTTTAATGAAAACTTAAAATCCTGCATTATTTTCCGGACAACCCGATAGAACATATTTTTTATTTTGTTTATTTTGTTTTCCAAGTCTAGCATTATATTATGTTTTCTAAGTCTGACTGCAAGAAATATTTGGATTTAAAAGAAGTCTGGACATGGCAGTTAATGAAAAAGTGTATTAAGTCCTTTATTAGAAGCCTGAGACATAAAGTACTCATTTTATCCAAACTGAAGTAAAAAAAATTTCCTGTTAAAATAAGTACAGCTAATCTTTTGTTAGCTAACCAAAGCTATGCAATAAGTTTTAATTTGTTAATATGAATATTAATTATAAAATTGAATGGCTCTTTTAAATTGAAGTTAGATAAAGAACGATAAGTTTTGATACCCACTGTTCATGGCAGACTCTAGATGTAGATTAGAATTAATCCAATGTTCATAATTTTTCTCAAGTAATTTCAACTCGTGGGCCCAAAATATATGCCAGTAAGCAAGATAATTTCTGAGTTATCTTACCAATTGAAAGAGATTTTATTATTATCTATTAACTCGCACAAATTTACATAGCGTGGCTTGGTCAAGTGATGGTCCGGCAATCTCAAAATTGTCTGCAAACAACTTTTAACCAAACCAAGCATACTTTTAAACACTGAATTTTGAATCGCCCTTTTACTTCTAACGTGACGGGAGGGTTCCTTAGGAGATGTCAAATTAGTTTAAAAAATTTCAGCTGTCCTCTTTGAATTTCGTTACTGTTTTTAGGTTTCCAAATCTTTGAAGTGTACAGTACCACACTTTCGTATAGATTCGTACAGCATGCACTTTAAATCCCAATTATCACTTTTAGTACGCTATAGTACTTTTCCCCACAAAATATTTACCGACTTGAGAGAATTGAGTTGTAGATAAAAACGGAACAGCCAGGTAATTCATTTTTTTTTTTTTTTTTTTTTTACAAATGCAATAGAATCAGTTTTGTACATAAAACGTTTTTTAAGAGCCAGAGTGCCCAGCTGTAGTGAATATCATAGCTATTGTTTTGTGGATATTAAGAGTTAAACAGTTATTCACAAAGTTCTTCTTATGTAAATTGAACTTTTCTTGAGTTTCTTGACTTAATAACTACTAGGTTAGGTCGTCATTGAGCGATTTACCTTTTCCAGCTTTTACGCCATTTGAATTTTTAATATTATATATTTATGTACATGATCTTTCTCATTATTAGTTTTGTTAAATAGCACAATACGTATTTATCATTTGTTGGTAGCATCTCTAGATGTAGGTACAATTTTGGCACAAAAAAGTTATCAAACGGCTTGAAAGACCAACACTTACGCAACGCATACAAATCGTGCGGGTTTAGTCTATCTTACAAACAAACAATGTCTTAATAATAATAACTCATCACGAAACTTTTGCAATTACTTCCATACCTTAACATAGCAATTTATAGACTTAACTCAAATTTAATTTATGCTTATATTTTATAAATAAAAATGCGCTAAACTAAGAAAGAATACTTATGCAAATAATAAAACACTGAAGCGACACAAAATTACGCTTGCAGGGATTTCGATACAAATGTTATTATTTACTAAATTTAAAAAAGAAAAATAACTCGTTATTTCTATGTAATCACCCACTTGTGATGTCATATCGAAAGATAAGAAATAACAACCGAAAAAAAGTGACGATAATCTTACAGTAAAGAGCTGAGATTCTACCGGTTTTCTTGTCCTGCCCTAATCAAGTGCTACCAACTTTTCGTCCAAGAGAGGTAAAGTTTAAATGGTCAAAGGATACGTCGGAACGTGGTTAATTGTAACTTACGTCAAAGGTTCAAGAATCGACGACCATTGATCGCACGGCTAAAAGACATCTCAAATTCCACCTTGCAGTTGATAAACGACATTCCTATTAGCATTATTATAATTTACATACCTCCATTTTATGAGTTCCGTAAAATCATGTCATCGTATTATCTGCATTATCTGAAACGATAGGAAATTCCATTATTATAGAATTCTGTTTTTTAGGTTCACGTATCTTAGTACGGAGGAGAACTTACAAAGGAGAGGAGAGTAGGTGGTTCTAAGAACTGCATTGTAGCCGGTTGTAGGAATACTTTTGCTTTTTTTAAGAAGTTGTTGGAGGATATTAGAGTTCACGAATTCGTAAGCAGGACTTGTATTTTTAGGAAGGTTAATTATGACCTGACTGACTTCTTTGGGAATAAAAGGCTTAGGAGGGAGTGAGGGTGGAAGGAGAATGTTTAATTTTTCATTAATTTTATCACTATAGTGTTAATCCTGATGTCAGGGTGAGAAAATACTGTGGAGAGGGCACTCTCAACACGACCCGCAAGAATGGCACAATTACACAGAAGACAAACACTTTGAGCCCTGAAGATGATCTCAATAAAGATCGAAACGTTGGAACGATAAAGAAAATTTCTTTCTGAAACCTACATCACACCAGACCGCATCTCACGATATCTGAATAATAATTGACACGATTATTTCTTGGAGAATCTAGAAGAAAGTAAAAAGTTTATTTTGTTATTATTTTGTATGGAGAATTTCAACTACGAGGTTATATGAACTCTCCGGGTTCCGTTTTGGCCATTTTTAAGTACACTGGGTTCGAATGCAGGGCTAGATTCGAACCCGGGTCCTTAACCTACAGTATCATCACTGCTCTGTCAACGCCTTCGTACGGCCACCGACTCCCCTAAAGTGGAAAGTAATAACATTATTTGATAGTTTCTTAAATTACATGGAAACTGAACACTTCATATTAAAAAATAATATAGAACTTATGAGAAATTCTGATATTACAATTTTCAGTATAAAAATATTAAAGGAGAAAACTTACTATTTCGATAAAATACCTAGAATGAACATTCACGTTTATTTTACAAGAAAAAAATGTTTTAAAATATATATCATTAAAAAATTATTCATAAATGTTTACATTAATTCTAGATTTCGACAGTGGTGAACTTTCAGGGGTATGAGGCTTGCCATTACTGCTGGATGTCAGTCGAGCGGGGAATACTTATTCTATTTATGCTTCCTATCTCAGCCCTTATGATCGTAGGTATTGGCTAGCGTATTTTTGTTCCCGCGATTTAATTTCCATAAATGTTTCAGGCCAATACAATTCTCGTTGTCATTGGACTGAAGATGGCTAACAAATGGCATTTGGAATCCGAACCGGAGAGGAAGTCGTTGAGAGTGGCCGCATCCCTGCTACCCATGTTTTCCGTCGTTTGGTTCCTAAGCGTCGTCGCTCTCGACAATTCGCGATCGCTCGTCTTTCCGCTACTTTACGTCGCCAGCAACGCTTTTCTTGTGAGTATCGTGATTCTAGTTTTGGTTTCCCACTGAGTTTTGTTTGAACGGCATTGTTTTCAGAACTGGTTTGTTTTCATCTGGTGGCTGCCAGGGGAGACGGGCTCGTGGAGAGAAGGCGACGAAGAGTACGAAGACGATTTCGAGGAAGAACTTCTTTACGAAGATCAACATTGCAATACCAACAGTAGCAAAGAAGAGCTGGCCCAGCAGGAACAGTTATACCTCATAGGTCCTAGAGACAACTACGAACTACAAATGGAGCCGATATGCACTATATCTTCCTGAGCTGAAAAGAACCCGTATCGGGAGCTCGTTTGGGAAAAAACCCTTTCGAGGGGAAAAGAAGAAAGACCGGGACCCGCCCCTTCGACGAGCTCCGACGAGACTTCGACAAACGAACTCGCCCTTATTTCCAGCCTTTTGCAGGAAAGTGAAATTTATCGGAAACGAAGTTTTGTAAGATACGATGGTTAATTATTACGTGATGAGCTGGTCTCTGCTGTTTCACAAGGAAGCTCAATTCTCCTCCGACAATATACCGTCTTTTGCTCATCGAGAGTTCATAATTTTCTATTCCGCCCTTTACACTTATGATTCCTTTAGTTAAAATTAACTGTTAGTTTTCATTTATTGGACAAAATCTTTTCGGTAAACAAATAACAACTCCCATTCATTTCCGACGTCCTAAGGATATAATTAATATAACGACAGAAGGACGTCAACTGTAAATTTTGTAAATATTAGACACTCGGATACTACAAATATATATATTTTTTAAAGATACTGTTGAAGAAAAATTCATAATAATAATAAATTAATTACTAAAATAAAAATGACAATATATTTAAAAATTAAAATCTATGAATCCTTTCATGTCGCCTTCATTAAAAAAAAAATAATAAAATGAGAGGTTTCTATAGCAATTTTTACCTCGTAGTTTTGAGAAACAATTCTCACTGAAAATATTTTTGAAAATTACACTACTAAAATTAATTAAAAATTCTAAACTGTTAAAAAACGCTAATGTGGATTAATAATTTTTGATTAATTAATCCATGAATTAATTACTTGATTCTCACGACAGACGTCAATGTATATTTAACAGCTCAATATTTCAGTGCACTTGTTCTCGAAACTTGAAGTGCTTTTTCCAACGACTGTAAAACGATTGCTTATTTATTCTGGGAAACTAGCTCTAAAACATTTCCTTTATATTATAAGTAGAAAGTATAAGATCATATTTAAAATTTCATACAGATAAATTTTGTGCTCATGAATGATGTTCGTAGGAAAGTATAATAGAGGAAAACTTACGCAAATTTCCAAACGTCATTTTTCAGTTGTCGAAAAAGTTAGTAAAATTGAGAAAACAATTAACACAATCGTAGGCAAACCTGCTGAATAAACGAATACATACACACACATAAAATTAAACGGAGTAAGACCAAATCCTTATAACCTTTACAGGCCTTATTAAAAAAAATTGATGTCTAAATGATCATTTGCATTAATGATATTAAATGTTTTCTATTTTAGCTCTATTATACTATTTTAATTAGTTAAAAAGAGAATGTTTTGAATGTTTAAAATGCGTTTAGATTTTTTTTTCATGTAACTATCGAAATTTGTAGTTGGTAATTAATTAAGACCAAGCGCCGATACGAATTTATTAAATCCACAATTTGGCGTATACATGCCACACCAACTAAAAGAAAACAATGTTTCAAAATTGTTTTAATGATAATTCTTTTTGAATATGTTTGTACTCAATGTTAATAATCTCTTTTTTTGTAAAAATCCAGCCTCCATGGTTGAATGATCGCCTTCTTATCTTTTATTTCGTCATTGTAGTCTTAAATAATAATTTTGATGGAAATATTCTTTTTTGTAGTAGTTTGTTACAAAGCGAGTTACAAATCGTGTTGTACATAAGAGATGAAAACCAAATTAATTAATCGTAGTTCTTGATTGTTTTTATTTATCAGCGTAAACCAATATAAAATTAATCAATGTTAATTAAAATTTTTAAAAAAACAGTATCAATGTCAGTTTTTTTTAATTCATTAAAACACCGTATTGAACATGAAAATCAAACTTTGGGCTTCATTCATTTATAATAATTGATGTGAAATATTTTTTTTAAATTCTTGATTTTCAATTTAATGTGCACTATTAAATTATAAATAACACTTTTTTATATATTTATCGAATGTCAATTTTTCCTATTTAATAAATATGACAATCGTTTGGTTTTCTAAATGTTACAAAGACCCGTCGTACTGTGTGATGAAATATTTTCTAAAACTTAGCTTAGGTAAGTATAAATGTTATTTTATTGGTATAATTGTCCAGATCCTGCTGTACTCATTTAATAAATTAATTGTTCCGTAATTCTAAATAAAAAAGAGACGATAAACGCAAATGGCTTTGAACATTAATTTAATACCTACACTAAAACTAATGCATGTCAACTAATAAAAATAATAGATAATTTCACTTAAAAACTTACTACTTCTAATGTTTAATTCGAAGTTTGTAAATAATCTTTAGGTATGCATTGTTTTTATAGCGTTTTACTTAAATAATAACAAGCCCCAATTATATAGTGAAAATAAAAAAAATATCTAGTAGATTAAAACAGAAAAAAATCATAATTTTTAAGAAATATTATTATTGTAAATAAGAAGACATTTATATTGTGAAAAAAAAGTATAATTATGTGATGAAATTGTCTAAATAGATTAGGCTATTTCTAAGATTGTCTTAGAATTTTGTTTGAGATGTTACATAAAAAATAAATTGTGAAAATTCAAAAACAAAACATACTTTTTTAGTGTATTTAATCTTGTTAATAACACCATTTTATTAAATGTTTAATTATTAATTTTTTCAATCAAAAACTGTGCAATTCTAACCGTCATTTATTGGCGTAATTTTAAGGAATAAACTGTTAACAACTTTGCGATATTTTGCACCTTACCATGTGGTCTTTAGAACGAATAATATATGAATATTTTTAAATTCGATTTTTTGTAACAATATTTTTTTGTCGAAGACAACAAGCAATTTGCAAATGTGTATTTAACTTACTTAAATATTGATATTTTTTTTTATTATGGTATATACTTTATGTATTGTCAAAAAAATTATAGGTACTTTGACCCAATGTCTTTATCCATCAACCAACCATAAATATTTTGTAATTATTATGTATTGTTATAAAAAAACCAATAGTATTTTCTTGAAAATTAAATTTAATTTTTAAAACAACAACAAAACACTGTTGTAGTGTTTTTTTATACTAAAACAGAAGCCGCTGTCCAAATAGCACAAACCGTTGAACTGCCAAAAGCCGCTAATCCCACCCCACAGATTTCCTGTAACCAATGAACACTTCCCCCTCTTCTTATTTTTAGATGACGTGGGGTTTTTTTATTGCACGTAGATCTGTTTTAAGTGGTTTGTTTGAGTGTGTGTATTTATTAGTGTGAGTAGTGAGGGGCTGACGTTGAAATGTTGAAATACAGAGTCGCTATCACCTCTCCAGCAGTTTGTGTGTTTTGGGTCGATGGGGTAATATTTATGAAAGTGCCCTATTGACCCTAGTTTAGATTAGCTTAGTACGTGTGTAAGTCGATGGAGGAATATCGAATACTCCAATGTACATAGGCGTGAATACATTTATTTGTGCTGTATTATAAATGATTATGTGGAGATCATGATATGTGGTCTGGTGTGACGTAGGTTTTAGAAAAACATTTTCTTTATCATGCCAACGTTTCGATCTTTATTGAGATCATCATGTCATTCTTGTGTGTTTTCACACCAGACCGCACCTCACGATCTCCAAATAATCATTGGCTGACGGTCACTAATACCACACATTTCTGTATTATAAATGTTAGTTACCTAGCTGTCGAAAGTCCGTTGGCTGGGAAGCGTCGACCTCCTGGGCAGACTTAAGGGGGATACGAGCGACCCGCATAACGGGGTAGATGAACTCACCTTAGGTAAAGATCCGAGAGTGAGCACATCGGGGAGTGACAACCCTTCGGGGTGAAAGTCCAATGGGCTCTGCAACCAATTCTCGGACTGTCTAAACATATTCGTAAACCTTCCTGAGCCGTTGCAGATAATTTTATACATCTGAATCACTCCTAAAATCACTTTTCGTACTGAAAAGCCGTCCCTTTTTGGTTAAGATAACTCTAAGAAGTAGAGAAGTACCATCAGGTTCTTTGTTGGATTGTGATTAATCCTTAATTAAGTTATCAACAACTGAAAAAGCAACTCCGTAAATATTTTGTACCAACTGACCTATTGCTAATTTCTGATCGTTCTTTGATTCCTCCTGGAAGGTTCCATTTTTTTTTCTAAGACATTCCTTTAAAAAAAAATACAGCGGTTCCAATCTGGCAGCTTTATTTACACCTTTGAAATGTTCACCGAGATTGAAATCTTTGGTTTTACACGATTAAGCTATTACCAGGTGAGAGCACCTCCCTATCGTGGATTACTAACAGTATTTTCATGAATTGGCTGTTGAAACATACGTGCATATCATAGATAATTACGCTAAATAAGAATTCTAGAACCAAAACTAATTGCAATACAATTCAAAAAAAGTATTCATCTGTTATACAAGTTATTTATTAAATTAAATAACTGATGAAAATAAAGAAATAAGGAATAGAAAATAAAATAAAAATTACATTTACTGTAAACAGAGTTAAAATGGTGCAATTATTTGGATTTGTTGAGTATTTAATGAAGGAAAAATTGAATTCTGGTCAGAAGGCACTAAAAAAAATAATTGGACTATTGATTTAATAAACATTTGTTTGTAATTAATTTCATTTTACATTACAGAGTTTCGTGTTAGAGGAGAAAACGCTTGAAAAATAAAATCCATAAGCATAATTCATAACGGCCTTTATACAGCATGTGGTGGTTAAATTACGACCCTGGCTCTTCAACAAACAAAAGATAAACCATCTCATAATCGATAGGATATCCCAGGGTATTTTCCCACTTAATCATGAGTTCACTTTTGAGCAATCGTCTAAGACCAATTTTGTTAATTTCGACTCTGTTCGGTTGCTCGGTTGACAGCAAACGTTCCAAAATTTGCCGATTTTTCGCGGCATTTCTGTTTCTTTGTTTGAACGTCTTTTTCGTACAATGGGGTATGTACATATCGACGGCAACATATTCGAGCTTGTATCGAAAAGCTATACACCTTCTTATGGTATGCATCTACAATAAATACGCATGTTAAAATTGTGGTTGTTTTTCCTGGCCAATAAACACTGTGTGCCTAGTTGGATAGTAAATGTTTTTTTTTTCTTATTTTCAACTAAAAGTATGCACCCATCTGCTGCTACCAACATATAAATGATATTTACTAGTACAACAAAATTCTTATTGTTACTGTGATCACTGATCATCAATCATTTGATTAATGATAGATCTGCAAAGTTTTGGTACATTTTCAGAAACTAGAATTTTTAATTTAAAAAAATGACACCAAGAAAATTAGATTGCGTATTTCCGGAAATATTTCAATTCAAAGAAAGAGGGCAACTTCACTTTCAATTTTTTTTCGGTCTATTGGCAATGTTACTCACATTTTTTTACTTTAACTGCTGTTAAATTCTGCGTGTTTGGATTCATCTGTCCAAAGAATATGGGATAGTAAATCGAAAATTTGCTTCATTATTTCCATTATCCAAAAAAAAGTAGAATCCTTTATTCATAGATGGTTTGCCACAACCCTTGAACGTGAGAAAAAGTATATGGTTTAACTCCAAAAGTTTCTAGAACTCGGTAAGCTCTCTCTTTGAAAATACCCAATTCTGCATTTCTACAAATGAATTAGGATTTTCTTTCATGAAAATCAAAACAGTTAATTTTGTATAAAAATTATGTCTTACTGTTTCATTCGTTTGGGAACGATGATTATTGATGGAATCAGTTATCTCAAACTAACTTGCAATACACAAGTATTAAAATTTGGTTTAATCCGCCCAGGAAATTTTAGTGCATACAGTCTAGCGCTTCACATCCCATTACACACTCCACTATCACTTGGTACATGGTGAGGGGTGATCTTTAGACATCTTTAATCAAAATCCAAAAGTAGACTTTAATTTGTATCATAGTTGGAGTTTTGGGTTAGAGAAAAAACCCCAACATTCAGCATTAAAAATATATTAAATTGATCGTTTAGTTGAACTAGAACAAATTTGTATAAACAGGTCTCTTCCAAAAAGCATATAATTTTCTGGAGGACCAAACTTGCTAATAAACCAAACAATCAATTTTTTTCACTATCTGATATATAGATTATGTATTCCCCTAATAAACTGATACATACAGAATATTGCACTAACAAATACATCTAGTTTCTTCTTTCAGTACCAGAAAATTGGTATAATTTGACAGCATATATTACTAACTTATTTTACTAATAATTTTTGTATCAACATTTATACAAAAAGTTTAGCCCAAAATTTATTAGCATATTCGAAAATAAGGAGTCACATTCTTTATAGCAACAGCATTGTAATCTCAGAAATACCAGGATGAAAATTAAATCAAGACCTATATTCGATAAATTTAAAATTTAAAAAAAAAGGTTTAAACTTCTTATTGGTATTCCTGTTATCTTTGCATAAAATAGTCTGCAAAAACTTGAAATAATGTATCAAATTAACGATGTACAACGCGTGATGAATTTTTAACATAGACCTGTAAATGTATATGAGCCAAAAGCAAGCTATATTAGTGTAATGTGTTGTTTTAAGAATGACAATTTTCTTTATGATGACTTTAAATTGTATATTGCCAGGAAAATGCAAAATAAAAACTGACTTACAAGATTTGAAAAGTTTATATCATGATTATAAAGTGAAATTCCAGCCATTTAAACAACATGACATTTTGTTTGTCAGAAATGAAGTGTTTTAAGCAAATTTGTCCTTCAATAAATACATAGAGCAAACAGAACAGATAAGTACATAAGTGACATGCTCTACAGAGATTTACATGTTTTTTTCCTTGTCTTTATTATTTGTGTAATATGAAAAGATAGCCAATGCATATTTTATTCAACTTAAATAGAAAAACATAAGACCAGCGTAATATTGATATCAGATTTGCAGCTAACTATTTCTGCAAATGTGAAAAGACACACAACAAAAAGTTTTTATTTTAAATGTTTTTTATTTGTACTGTTTTAATACTTTAATACTTAGTTGTTTTTTTGGTCAATTCATTTTAGTACTTTGTTAATCAGGTTCTAAAAGTCATATGGTGTTAACAACTCAATTCTGATATTTCCTGCATTTTTGAAGAGACCATCTTACAAAACTTATTATTTTGTATAACTATACAGTAAATAATTAAAGCATTAGATTTTGTCATAGAGTTAAATATTGACCTAACCAAACCAGGCCAAATTTACACTGTTTGTAGAGTTAGTATTACTAAATTTAAGCAATGTTTTATTTAACCAACTTTTGTTAATTCTTATGGTTATATTTTATGTTAAAACCACTATTTTTTACTCTGAAAAATTAAGTTGTTATAAATGTTAAAATGAGTATATTATAGGTATGTCCGGTAATCATCAATGGATTATTTACCTTGTTTACTTGTATTATCACACCTGGATTTGATGTTGCATTACTAGGAAGTAATGTTCAACCAGTGAAATTATTAACAGTTTTTGCTCCTTTGTTGTTACACACATCTCTAATAATCAGCGCTCTAGTGATACAAGTCTTATTTTCATTTTACCAATTGCCGTTAAGTGAATTTATAATATTTTATTTCTCCTTGTTTATCATCACAATACATCAGTACCAATTCATTGACTTTTTAAAAAATATATCACAGCAATGGGATGTGATTATTTCATCGATTCACCTTAAAAAAAAGAGGTATAATACAATCATAATAAAATATATATATGAAAAATAACAATATAGAATTTTTTTTCAGCTTTGATGTGCTTGAATTTACTATCAGAGAAGCAGCTAGACTCACTGATGTTGCAACAGCCATTAATGATGTATTTTCAAAAGGGATTGTCATTTCTTTGCTTCGTTCTTTTATTCTACTAGTCTTATCCCTTTATTGTTTTTTTATTGAAATCCAAATGCATTTACCAAAACAGGAAGTTAAAAAGCTCTTCGAACATGGTATTCATTTTGTTTTGGTAATGGTAACGATGTGGTACGAAATATGGCAACATTTATCAGCATGTGAAAGCATTATGTACAAGGTAACAAACTTCTAATTTTCTTTAAACAAAAACTTAATAATTAGTTCTCCTAATCCATTTTAGTCAGAAGTTTTCACATTAGATCTGTTTACGTTAGCTATGGAAGATGGCATACATCGCATATGTTCTATGGTAAGTGTTTGTTTTGATCCAGTGGCCAATGTGGTAGCACATGGCCAAAAAAAAGTGTTTGTTAAAAGTACTTCTCAATATTTACAATTTGATTAATATGTTTATGCCCTTAGGAAGTTATAAAAAACCATTTTGCATTAAAAAGAAGCAACTGTTTTACTGCCCATAATTTTGTAGTTTTAAATTTTAAACTAGCAAGTGCTGTAAGTACTTTTCTGTTTTTTTTTGTTTGTTTTTTTCAATTAATGGATGTTTTATTTACTGTTTCTTCTAGATCATCAGTTCCTCTACAACTTATTTAGTAATACTAATACAAAATTCTCCAGACAATTAAACAAAAATAATCTTGGTGATTGTAAAAACTGGAGAAGAAACACTTGGCACAAGACAATGACCAGTAAATAACTATGTGATTTATTTATACAATATTTTTGACATTAACTATTAGGTTGAATTTTCTAGCTATTTCCGCATAAACAATTGAATTTAATATTGGGTTGTCTAGAAAATAATGCAGGTCTATGATTATAAAATAAAAACAATTAAATAAATGATTTTAAACATTTTTTATTAATTAAAATACCATCCATCTCTCTCAATACACTTCTCTCAAGTGATAATAACTTATCTATACCCTTCGAATAGAATTTTGAGTCTTTATTATTAACATATTTTTAACAGTTTTTTTTTTAAAAAGCAATAAAAAATTTATATTTTGTAAAACATTGTCTAAGGTATCTGAAAAAAATGGTAGTTGGTAGGTGAGATCTCTAGAGAATATGGATAATGAGGCAAAACCTCTAAATCAGAAAATCTAACAGTTTTCGTGTTGTCACATGTGAGACATGGAGCTGAGCGTAACAGAATCAGCCTTTTTCAATTGACCAGAATGTCTGCTGTTATCAGGGATTTAGTGATTTGATATTAAACAACTGTTTTACAATATTAACAGCCTTTCCATCTGACAATGAGTATCTAACACAGTATGTCCAGATACCAGTTTTTTCTCTTAACTTGAGTTCTTCGGTTGGACAAAATAGCTGGCTATTGGGTAAAATATTGACTACAAAACTATCAATTTTGTACCAAGTACATCCCACATATCTTTTAAAATATGTTATATCACTTCTTTGTGATATTAAGTCACATCTTCATTGCACATTTTCGTTTTATAGGTTACTTGTATGACATTAGTTTCTTGTAAGTTCATCAGTATGTTTCATTTTGATTTTGATTTCATTGGCATACCTATTTTTCAAGGCATTTGAATTTTAGTATCAATATCGCCTGTGTTCATGTGGCTTCAGCACCGTTTTTCCAAAACTCAGAATTTTATTCAGTACACGTGTAAACAATTGCTAGTATGAACCACATGGTAGTAATTGCAGTGAATACATATTTTCCTATACCATATAACTTTATATTCAAATCAGCATAATTTCAAAAATTTGATATAAAGTTGTTTGTGTCATTTTACTGTCCAGTTCCTTCCTCTTAAAAGCTGATTTTGGTTTTTTATAGCATGGCAGTATAACCATACTGAGTATGATTTCATCTTCATTTAACTTTTAACTTAAAACTACCAAAAAGTAGAAGTACCAAATAATTCATTGTAAGCAAATTAGGAATATATTTGTTACCTTATGTAGGTAGTATAGAAAAACACCTTTTTCATTTTTTTGCCAATGTTTCTACCTTTGTTCGTGTCATCGTCAGAGCATAATGCACATGTTTTTCTAAACTTGTTCTAACCTCATTCTTGACCGCTTCTCTCAAATCAAACAAATTATTAAACAACTGGTCACTAAAAAAACTGTCATTACTAAGATAACTATAACTATTATTTGAATTTAAATCTTTTTTCTGGAGTTGCTTGTTTTTGAGAAATATAACACAAAACAATACTAACAATAAGAAACAGATGGTAACTTTCATTCAAATCAAGAATATTAACAATGCAAATCCTTCAAAAATCAGACTAAATTACTGTCAGATGTGGTTATCTTAAAGGCTTAGATTCATGGAACTCGGAAAAAAATGAAAGGAATAGAAGAGGACCAAAGTTTTGAACAAATTCTTAGTGATGTAAGAACAGTAGTTTCAGAGCAGAAGTTAAGAGATGCAAAACTTAATGGCTTACTCAGCGATGAGGATGTTATTAACAGAAAGCTAGAGTCAACAAAGTGTTACCAGGACACAGTCAATAAACTGAATGAGATCGTCAATCAGAGCAATGCCGATATTATAGACTCGTTGCAAAAAGAAAATTGCCTTATAAGATATTTGGAAAAGGAAAATAAGGTTCTTCAAGATTTATACGAAGATCAAGAACTGGCCCTTGCTGTCATCATAAAAAAATACGAAGAACACAAATCAAAGCTGCAGCTGCTTTCAAGCCGTTTGTTCAACCATTTTCAGAACATGTGTTCAGAAACAATCATCGACAGAAATTTTAAAATGAAAGAAATGATGGAAGTCATGAAAAACGCTTCTACAATGGATGACGTTGATTTGACATTTAAAATTAAATGTTTACATGCAGAAAATCAACACTTGAGGAATATACTTAATATTAATACTTGTTCACAGATTGGTGAATCAGAAGCCAATGAATAAATTTGACAAAAACATTTGCCTTGTGAAATCAAAATGTTTTCTCAACGTTATAAAAATGTATTTGAATGTCAGTTAACAATCTTACCAAAAATCCCCATAACTATTTGTTTTTGTTTTGTTTTTATTGATGAAATTTTCATAATGATGCAATAAAATATTTTGTTCTATATTTTTGACCAACTTTTTAACTTTCGTTGAAAATCAACTACTGTAGAAAGATCATAGAGGAAAATGTTTTTCTGGGAATAAAAGCTATATTGTTTTTAGTTTAGGAGAAAAGTAAACATAATATCTTGCCCTCCACTGTAACTCAAATACAAAAAGATACCGACTTCCACGCAAGTCAAATACCTAAGACTATATCTAGAAAGCAGACTGATGTGGAATCTACACAAGACTTTAAAGCCAACAACTTAACAGAAGAATTGAACAACTACAAACACTCCAGGACCAAAATGCATCATGACCGTCAAGACTCAACTAAAATTATACAAGACTTTACGGTGACAACTTTAGACATACGGAGTGAAACTGTAGGTTCTGCCAAGCCATACGTCAAGCGCATCCATTCCTTCCAATCAAAAGTCCTCAGACAAATCATCAAAGCTTCTTACCACATCACTAACCTCACTATCCACAATGACCTCAAAAACGATTTCAAAAATTTCACACCAACCTCTGATCCAACCCAATCCTACTGCTTGAGCCCTCTCCACAAATTCCCATCCCAAGAACCTATGACATTGCCTTAAGTAGCACTGGCCTCGAGACCTCCTTACCCCTTAAACCACACTGAGTGCCAGCATTGGCTCATAGCATGTGTCCTCCGGGTGCAACATTGGCATTAGTGTCAGTGCTCTCAAAGAAAAATGTACAGTGATCACATTTGTAATATATAAATATCTGTACAGGCTACAAATAAATTGTACATGTTACGGTTTCTTCTTGATTCAACAAGATGGGACCAACTCTGAATCCTGTTAATTAGGAATAGAGCCCCAGAGGTCTTGATCAAACACGAATACAAACCGATGAAGTGCCTTTTTATAAAACAATTTTTAATCTTTTTTTTTTTTTTTTTTTTTTTTTTTTAATTTGTACAAACAGGAATTTCATGCAAACCGTTTCCGTGGCTGGGTACTCACCATTTATAGTCAATCCACTATGAATTGAAGTACTCTTTTTTTAGGCATTCTAACTTTTATACACCTTTTTAGGATCTCACTAAATTTAAACATTTCCCATAGGCTTGTATGGCCAATAATAATAATGGAGTCAGACTAGCAACAGTCTCAGCATGAGGATATAATAACAATTCTTTTACCCTTTCATTAAAACACTATAAATACACTAATGCGACTTAACACCAATAATAAAATAAAACATAATACCATTTGTTTTTCTTTTTCCTCCTACCTAGTGACTAGGGACCTAGTAACTCCTTTAATTCACTTGTAAGGTTGAGCCTTTACCTAAAGGGTTGCAAAGTGCAACAGTCAGCCAAAATATGTTTTACAGCCACACTGATACGTTCTCCATTTCGAATAATCGAGGACAATTTGGAAAGTTGTTGCCTATTGAAAGCCTATTATGGATTAGCCCGATGTTACCTATTTGCAATCTAGAGAGAATTCCATCCTGCCCCTCACTTTTGCTTGGTAATGTTTTTAACATTAATGACTATATCATTTGGGCAGAGAGGAAATTGATCTGTTCTTTGTGGATCATTTGCAGCATTACTTGCCTGTTGATCAGCTCTTTCATTTCAAGAAATGCCGACATTACTCGAAACCTAAACGAATACCACATTTGTTAAGTGCTTTGATTTCATAGAAGTAATTGTAAATTTCTAAGATGCATGGGTTAACCGAGTTTTTTTGTTGATGGCTTGGAGACCACTCTTCGTATCAAAGCAAATAATGACATTAAAAATTCCTTAGGATTCCTTATTATTGCTATTATTATTATTTTACTACTGTTTATAAAACTAAATTTATTTCTAATACATGTACATGTAAAGGGGCTTAAATCCCTAATTGTACCTTTAAAAAATTAAATAAATAATGGCATTACAAATTACTTGTGATTCTTTATTATTGATATTATTATTATTTTATTACAGTTTATAAAACTAAATTTATTTCTAATATATGTACATGTAAGTGGACTTAAAGCCATAATTGTACCTTTAAAAAAATTAAATAAATAAATGAAAAGTGAATTTAGGATGCCTTCCCTTCAGATAAAAAAATTATCTAGGAAGTGAAAAAGCGAATGACTTCAAGTACTAAACATATTTAAAAAGTTTAAACTAACAGAAAATAGCATTTTGAGAAATAAAGCAAGAAATGAAGTCAGCTCGAAATGAGGAAGAAATTTATCCAACAAATCCAGTTGTGATGGACAACGTGGGATGTCAGAAAATCCAATATGGAGATGAAAGTTGTTCAGTTGTGTTGTGTATCAGGTTAAGGAAGTAGGTGACGGTGTGCGCGAGCAGGTCGGAGGTGTTTTTAATGTTAAAATGTACGTTTTGTGGCCCCGGCCGGCTAAAACAGCAATATTAGCAATCGGCCTTTTAATTGCTGTGCATGAGGCGGCGGCCACCCACCTCCAGGGGACCTGGAACTCGGAAGACTTTTTCCTTTTCCTATCCAAGTTCGGTGTCCAAAAGACGGACTTGCATTACGAAAAAGACACCCTCGGCTACATCTACGGCAATGTTACGACGCGTTCCAACTCAAGCCACACGGTCACCCTCGCCGTCCTTGACAGGACGTACTTCCTGGAGTATTACGGCAACAGGACCCTCATCGATAAGGAGGCCGCATGCAAAAGGATGTTCGACAAGATCGGCCATGTGGCGTACGACTCCTGCTACGAGGACGGGATCGATCTCTTGAGAAGGGTCCCTTGTCCCGAAGGCGAACTATGCCCCGACGAAGACACCCCTTGGAACGTGGTCAAACATTCCCAGTTTACATTTGCAGTCAAAGACCTAAGTGAACCGAGGTAATTCAAATTAATATAAACGTCATTTCTATCAGGTCTGTGGGAATAAGTTTTTAATTGACAAGACGTGTTGTAAGAACCATCTTTTAAAGAAGTGTACATGTTCTGTTATCAATGTTGATTGAGTGACATGATGATAGTAATAAAGGGATAAAAGAGGCAGCTACAAGGCCTTCTGTGTTCCTCTATTTTTTATAACTCATGGCCAGCTTCAGGTGGTTAATCAATCTCCATAACAGTGCTAGCGGCTCCTTAGTGTAGGATCTTACTCGCAGCTTTTAATCTCCTAGTTCTCAAGAATCTGCTACCTTCATAAAAACATAAAATGTGTTCTGGGGTCTCCTCCTCTTTCTGGTAATACCTGTACTCCTATCCGGTACAGTTAAGTGGTAGTGACCTGTCAGGAGTCCAACCAGAAACCTGATTCAGTTGTAGTTGTCTTCCAGTAATTCCCTTGTAAGTTTTGCAGATGGTCTTTCTATGAATCCTCTTCTGGTGCCTCATGCCTGGATTATTATTCCACTACATATCCCAACCCTAGAGTATGGTGAAGAATTGCTAATTACTGCATCGGATGCGACCACAAAGCGCTTAGACAGTGGGCCGCATTCAACCCCTATAGCAGCCATGGAAATACAGGCTGGCAATCAACACGTTTGAAAGTCATAAGAGGCCGCGCAAAAGATGCAAATAAAAATGCAGCATAGCTTCTTGGACCGGGCTGAGGAAATTATGCTCAGCAATGTGCTGGAGATGGAGAACAGTCATTTTTTTCTGCACAAAAATCTCAAATAGAAAATACTATCAGAGTGAAATGCATGTCAGGGTTGATTTCCAAAGTAAACAAGGCCATGATGCCAGTATGGGAGATAACAGCACTGACATTGGAAACAATCGCTGCCAGATATCCTTCACCATCTTGGACACATGTTTATATCAACGGCTCTGCTACCACTGCAAATAGAAATGCAGGAGCCGGGGTTTATCTCACATCGGCACGATTTCAGAGCCAGTGGGTAGAATTGTGACCAACTTTGATGGGGAGATCAGGGCCATTTATCTTGATTAACAACTGAGCTGAAAATAAGTTAGTAATCCTAGTTGATTCTAAAGCAGCAATTTCTGTGTTAAATGGGGATCATAACTGTATGCACCTTGATGTAATCAATTGCCTCTCACTGATTAAAAAAGCCGACTCAGATGAAAAAGAAATAGTGTTTCAGTGGATTCCCAGCCACTGCGGATTGCACAGAAATGAGAGTGCAAATGCTTTAGCTCGAGAAGGCTTGCAAAAAGACCAACCAGTGATTGGGTTAACATTCTATTCAGCCAGCAGAATTTTGCAAAACCACTTTAAATTGAAAGGTCAGGAAGGCGCTCCTAGGCGGCAGAAGGAAAGTGATGAGAATGTCTGAGGAATAATAGCTTACCATCTGACCTAAGAAGGGATGTGGCAGTTGCATGTTTCCGAGCAACTACGGGGCATGACTACCTCAATAATCATCTGTTCAGGATCGGAATGTCGGATACCCCCACATGCCCGCTTTTCAGCCAGGGTAAATGGACTACGACCATTTGGAGGAGTGCTCTGCTATGGCAGGCATCCAGGAGTCGGTTAGTGGAAAAAATCGGTACAGCCGACAGGCAAAGATTTATTGGGTTGCATGCAGTCTGATGGCCTCAAGAGACTGGCGTAGGATTTAAAAAAAATTATTCCACCAAACTTTGGACTTGTTAAGGATTCATTTTAAGATGTATACTCTAGGCAGTAGAGTTCAAAATCTAGAGAGTCCATGTTGGCTCCCTATTTGGCCAATGTGTCAACCTTTTTATGGCCTTTATGCCCCACATGCCAGGGTCAAGCCATTGGTGTCACTAACTCCATTCAGTTCCAAACACTTTGCTTTGCATGAGGCTAGGGCTTGTAGTGCTGTCTAACCTAGAGAGATTCAGTGAAGATAGCTATCTTCCGTGAATGTATTCTTAGCTTTTTTATTTCCCTGGTATAGTGTTCAATCACTATGTCTTCAGTCTGGAATACTGTAACATATTTATCTAAGCTTATAGTCAGTCAGTTTTGGAGCTGTCACTACCAGTAGGAATTTGCCTTTAGCGGTCTTCCTTTGGCCCATTCTTCCTGTTCTGGTATCAGAGACTCATGATGATGCTTGATAAGTTTTTCAGTACCAACTTCGAAGTTTGATAGGATTTATCAAATAGATGACTAAAAAATGTTAAAGTGAATTTACAGATATCAAGTGATGACACACAAATCAACTAGAGTGCTTGACAGTACTTAAACCTCAAGCTGTTTGATGAAGATGAATTGATTGATACTAGGAAGTGGCGGGTTTTGTTCCCCAAGTCTTCTGGTTTATTGTACTTTCCTAGTTCCTTAGTTAAGTGCAATCGAGTCAATCCTTTTCCTAAGGAGTAGTGTCATTATTATTTATTGTTGTTATTGTTTTATAATTATATAACTAACATTCTGTATACAACACTTTCACACTGATAAATACATTCACTCTCAACACAAGGGACACAACACTATATACAATAAAACAACCATATTTCCTCCAAAAATCAGACTAGATACTCGCTGATGTGCTCAAACACCCTTATTTAGCCCCTTAATAGCCTTACTTAATTTGTAATTATTTTCACTTGTTCATTTACTTCCAAGAATGTGTGTACAATTTTCACTAAACTAGTTGTACTCACCTCTTTTCTGAAAACAAATTGACTTCGTACAAAAATATTCTGACTTTCCAAAAATGCAGTTGATTTCGCTTTGATTTGCTTGTCTATTGATTTTATTATTTGCCTTGGTTGGAAAGGTTGTATTTCTTCCATAGTTATACTATAAATTGTGAGATTTCTTCTTGAAGTCTACGAGGTGATGAACATGTAACATAGTTTTACCACCATCCGAGATGGATTGGTATTACAATTATATATTCTTATTAATAATTGTTGGATTCGTGAGAAGCGGACAAGAAGAGGTGAGGTAGTTTGGAAAAACACTTTTTTTCCGATGTTTCGACCTATATTCAGGTCATCTTCAGGGACTGGGTGAAAACATATGTTGATTGGGAAAATACAATACAAATGTACATATAAACTTTGAAACCAAATATTTCATACTCACATAAAGTGTGGTATTGTTATTATTAAAATCTTATTAATAAATTTATGATATTTAACAATATTAAAATATGCCTTTTTAAGTTTATACATAAAAGTTTATTCAGTTCTGAGCATTGAAATAAATAAAGATTGGCTGAAGCTGTCAGGAGATTACAGTTATATATAGGATTATGTATTATAAATCCCCAAATATATTCTTTGAAGCATTACAGTCTATGTGTTAGAATATTGTCTGTTCTATAGAATATGTACAAACTGTGTCAGTACCCATATTTTTCAGAAATTCATTTATTGTTCAATGCCTGACAAGAAACTGTTGTCTGAGTTTATCCCTACATTGTTTTGAATGTTCTGAAATTTTTGTTTTCAAATTTTACAAAGAGATACTCAGATTGCCAGTGTCCCATCTATTCTTATTTGATAGAATGATTCAGGTATTCTTAGCAGTTAAGCAAATCCTTTCCTTGCAATGGTTTGTTCGCTGTTGTTGGTGACATTTATTTTTATTTATAATTGAATTTAAAAAAATGTAAATTTGTTCATTTATAATTTAAAGTTAATTTTACAATGCATGTTCTCAATTTTATTGTTTTAAATAACAATGTTAACAAACAAAATGCCAATATTAGTTGGTAAATTGATCCTTTGTAATTGAAGGGAAAAGCTGGAAAATTTGAGATAAGTTTATTGTTGAAGCCAAATATATATCATGTGTTGTACAAATAAATTATAAGAGGCTGTTGTGACTGATGGTCAATGTGATAAGCAAAAAATTATTATTTCTTTGACTAGAGAATTTATTTTGCGGATTGATTCTCCTGTTGCATTAAGAGAAAGTTAATTTTAAAAAATTATTATTTCTTTGACTAGAGAATTTATTTTGCGGATTGATTCTCTGTTGCATTAAGAGAAAGTTAATTTTTACTGCTGAAAAAAATGAGTGGGGCAGATAAATGGGGTCACTGTTCTCACTTTCTAAAAAAAATTAATCGCAAATTAAACTTTTTATTTTTTTTCTTCCATTATTATTATTTTATTTCATTTCATCAATTGTCTAATTGAGGTCCGATATAACGGTGGGATGTTGTGGGCCTCAGCTTTAATATTCTGCTTAGGAGGTTGATGAATTATTTTTTGTGTTAAACCAGAACAATTTAGATTCTGAAATAGACAGAATTAGTCATGGTTATACATAATGATCAATAAATCCTTATCTTGATTTAAATCTTTAATTGGGTTTCTAGGTATATTTTAATAATTAAAAAACTGAAGAGAATTATATATATATATATATTTTTTTTTATTTTTTTTTTTTTCGAGGGTTCGCAACAGCAGAGGTCATATAAACTCTCAGGGTGTCGGTTTCGAACCCAGGACCTTTATTTTACAGTGATAAGTGACCTGTCAAATTAACTGTTACATCACCAATGCCCCATACTTTATACTTACTTTTAATTCTACTTTTTATCTAAGATCTTAGTTGAGATGAAAAAGTTAGTGTCACGAGTGGGATTCGAACCCATGACTTCGATTCATTCAGATACCAACTCCTTATACCAACCTACCTCAACCTCCGAGTGAATTGAAATCACAATAGCTCAAATGGTGTATTTCAGCAGTGGTGTATTTAGCTGAAGGTCGTGGGTTCAAATCCCACTCGTGACTCTAACTTTTTCATCTCAACCAAGTCCTTAGATAAAAAGTATAATTAATTAAAATAATTAATACTGTCAATTAAGACTACTAAACATACATTGATTTTTTACATATTTTAGAGTTGCAATTAAATAAATTGAAAATTTGTATAAACATAACCACTTTGGTTTTAGATTTTGGTATGTAAGCCTAGTTGCTTGTTATCGAAATACCTCAACATGTGAATGGCACCACATGGCTCACAGTTTAGAAATTAATTACGATATTTGGTTAGTTAATGGAAACCCAAACACGAGCACATACAACCCTCTCGTTTACCAGTTTTCATTTGACCGACAGGTAACGTAATGTGATAATTATTTTTGTATTTATTACATTAATTTTATTTTTAGAATACCGTCGAGCTGTATCTTGTATTTTTTATGGTATACTTTGTCCTCGTCCCTCTTCAACTGTATGCTGTTGTACGACAGAGACACCCAGTTACACGACTTTTCACGGCATCCTTGCTTTTAGAATTTCTAGGCTTGTGTTTTAATCTTGTCGATGTTATCAAATTCACTATGGATGGAGTCGGATATCCAAATATTGCTGTTGTAGGAGACATACTGGATATCCTTTCAAGGGTGAGTGTTTCTGGAAATTTACCTGGTGAACTTTAAAATTAAATTAATTTCTGTTTCAGACTACTTTTATGCTATTACTTCTACTCTTAGCCAAAGGGTGGGCTGTCACGAGGCAGGAATTCACATGGAAACCACTTCTATTCACAGTATGGTTTATTTATGGGGTGGTCCACGTTTTACTTTATGTCTGGAACAAAGTAAGTATTTAGTGACAAAATAAGAGCTTTTCTAAACTCAAAGGTTTGTTCATTAGACAGAGGTGGACATCATCGAGGACATAGACGAATACCAAACATGGCCTGGGTGGCTCATTCTTGGCTTGAGATGTTTAATAATTGTATGGTTTCTACTGGAACTTCGTGCCACAATGAGATATGAGCACAATGACTCAAAGCTCCATTTCTTCCTGCACTTTGGTGCTTCGGCTCTTGTGTGGTACATATACCTTCCAATCATTGCTCTAGTCGCTCTCCAAATACCACCATTTTGGAGATACAAACTGTTATTAGGTAAATATAAAATTTTAAATTAACTCATCAAGTACATATCAAAAGGTCAAATGACAGAATCGATAAATACATGATAAAGTTTCTTATTTTATGTAAATTTAAATGATTTAAGAGGTAAAAAGAAAAGCTTAATTTGAAAAACTGTTAATATATAGCCAATTACATTTGTGTTGTCTTACAACTTTTGCTTCAACTTACAACAATAAAAAATTATCATTTGGACCATGTAGTTTCAAGGGATAATGATTTAATTTAAAAAATGTGTGAATGATTATGATGACTATGATTTTGTTTTATTTATAGGTATTACATATTCGGCTGATTGTCTTGCTTATATCGTGATGACTCAGTTGCTTTGGCCTACAAGGACTGAACAGTATTTCTTATTGGCCACACACCGGCTCGATGCGACTGAGGAACTTGATGAGTTCAACGAGGCCCCACATGTTATACACGGCTCTGGCAATGATCGGTTGATCGCATGGGAACAGCCAGATCCGAAGGAAAAGTATGTGCCAGCATCAGTTATTATATCATAAAACAAACGATGCAATCAAAAGGTTTGAGTAAGTTTGCACTATCATCAAGAAAAATTGCTGTAATGTGGTGTTTCAGCCTAAACCAGCAAAATATTTAGTCGATTGATGTTATGTAATTCATAAACAACGAATTGAATTTTCGCTTTCGAAAGTTAAAATAATACTTAACAAAACATCAATTAGTATTCCTTCGAGAGGAGTACTTTCTGCTAAATATTGAATTTGTCAATTAATGAGTATTAATTAAATACTCACTTATCAATTGTATATGTAAATATTTTAAGGCTAAATACGTTTGTTTTAACCACAGACTGATATGATTTCAAGGTTAAAAATTTTATAAATGAAAAGCAGATTTGGTTTTAAATGGTGCTTCGCTGATTATTAGTCTAATTTATACACTAAAGTATAGGTACACCCTGACCAATGTAAAGCAAAGACATTGTAGACTTTAAGAAGCTTAACGTAAAAAAAAAAATTATTAGTCTGTAATTGTGTAAATATTTGATAATCACAACACGTCCAAATCTACTGAGCCTTCCAATAGTGAAGAAAATGATGACAACGTTAAAATTGGGTATATATTTTTACAAAACAAAAAGTATACATTGTTAACTTGTTTATTTTGAATATAAAATCCTTCATATTGGACATTGGTTTTAAATTGTTGTAGTATTTTTGGATCTCAGGTATGATAAAAGTAATGAAAATTTGAAAAACACTTCTGATAAAAGGTATTTTATAAACGTTTCTAACATCTTTATGTAATGTTGCAAATTTAATGCAGATTAAAGCTAGTCCAGATGAGTCAAATGAGAAAGAAATTAGCACCTTACCAGATAAAAGGACATTTTTTAAAAGGTTTTTAAGTTAAAATTTCAAAAAATTAATAATAAATGTTGGATGGTTATATTTTTGGCCCTGTTAAACTTAACATAAGGAACTTTTAGATATTTTTAAATAAAAGTAGTAGCACATTGCAGAAAAAGTCCAGATTTCTGAACTTTTTTTTATTCCAAAAATTGATTGAGCTAGTAAAATGTAGCATTATAAGGCAGTTATATCTTTGAAATTATTTAGTTTTATTTAGAAATTAACTTGTGATTTGAACTGTAATGTTTAATCATTTGGAAGATTTAAAATTCCTAGGAAAGTGTTTTGTCAGAAAAAAATTATGTACATAACTTTGTATGCATTATCTCACTACTTCAACAATCATTTCTTTGTGACATTGTTTATCCAGGTGTATTTTTTTAGCGAACAATTGTTATATTTTTGCTGTGTTTATGAAATCTGTTGGTTAAACAAAATTATTTTTTATTGTGAAATTGCTCTTACTAATTTCAAAAGACATTTTCATCAATTTTTTGATTACTCGTACTAGAGTTGAAGTGGTCAACAAAAAAGTCGATATTACAACATAATGCAACACAGTAAATTTTAGAGGGCTGAGTATAAGCCGTGCAACTGTGGCAATAGATAATTACATTGCGAAGTGTTCCAGTTGTATTGCTGTGATTATTTGATCTATATTATATAATATTTCATAAATCACAGAGTTTGTAAAGTGTGTTGCAAGTCTGTATTGTTTACCATTTAATGTGGTTTAGGAAAAAATGTGATTGTGATACATTTCTTGTGTCAAAATAGCGGTTTATTGTATATTACTACTTACCGATTATACTTATATGCGTATGTAATGTAAATAAATCTTAATTTTAAAAGATTTGCTCAGAATTAGATTATGTAATTTATATAAATATTTGGATATTGTGTAAAAGAAGTAAACATAGAAAATAGAATTACAAAGGTAAATTTTTGTGATGTGATATTTTGGTTGTGCCCATTTTTCTTAATTTTATTTTTATTTTTCTACACTATGACACCAACAGCAAGTGTATTTATTTTTTTATTACTCCCCTGGTTATATTTTAATATTTCCTTATTAAATTTTTTAGTTAATTTTTTGAATGATTGTTATAAAACAACTTAATTTTGAAAATATATATATTTAAAATTCTACTCCTTGACTTTTTAATCTGCCTAAATGACATCTAAACAAATAAATTTTATTAAAAATAATTTTAAATAAAGACTACTTAGGAAGAGGCTAAAAAATTATGCTTAAGACTTCTATAATTTTTTTTTAAATAGTAAAAGTTACAAACTTTTAAAAAACAATTACTCAAATAAATACATTCAATAATAATAGTTATAATAATTATGGTGACATCTGTGTTTTTAAATAAAGACTAAGGATAGTTTTTATGATACTTTCTTAGCAGTTGAAGGATTTAAAAAATTACAGAAAAAATATGTGTATTTATGTATAAAAAACATGGTGTGGAAATCAAACGCAAACAATTGCTAAAAATGCTTTGCCAAAGCCCTAAAGCTAATCTAAAAATAACAAAAACATTGATTTGTGGTTTAGCATACATCTAAAATATTACATTTAAACTTTTCCATTTTTCATATAAATATTTATTTATTACAAGGAATTCTTGTGCATATCATGGCAAAAAAAAATTTCTTTAAACTTAAATGTGTTTACAATTATATATTTTGAAGCTAAATTTGAAAACAATAAAAAAAAAAAAAAAAAACAGGCGTAGGAACAAATTATTGGTATCACACTCTATCTAACCAAGCCTTTTAAATCAGGTAGAAAATTATTCCTTTTATAATCTGTTAAAATAAAATAATACCTTTTTTGCTCCTACGCCCCAACTTATACTTAAATATATTATGGCCAATAAATTTGATCGAAAGATAAAACAAAATTTGCAAGCTTACAATTTCCTGTGAAATATATTTAATACTTATTTAAAGGAATGTTTATGCTTTCTTTTCTTTAACTACAGATTACTCATTGAACATATTTAAATCTTCAAATGTTGATGCTCCTCCTTGGTCTAAAATTTGCATCATCATGTCCGAAAGTTCCGGTGGCTGATTTTGAGGTCCAGGCTGAGGAGGGACGTTGTGATTTACACTGTTACTCGATCCTTGGCCATCAGGCTGGCCCTGCCAAGACCAGAGCCCTGCATTGTTTGAAGGATTGTGATAAGCTTGCACTCCCGATCTCCCTCCACTCAACTGTGTATATGTCGGTCCTGAAGGCGAGCGGCAGGGACTGACCTCGCTGAACTGATAGCTCTCACTCACAGGCTGTCGCAGAGACCAAGCAGGTTGTGCCGGTGTCGGACTCGACGTCGGTTTGATTCTAGATATGTTCTGTTGTCCCGGGGAGGTATTATAGCCGACTGGGGACTGTGTCGGGGCATAATTATACACCTGGTTAGGTCTTGTGTCAGTATTGTGTTGAATATGCTGTGACATTTGTGAATATCTCTGTAATGTGTAATCTACACCTGGTTGATAGTTTACATCAGCAGGGGCTTCAGTTTCAGTGCCACTTTGCAACGATTTAGCAGTGGTATTTGTGCACACTATGTATTCAACCTCATCCGTGTAAGGATTCAGAAAAGCAAAAGCAGAAGTCCTTAGCCAAACCCATTCTCTATTCTTTGAACGAAATCTATACATGACTGACATGACTTGCCCTTTTAGTTTAACAACTTGTTCAAATGATTCTTTCATGTGAGTTTGATCTTCATGATGGAAAAACTCAAAGCAAGATTTTCCTAGTAATTCAGGAGGTGAATATCCCAAAATACCCATGACTCTTTGATCGACAAAAGTAAATTTTCCTTCCATAGAATGACGGGATATAAATTCTGAATTGCTGTTGGATCCGGATAAATCTGTTGTATTTGGTGTAGAAGTGACTTGTAGCCTGCCTATGGCAACTAGGCAACAATGGCTTCCATCATCTTCAACCCCTCTTTCCATCTGTACGGCTGATAAAGGATGCGGATCGAATTGACCGGTTGGAGGCCAGTTTTTAATGTATCCCGTGCAATGCACAACCGCGTAATTGTTTCCATCCCTTGAAGGTCCCAAAGAATTTCTCTGTTTCAAACGACTCAGATGGTTGTCAAGTCCTACATTGCCCACCTTCATCCTGCAAATGAATCCCCTCCTCGAACCCATACAAAGCCTCATCGAAGATTGGTGGCCTTCCTTTTTTACGGTTCCCGTTTTGAGATCTAGTATCCTTCCTGAGTTTTGAGGTTCCTGAGTAGAGAGCTGCTCGCGTACCTTTTCAACATCATCAGGATGCAAATGTTCATAGATAATTGAACCATACCAATCACTCTGTGACTGATTTAAAACAGGACTTATAGAGTCGGAAACATAAAATATTCTACCTGAGTCACAAGTCACTACAAATAAAAAGCCATCGGCTGCTTCAAGTATCAAATGTTTCAGTTCTTGATCTGTTAGAAATGAAGGTTTGTAACTGCCGTCAGAACTCGTGTTTCCTGTACCTCTAAGGGCTTTCATATGTGCAACGGCCATTCTCAAAATAGTGAGCTTGTCAGGTTTACGTGCAAGTGCACTGCATGTCGGTACCATGTCTGACAACTCCGTAATGTACGCAGTCATCTTATTCCTCCTCCTCCTCTCGATTTCACAGTGGTTTTCTCTACTAGCGAATCTTTCTTTGTCTTGCATGTTGTCTTCTTCCATTCTCGAATATTTGTTCCCACTAGGGTCGTCTTCATCTGATCCAATCGAACTCCCCCTTCTTTTCTGTATGACCTTAGATGGGTCTATACTGGCGATGGGATGAGTTAAAGTAGACATGAGATAAACTTTAACCGTGTGAAATTAAACATTAGTAGAAGAGAGTATCAACATTTTTCAACCCTCGATATTAGTCGAATATTGCTCTGAATTTTCAGCTACCACAGAATTATCCTTCTAATATTAATTGGATTTTTAAGGAAGAGTTTACTTTGCCCGAGATGGCCACAGTTAACATGTCTCATGAAAGTTTATCTTCTCAAAAAAAAAAGATCTGCAAAAAAATAATAAAAATCACCTTAGAACAATTAATAAAAATGAAAGTGATTTAAAGCAAATATAACAAGTCTTTTTAATTAATAAACTTCATAATTTATGTATATAAAAGTTCATCATTATTTGATGATTTTCACATATATTACTATGATGGATTATGACTATTTTTGATATAAATAACTTTACTAGATGTATGTTGTAACTAGAAAAATAATGTTCACATTTCGTTCACATTGGATGTGTGCATAGGTTTTTCACTTTTCAGAAAAACAAGTCAAACTTTCAAAATATAAATGTAATTTATTTTTAACAGAAAACATAATTTCCTTTGTTTTCTATGACATACTGCCAATGTTCTGGCCAGTCCTTTTTATAACTAAGTCTGATGACTTAGACGAGAAGAAATCTGAAGGGTCAAGGTCTGATTTTCAGAGGTTTTCTTACAAAAATTCCCTACCTTTTAAGCGGTTGTCTGGGGAGTGGAAAAGTAAAAATCTTAGGGGCAAGGTCTTGAGAATATGGAAGGTTTGAAGCCAGCTTAATCCAGCAATTTTACTCTGAGTGAATGTAAGTGGGTGAGGCCTGCCATTGTTGTGTCTATTCACCAAGAATGGATATTTTTCCTGACCCAAGACGGTCCAGCTGCGCAGATTATACCTCTGTCATAAGGGTTTGATTACGAGGTAACATTTCTTAATAAATTATTCCTTGAATATCCCTCCAAACAAAACATAGGACCTTACAGGTCGACAACAGAGTTTCATTCTCTTTGCAAACAGCCCTTCAGCATTTAACATTTTTGTAAATGTCCCACTTTTCCCCAGTGACAAAATACGAATTAAACCCTTCTCATTTATTCCTGTTTAAGTATGAAATACAGCAAGTCATGTGGTCTAACTAGTTTCTGAGGGACAATTAATGGTTTCACAAAGCAACTCAGAGATCAGATTCTTCTATTGTTGGGCGATATACTTGAAATCAACCTCATCCTCCAATACCGCTTTTACGCTCGTTAGACATTCCACAAAGAGACTGGTCTTTGAATCGTCTCTATCTCTCTCTTAATTTCCCAGATATCCCGGATCACGTTTTTCCAACTTCCAACTGATATTGTCCAAAATAAGACAGTTGCAAAGTTCATAAAATTTTGATGTTTTTAGTTGGTGTGACATTTTAAAAATGTAATGTAAGAGAGCTACGTTTAAAGAAGTTGATCCAAAATTATCATTTCATATGCAGTTATTTTGTAACTAGACGGGTAAGTTTTTGAACAAAATAGGTCTAAAAAAAAAAGGAAATTTGGTGCTACATCTAAAAATGGAGTCTATACTTGGGAAAAGTTACTTTAGAGTGGAGAAAATTCAGGTTTTATGTAAAGAAATGTGTTGTTCTTAAATAAACACTAAAAAATGGTTACTTTTAATCGGATTGAGATAAAACCATGAGGTATATGGCATTCTACTCCACTTTAGATGGACCGTTACTGAAAAAAAAAAATTAACACAATGAGCCGACTCATATATCATATATCTATACCATTGTAAAATTAATGGCTGGTCTAATAATACATGAATTTAAAAAAATGTCATGCCAGTCTCAGTTTTATTCTAGACTTTTGTGATCAACTACTTCCTACAAACACTTTCTTTCTGTAGGATTTTTTTACACCCTAGAGCCAACGGGGCCTGAAGGATTATTGGATTGTTATAAGGATGAAGCCGTGATCCATGCTTCACATACCTTTGAATTAATTAACTTTATTTCTCTAACATATAGGATGAAAGTCAATATTTGAAAAAATCAAAAAAACATGCACACATCCAACATTACGGTTGAAATGGTTTTCAATTTAGAATTTATTTTTCCAGCCAGCCATAATTTTTTAAATACTATCTTCAAATTGTGAACAACCATAAATGACTAATAAACCAAATTAGTGGTTCAATTTAAGAACCATTACACCATTACTTTTAAAAAAATGCAAAATTATGAGGCAATTTAAGCTGTTTTGTTGACCTTAAAACCTAGAATCAATTAAATAGAAACAATTAAGTAAATGTGTTTGGAGCCACTATGAATTGTACCTGATTTAAATATAGTATTTTCTGTTTTGAAAATCTTCTCTTTGATGGATAAGCAATCTTGAAATGTGTTCAGTTGCCGGTGGTTTGAAAAAAAAAGGCAAACTCTGAGAAAATGGTATGTGGTTTCGAAATGCGACAACGCCAGTCTATTTTCTTCTTTTTCAACAAAAATAGCGCAATAAAATCAATTTTCAAATTAAAAACCTTGATTGTAAAGTACGATTTTTTTTTCAATGGAAGGAAAATAAATTTAAACAAAAAAGGAAACAACAACAAAGATAAAATGAGGAAACTCCGATAAACCACCTCGGACTCTTGATCAGGACTGACTTTTACCAAACACAGTGTAACCTCAAACCATAAAAGATTCAGATTTTTTTAAAATATATTCATTCAATTTTCCATTTTTATTAATGTAATTCAATTTAAAATTTAAAAATAATTTAAAAGTTTGTTTTATTTATTTTTAATGCTTACAAAAATCGTGTGTATTTAACAAATTTGTTTGCACCCCCTTCCAAATCTTAACTAATGACGAGACCGACCTAAATACAAATTCATATAAGTATTTTGTAGTCATAATTGATCGTATTAATTATTTCAATTAATTATACTTTTTTACTAAGGTCTTGGTTATATGAAAAGTAGAATTAATTTTTTAAAAAACTAAATACAAGTTCTTTACAAACTAGAATAAGACGTTGAGACGAATCCTATTCGTACTGGCTATTTTAAAGCCATTAAACACCAACACAGATATACAATATATTAGATTATAATATTAATAATTATTAATGCACAATATATCTAGATTTTTTCAAGGCATTTGATAAAGTTGATTATTGTCTCCTTATCCGAAAACTCATCATCCTTGGAATACATGGTTTTCTCCTCAAATGGTTTAACCCCTATTTTCAAGATAGAAAACAATTTGTAAAGCTGAATTTAGACAGTTCTAAAATATAGTTGTATTATGTGGTATACCTCAGGATCATTACTCCCCAACGATAGTTCCCCCTCTTTGCTGATGACCTGAAGGTCTATAGGGTCATAACTTCTTTTTATAACGCTAAGCATCTGCAAAAATCTGTAAACAACTTTCTTAAGTTTTAATGTTGTAGCATGAAGCTAAATGTAGGTAAGTAGTACATTACTACAATTATGCCATACAAAGACCTTGGAGTCTATTTCTCTAACATCCTGACATTTAACTTGCATTGGAATAATTAATAAGGCAAATCAAATGTTAGGTCTCTTACATAGAACTACAAAAAAATTTAAGGATGCAGAAACAATGATTTACTGTTTAAGGCTATGGTCTGTCCCATTTTAGAATTCTCTTCAGTTGTTTGGTGACCACATCAAAAAATACTAAGTAGTTCAGCAGAAAATGTACGTTTTAATTGCACGCTCTGATTTAAAATTATTTGAATATACTGTTATTATGTACAACTTATTATGGAATCCGCAGAACTGCATTCATTAAACATAAGATGACAAATAATGACCTTTTTTTGGAGAAAAAAAATTTTAGGTTTGAATACAGGGCCACTGGATTCGAACCCGGGACCTTTACATCTAAACCTTGTGGCCACCGATGCCTCACACCCGATATATTCTTACAAACTCTATAATAATATGATCGACTGTCCACAATTAATCAATTTGCTAAATTTCCTTGTACCACAACACATTTAAAATTTAGTCCAATTTCTCAACTCATGGAATCGAGTAATAAATTTCCTTTACATTGTGACACTTTTTGCCTTTCCTTAAGTTGATTTAAACTTTTTCGTTATTACAATAACTCTATACATGTGTGTATGTGTATAGAGCTTATGTAAATCAGTATTAATTATTTTTTAATTAATGATGAATAATTGTGTAGAGTTCTGCTTGGTGTGTGGCTTTTTAGCATAATCAACTCCAGTCATCATTCGACAGACATTTTTGCCACAGTGATTTGCCTGAGTTTCGTTTTAGTTGTCACTTTTATGTGTTTTTAAGGGTTCCCACTTACAAAACAAAAAATCAACCTACCACCGAACAGCAAGTAGGCAAACCTGGATGATCAGATATGATCAAGCTACAATATTTAGTTAGTATAGATACATCAATATAAAATAAATCAGAAATAGAAATGAAAATTTATTTATTCTTTAAGTTCCTCATGATTGTATTTATATTTTTTCTTGGAACAGTTTAGAATAAATAATGAAAGGGAGTAAAATGCACAACAAAAACATTATAATCAACAATGGCCAATGGTATGAAGCAAATACATATCCAATGTTTTTCAGTTGTACTAATTTCCTGCAAAAAAAAATTGCATACAGAATTTTGTCATTCAAATGAATAAACAATAAAAACATACCCTCCAGCATTGTAAGATATTATTCTGAGTAAAAATTCACCTTCCCTATTTGGATTCAATGTGGAGGGAATTATGACATAATGTCCTAGTGGAAGTTTGAATCTCAAACTCACTTTTCTCATATTGTAAAAGTTGCTACTTATCATTGGGAAATGGTGTTTGCAATAAAATTCATTTAATACTGATGAGACTTGGACAGGATTTATCTAAAATTCAATATCAACAAAAGAGCGTTTAAACAGAAGACTCATAAATTTACACAAACATCACCTTATAAACGACAAATCCAATTTTTAATAATTTTGTACTTTTTGATTTCCTTGAAGCTTTACGATATTTTTGCAAAAGGGCAATTATAACTGTGCATTCATTCTTAGGATTAGGTTCTGGGTCTGCTGTTGTCAGGCAAAATCTAAACTGAGGGTTTTGAGGAAAGGTGCCTAGAATTATAATTGATTTTTTAAAATAATTTTTTAATTGATTTAATTTCATTTTTTAATTGATTTTATTATCTTAAGAACTTACTATGATGAATTGATCCTCCAGTACTGACTGAAAGAACCCACGAACCATGAAATTCTATCCACTGCCAAGGGTGATCCCTTAGCCCTTTTAAATGGCAGATACTTACATAATAAAATACTCTTACGAATTCAGTTAGATGAACCCACATTTCATTTCCTGTCTTTATCACTGGCAATCCTAGTGCAATTTGTGCCTGTGTCGATATAACTGTCCATTCTGAAACACTGTCATAATTACAGATACTGATGGAAGTAATTAAGCTTTTGCCGTGCTTACAAATTATGATTTTCAGGAATGGATACTTTAATATAAGGCTCTTCGTGCTTGTTTAGGTAAATCACTTTCAAACCTGTTATAAAAATGTGTTTCCAGGATTGAGAAAGTATTTCAGATGTCAGTTCTTCCTGTAGCATATTTTTCTAGTAATAACTTAAACTCAGAAAAATTCATTAATAGTTCACACATTGTAGAAGCAAACAATAATAGAGTTCATTTCGAATGCAACTTTCATTATATTGAATGTATCTAGGCAGTCATCGTAATTGGATGTTGGCAAGTGGAATAATTCACACAAACCTCCGGTCAAATCCTCCATCGCCTCATTGGCCTGGGTAAATTCAATGTCTTCATAAGTGCCCAATATCCTAATATACAATTTTCAAATTATAATATATTTTTAAATAATCATTGTATAATTTAAATAATGTTTATAAATCACAGGCTCTGAAGATGATCTCGATAAAGATCAATATTATACCATAAAGAAAATATTTTTCTAACCTACATCACACTACACCGCATCTCACGATCTTTAAATAATATTTTTTAATAATAATTTTCTCAAAAGAGGCTTTACTTTGCATAGGCCTTTTCGTATAAACATATCCAAAATTGTGACTGTTCGCATTTAAATCCAATAAATTCATTGGTGTCATTTCTGATTGGTATTCTATCATCCACAATAACAGTCATCCATTTTCCATATCTCCAAATTCTACAACAGTTTTTACATTAATATTTATAGTGCTAGTATTATTATATATATATATATCAAAATAAAAATAACCTGAAAAAAAACATCCCAATGTAATCTTGATCAAAGCTTTGACAATTTGGACTTATTACCCAGTGGAATATTTCAGGATCTCTCATAACTGAATCAATAGCAACTTTGTACCAGCAATTGGCTAAAAAAAATTAAAAATGTAGTTAATTAGAACGTGAGATAATACTTTACCATATTTTCAATGTATAATTGATTATATGTTTTAGGAGAATGTTAAATAGAAGCCAAAACAGAGTTTTAAGAGCACTTTTGTCCACACGTTTTCTGCCATCTATAAGAAGTCAACATTTCATCAACTGAACTTTTCTTAATAAATGAATATACAAGTCTTTACAAATAATTCAGAGAATCTTAAACAGCAGATTTTCCATGTTAATTTTTTTTTATACGTATAAAAGCAAGAAGTTTCCAAATCCAACTCAGCTCCAAAGGTAAATTGTGTATTATTTTTACCATTCTCCAAACCAGCGTGTATGCAAACATATTTCAAGCTTTAGATGTACTCAGTTCATGGTGAACAAAGGATATAAAATTAAAGACATAGTTATCACAATAGATCCAAACTTAATCATGACACTGAATATGTTATTAGCTTGAAGATTGTTCTGAAATGTAAGAGCAAACTAAACAACTTAACAGCCACCCTCCACTGTATTTCAAGACAAATTGAAATAGACAGGTGAATTTGCAAGACCACAACCCTACTGAGTGTTAACAGCAACTCTTTTGTGGGATGGAAATGCATGTTTCCAGAGAAATCTCTTCGCAAGATAAGAAAATAAGTAAACTTCAGAAAGTTTAACTGGAAATAGGATGAAACTCTGAATTATTGACAGAGCTCTACAGACTTCTGGACATCAATAGTCACAGGATGTGCAAATCCTGCAAAAAACAAAAGAGATTTTATCAGGTTTTCTTCAGGTTTTCTAAGAGATAAGAAATTGTTTTGGGACCTACAACACAATCGTTGGGACTGGGACAAATAATATCTAAGATGAAACCAGACTACTGTATGTACAGAATTGGTTAATGAAGAACATAGAACCCTGAATTCTACTGTATTAAGCATTTTGCAACAAAAATGTAGTGTATTTTTTTCCAAACATGGATAATTATTCAAAAGACTTGTATGACTTCATGAATGTAATATATCTTAATGTTATACAATTAATAAAAATTTCGAGTACAGATTGTTAAATTGAAAGTTTGATTTGTTTCTTTGCAAATGAAGAAGAGCACGATATGAAATTATATTTTTTTTTTAAATTGCAGACTTCTAGACATCCCGGAAAACATTGACATCAATAGTCACAGGCTGTGCAGATCCTGCAAGCAAACAAAAGAGAATTTAACATGTTTTCAAACAGGAGAGAAATTATTTTGGGGTCTACAACACAACCGTTGGAACTGGGACAAATAATATCTAAGATGAAACCAGAGTACTGAATATACTGGTTACAATAGTTTTTGAAGAGCTTAGTACCCTGAATTCTACTGCAATACATAATTTTACCAATTACAAAAAAAAAGTAGTGTATGATTTTTTTCTTCTGATCATGGCTAGTTATGCAAAAGAGTTAAATCTGTTGCTAAATGCAAAATTTCGATATTGTTAAATTGAAAGTTTGATCTCTTATTTTCTGGCTAAGAAAATGAAGAGCACCGTTATTAAATTAAAAAAAAAAAAAAAAAAAAACCTTCCTTAAGAATTCGAACCGTTACGTGTTCTCCCACAAAATCCCGTCTTTCCCCATCGTTATTAGAATTTATTTTTACTCACAATTATCAAAATAATCCAATTTGTTATATTCTGTCTTTTTCTTTACGTTTATATTTTCTGTTATGTTTATGTGTATGTGTATATTTAAAAACAAAAAATCGATAAAAATCAAACTGCCATTCTCGTGAGGTTGTATTGTGAGTTGTGACGTTCACATCTTGTTTCTGTTGACCTTCGTTTGTGTTGGGATAGTGAATTCCTATTTTAAAGTTGTTATAACATATTCGAATGAAATTTTATTACTATCATAAAATTTACAGGAGGAAATTGAACTGTACGTAAAATGTCGTGCTTGTTAAAAAGGTCTTAATGCTTGTACTCATTCTGTAGAGTGTCATATTGAAGAAAGAAGGAAATTTCCTCAAAGACCTAGTTATAAAATATTACTACTTATAAATAATATAAGGCGAGACGTTGTAAGTTGCTTTTTATTTATTTTCAAGCATTTATATCGTCAGAAATTGATAGTATTGTTTTTGTTTGTGTTAGGTTAAATATAGATAATAAAATATTGGAATTGTCCTTTGGTATGTAAAGGTTTTCCCTGTAAGAAAGATATAAAATCAATTGTTTTAATTGTTAATTTGATATAGTATAATGGAGGTCCAAATCAACGTAATTGACCGTAACATCCCGACCAATGTTCTTGACGACCTGTGCAGCCGGTTTATTATAAACGTACCGGAAGAGGAGAGGAACGACTTAATAAGGCTTTGTTTTCAGATAGAATTAGCGCATTGGTTTTATATAGATTTCTACTGTAAAAGCGCTAAAAAGACTATAGGGATCAAAGAGTTTGCACACAGTATCTTCCAGCACATACCCTCGTTGCATCAATACTTGCACAATGTCGACAAGATAATCGATGAGTGGAAAGAGTACAAATATCTGGTTCCTACATTTGGTGCCATATTATTAAATGAAGACTTGTCATATGTTTTGTTAGTACAGAGTTATTATTCGAGATCTTCTTGGGGATTTCCAAAGGGGAAAGTGAATAAGGACGAACCACCGTGGGGATGTGCCATTCGTGAAGTGTACGAAGAGACTGGCTTTAATATCAGAGATATGATAGATCCTAATGAGTATTTGGACGCTAGAGTCAATGAACAACTCGTTCGTCTTTATATAATTCCCGGTGTTAGTAAGAATGCTAAATTTCAACCCATGACTAGAAACGAGATCAAATCGGTTGAGTGGTTCCCACTGGCTGATCTTCCAGTTACCAAAAAGGATGTGGGCTATAGGGTCAAAGGCCCGGGGAACGAATCGTTTTACATGGTCGGACCGTTTGTCAGAAGATTGCGACAATGGATTTATGAACGTCAAAACAAACCTATAAGAAGGCCGAGGAGGGCGAGGCACAACTCTTGTAGTGATATTGACCATCTCGGCCATAAGGACTACCCCTCGACAAAATTCTTGAAGAATATAAAAGAAATAAAAAATAAGACGATGTCCGAGTTGGGAGTTAGTGCATTCATGGCTTTATCTCAAGACGTAGACGAAGACAACGACACATCACCGAATGAAGAAGATGTAAGAAACATTTCCCCAGAAGCCAAAGTTTGTGATAGTAGACCTTTACACTGCTTCATTCAGCCAAATAAACAAATACAAAATAATAGTTCGGATATGGAAAAATTGTTATTGATGTTTCCCAAGCTGTCTCTGAGTGAAAAAAAGGTAAATGAGAAAGACCAAAGATATACAGACAGGAGTTCTTTCGATATTGTAGATGTTAAGGATAAACCAAAATCTATTGAGTTAGCCAGTTTCCTGAAAGCTTTAGAACAGAGCCAAAGGAGTAGCTCAGGTCAACCTTTAAACATGGCCTTGGCTACAGCCGACAAAATTGGCCGAGGGCACAAACTGAGACGAGTCAAGAGAAAAATAGAATTTGATTCTTTAGCCGACTCCGAGTATCATCTCGTTCCAATAAACGAAAATGAAAAAGTTTCAGATAACGACCTAAAATTGGGAAATGACACTGATGGAAAAATTCAATTGAAATTTAATGAAATAACATTGAGTGAGTCAATTAAAAACAATGGTATTTCGCATTGGTGCAATTTTAAATTTGATCTTCAGTCAATTCTCAAATGCATAGATGAGGTTAAAGCATAATTCAATAGTAATCTGTGCTTTCGACTTCAACTGATCTCAAATATTTGTATCTTTTCGGACCACAAGGTTTTATTTAGACTACATTTTAAAATTACAGTAATGTAAATGTGGTTTATTTTTCTTTTTTCATTATTTCTTATTTATTTAATTACTTTAAGATTAAATAAAGTGCCTTCAGCATTTATTGACTAAGCTTTAATATAGCTTGAAGTTTTCCAAATTGTATTTTCCAATTTCCACAATAAGTAATTTTCAACATTTTTCTGACTGGAATATTGTATTATTACATCTTACAAATTTAATTTTTTTCTAGTACCATTGTACAAATACATTAACAATTTCTAGGAAATAATTATATTTTCTTTCTTTCTTTTTTAAGTCAGAGTTAATAGTTGTTAAATGTATTATTCAAATCTTCCAAAAAGTTCAATTTAAAACAGTTTAGTCTAGATGCAACTGTTTGTAGGTTTTTTTAAATGATTTATGTTAATCATTAAACATGTCTTGCTCTAAGAAATTATGAATAATATTATTTTCATTTTTACACAATGATTTTTAAAATTTGTTAGATGTTAATACGAAACACAAAATAAATATTAAAAATGGTAAATTTCAACTCTATGAACACAGTTTGTAAAATCAATTTCAATTTGAATGATAAATTGTGCATTGTTTTTTTATATTTTAATTATACCATTTTCATTTTTGAGCATTTTGTCAATTTATTTTTCCTCTTTTCTCCTTAACCTATTTTCTTATTGGTTATTTATTGAAGTTGACAAAAATTAAACTTCATTGAATAAGAAAAGTAAGTTTTTATTACTTTTCACACATTTTGAAGATAGTTATTTTTAAAAAATGGTTAATTACCGAACATACTGCTTTCCAAATCTATAGGTCGTCCTAAAGAAAACTTCGGCGATTGAACAATTTCCTACAAAACAGTTTTTTCATGTTAGGAAAACTATATTATGGGAGAAATACTCAATAATTAAATTATTAATTGTAGCCAATGATTTATTTTAAAAGCATTGTACACTACGATATACTTTCAATAAATTAGTAATTTAACTTTTTTTGATAGTGAGACATAGTGGTAATATTTTAAGAGATTTTAAGATAAATAAAAAATAATTAGCATTTAAAAGGCATCAACAAAATCACATAATTACATTAATATTAATATAAAGTAATAGCTTACAATTGGCCTCTTCCATTCTACTTGCCAAGGTGGTGGCATGCTGAAGAACAAAGAATTATTTGTTGTAGGGAATTCAGGATCGTTAAACAACATATTTTTGTTCCGTAACTCTTCCCTTAATTTCATAATTTCTTGAATTGTATATGCTTGTATCTAAATTATAATAAATTGTTATACATTAATCATACATAAATTAATGTTAAAAAGACTTTACATATTAATAATGAAGATTTATATCCAAGGTTCTGGTAAAATTTTAAAGCATCTTTTTGAAGAAAAGCATTCATTTTCAAAATAAAAAATAAGACAATTTAAACAAAATTGTTCAATAGGAGAGTCATTACTTTAAAACCTTTTACCAGAACTTCCAGAAAATGGATTCTGAGACATTTCTAGGATTTACAAATATGTATACGTATAAGTTTATTTATATGCATAAATATTGAACCTGCCATGAGCTTTATACATACGTATTTACTTTCTTTGTTTCTATCCATTTTAAAATTTTATTTTTAAATTGTAAATTAAGTGTTAAAATTCAAGTAGCAGCTGTATTTTGTCATAGTCACATGTAATTTCCATATGAAGATCCTTTTTTTATCTAAATTCTAGTTAACTACCAAAAACTATTTTCCTTATAACAAAAAGGTAAGCATCCACATGACAATGGGAAACGAAGGTTTTGGGAGTAATTTGTCATACAAGGTTAATTAGTCTTGGAATACGGGATTTGCTTTGGCTTAGGTGGTTTTTTCAGCTTCTGAGGAAATGAAATATCATCTGCGTGAATATTGTTCAGAAGTTTAACTACTAGATAATCAGAGCTGAATAACTCCCAAACCAGGAGTTACAAGTCAGGTGCCCTGTATTTATATCATAAAGATTGCTTGCTGTCGCCTGCTCTTGAGTAGAGTAACAATCTAGTAAATAGTGAAAGTTTATTTCCACTTTGTCCATGCCCCTCTTGTCATTAGTAAGCATCAGGAAAATGAACAAGGAGTTGAAAACAAGTGAACATTTTATACAACTGGCATTATTCTCTATGGTCTAAGTGTGCATTACAAAATATAATTAGGTTCCAGATTATTTTTAAAAAATGTGGATTTTTATTAGAGTAATAAATTCGTTTGTAGTTGGTATATACTTGATCATCCTGTCCTGATTATCCTTGCTGATATTGTCTTCTGGCTGTTTTGGTTTCATAAACCTACCACTGAAGAAGTGTTAAATCGCATTTCATCATCATCATCAGTGGTTGGTTTGAGAAGCTGAAACTCTCTGTAAGGCCAAACTAGTAAGACTATTCAGACCAGGAATGGACCTAACTAGAGACTCAGATAAATATCTAGCAAATGCATACTTGTTAACTAATATGCAGACATATCAGTACACGCTTTTTAATCAGTGAAAAGTGTGCTTAAATTTTAAATATTCTAGAATTTGAAAAAAGCAAAACGAACAATTCAACATGGAAATGGAAGAAGAAAAATTTCATTTAATAAAAACGGGACTGCTTGCATTTAATAAAATTTATGAAGACCCAGAGTTCAAAGCGAACTTTAGAAATATATCACTGAATAAATTAATTTCTCTACCCTGCTGCTGGATCCGTCCAATCGTATGTATTTTTTTTTTTTTTTCAATTATTCATAATACATATTCTATTAATGCTGTTTTTAACAGCTTGTGTTTGATAATCTCAGTTTTATTGATTCAGACCTTCAGCCAAAAGTGCAATATTCAGGCAAATTTGGTACTTTTTTAAATAAGTAACTGTGATATTCAATAAAATGTTGATTATAAAATATTGTCACAGGTTTGTTACTATTATTATTCTAGATAATATTGGCATTTCTGCTGCTCTCGAAAGTCTCTGCTCATGCCGTCCACTTTTATCGAGAGTTGTGCCTAAAGACGAAAATGTATCTGGTGGTTATGTTGGTATGAATTTATTCAGGTATTTATTTAATTTTAGAAATGTTTTATGATATAATTCATCTAATTTAAGCAAAAATTTTAAAAATTATTTTTTAGGTTTTGGCACTTTGGCAAATGGATTTCAGTACTCGTAGATGATCGACTGCCTTATGATATGGAGAAACAACAGTTTCTCTTTACTAGCACCGGCCTACCGTACGAGTATTGGAAACCTCTACTTGAAAAGGCGTATGCCAAATTGATGGGCTCATATTGGGCCCTGGAACAAACGAATATTTTGGAATTTTTAGAAGACCTTACCGGAGGAATCACCGAATACTTTAATGTAAAAGAGACCACACAGATTCTTATGAAGTCCGTTTTGAAATTAGGGGTGGCGAAAGGCTCGATCATTATTTGTTGTACATCGATTGGGCAAGTAAGTATGGCAATTTTCATTTAACTTAATAAATAATAGAATTGCTTATTGTAGAATGAACGTGGAGACGGGGCCGACTTGAGAGGTTCAAACTATTTTATGATCTCCACACTTAAAGAAGTTAAGTACAAGGAGACAGAGTATATGCTGCTAAGAGTTAAAAAACTTTTCGGCCCATTTGAAGAAGATGGCAATTTTTTTAAACACACGTAATTCCTAACATTTTGAATAATATTTCTAATTTAAAAATAATTGTTAAGATTTAAATAAACCTGTGTTCTCTACTTATTAAGGTGCTTAAATTATAAAGCAAGTGGGTGGTAATTGCATTTCAGGCAATTAGAGTTTTAGTAATTTTATTGCTTAATTTTTTTATTGTAGTATTATTTATATTTTTAAAAATTCATCAATGTATTCTTTTCAATGTGTTCCTCTGCTTTGATATGTTTATTTTTTATTTTAGGACATATCCCCAATTAGTGAAGAGCAAAAAAATGGCAAAGGAAATAAAAGAAGAATCTGTTGAGGGGGAATTTTGGTTGACATTTAAAGATTTTATTATACACCTTGATCACATGTTCATTTGCAACCTGTGTCATGATATAAGCCTGCACCACCAACATTGGGAATTAGCGTCGTACCAGGGATATTGGTATGAAAACATGTCTGCAGGAGGCCCGTCTAAAGATTTTGGTACCATTTCTATCGGCATACAGAATAATGAGAATACGCTTTTATTAAATTTCTTTCAGCGTGTTTCTTGACAAATCCACAATTTAGAATTTTAATAAGGGGCAAAGAGTATGAAAATCTAATGCCAGTTATAATTTCCTTAAGTCAACGGAGAGTCCCTGTGTTGAATAAAAAAAGCCATTTGGTTAAATACAAACCGTTTCTCCCAATTGGATTTACTGTTTATAAAGTAAAGAATTTTATAATATTTCTGTTCAGAGAGAAAAATTAGAATATAACTTTCAATAAAATATAAATGATTAATATTTTAATTAGGTGAGTATTGACAATGTTCACCATTTGAGTTACAAATATTTGTGTATGAACAACCCGATTTATCATGCTCGGTATTATGAAAGGAGAGAAATATGCGTAAGGCTTATGATACCATGTGGCAGCTATGTCATAATACCATCGACAGCCAAACCAAATATGGAAGGAGAATTTTTACTAAGAGTTATGACACATCATAAATCCTTTATGGAGTGAGTCAAATACATTGTTATTTTAATATTTTCCTATTCTTAAATGTCAAATTTCAGTTTACCGTGGGAGCCAAAAGAAGATATTTCTGAGACTTTAGGATTTCCAATAGGAAATAACATGAAAAAATGTTCATTGTATATTCAGTTGAATCCAAGATATTTAGTCGGTCAGCCAATCGAGTTAGTAAATTTTCCCATACTACATAATATATGTTTCATACTGAAATATCATTTTTTTTAATCTATTATATAAAACTTTAGTATTACGGTCAAAGTTTATGCTCAAGATGAATTGAACTGTCCAATTTCAATTTGCATTGCTTGCAACTGCATAACAACCACTGGAAGAGGGCACAGGACGATAAAAGGAAAAGAGGATACAGTTTATTTAGAAAAAGGAAAAAGTTATTATTAAAGTTATTATATTATAATTTAAAACTCAAACTTTAGTTATGTTTTTTTTATATATAGTTTATGAAACATCTTTATCAATAAATTTCTATGAATATGCAAGGAAAAGACTCCATGAATATGTTTTTACTGTGTTATGTTCTGTTTATGAGCAAGGAGGAAATGCTATTATATATGACACTAAGGATTTCTGTCTTGACCTTCCAGAACTTTATGTGAGTTTTAGTGTTTTTCATCTTATTGTTTTAATCACTCTTAACTCATGATAATTATTTATTTTTTAAGGTTGGTTATTCTCAGACTGAAGAATTAGAGAGCAAATTTCCAGTCGAGTCTTGGTTTGTTAATCCTGTTCCATGTCCAATAGAATATGGATTGTTTTTGGTTGAGTCACCACAATTGAGAACAAGCCCAGCAGTTGTAGAAACTGGGCAGTAAGTATTTAATTATTTTACATCTTTTGTGTCAGTTTTATTGATAACGTGATTACTGTATAGTATTGGCCCTATGTCGAGAGCAGTTGCACAGTTTGACATATTACCAGGATCTCCTGGAAAATACACAGTGACAGTTAGGTTCATCTCAAAAGTATTTAATTTACGCGCCACCGTAGAATTGTGCATATACGAACCGGAGAGTCCTCAAGAAGAAGAAAAAACTGTAGAAGAGGAGGAAATAATTATAGAGGAGTCGAGCTCAGAAGATGAAATATATTACGAAATGGAAACAGAGATTATAGATGAAACTGAACAGATGCCATTAGGCCTGATGGAAGAAGAAAGTGAAATAGAATTTGAGGAACTTTTGGAAGAAGAAATGGAATTTGAAATTTGGAAGAAAGAAATAATAACTCATGAAGAGAGACATTCACAGCCTGTCCGCATTAGTGATGTATCAGAAGAAATTGATCACAATGACACTCATCTACCTTCTCCTCCAAGATTGGTTAAAAGTGTATCAATCATGTTCATTTAAAAATCAATTAACCGTAGGTAATATTTCATTAATACAATACGGGGGTTTTTTAATGTGTGAAATATGGTATGTACATATGGCTTGCTTACAATATTTCACTTGTATGTATTATATTCTACAATTTATAGATCTAATAATTGGGCCTTTTAAATAAAACTATTGTCACCTCAGTGTAATATTTTTTAGTATTTTAGAGTTTTTTCATTAGATGTTTTACAACATGTAAAAACAGTTGATTCCTCCAGAATTACACTAAGAGATATTTGTGAATGCAAGTACTTTAAAACTGTACTCATCTACTTACAAATTAATAAATAAATAAAAATAAATTGTGTCAAATTTTAAATATTAACATGCAGAATATAATTCCAATAACCAGAACAGTTATACCTAACTTGATAATGGACTGAAAAAAGTCAAAACTTTGGGAATAAGTTTGAACTGTAGAGATAACTCTTTGATTTGTCCTTCCTTCAAGAGTGTTCAACTCCCACCTGCAATTAATTTAGTGACTTTTCACATTTACTACAATGCATAGATTCAATTTGTACGAACAAATATAAAAAAACTGAATTTTCATAAAATAGCCTGAAGATAAAGCTCCCTTGAATTAGTGGAAGTGATGTATATGGTATGAAAGCGTACAGTCCAGGTGGTATAACAAATCTTTTTGTAATTTGCCTCTTTTCCTCAAGTTCATGTTGGCCAATTAGAACACAGTTTGAGTCATTTAAATCTATATTCCATATTTCATCATCTTCACACTTCACCTGATAACATATAAAAAACATTTTTGGAAATCAGTTGAAAGATACTGAAAAAAAAAACTAACTTCATAAAGTGAAAAACCAATGGAGTAAGATGAAATCGTTGGATAGCTACATGTAAGCAACCCTAAGACAATGGTGTACAGCAATTTACTCTGACTGTCAGTAACTCCTATTTTAAATCTGAACTGCGGATTTCTCCAGTACGTACCTAAAACAAAGCAAGTGAAACATTAATACATATACAATATAACTAGCAAACCTTACGTGAAAACTGGGGATTCCCTCCGGCATTTGAAACGCCCCATGCTCCGGCTCTTGTCATATTTATCCAATACTTCTCTTTTAATTCAGTCTTTAAAAGTTTCAGCTTGTCGGTTTTAGTCAACGCAAAACTGATTATTTTACATGCCTTAAAATATTGTCTGATCTTTTCAATTGATATTGAAACTTTATTGTCTTCTACATTTATGAGCTCACTTTTTACATATAAGTTAAGAGATGTCACATCTTTATCTGAACCTTCTCTTCATTATTTAATTGAAAGAGTAACTTTAATCGTATGCATATGTGATCTTTGAATAGATAATCTTCAATATCTACTTACATCAAAGCAAATGTTTCTGTTACAACTTTAAAAGATTTTTGTAAGACAACAAACAGATTGGAATCTGCAGAAATAATATCTTTGAGCCAATAGACTTCATTACAATTAAGAGGTTGGCCTAGAGTTTTGAAAACAGATAGCTCCTGTAAATCAATTATCATTTTTATTTATTTATTTTATACAATTTTTTGTAACATAATTGTTTATTACTTTAACAACAAGGCCAATAATCGATTTTTGCAAATATGACTTGACCAACATATCCTGCTGTATCCCTGTGTCGAGTGTGAAATATTCTACCAAGCCACCTGTCAAGTCTTGCAAGGCATCTTCAAGGGTTACAAAAGCCAAATTATGATAAGATCCGTAAAATCTATTTAAAAAAATGTACATATCGTCATAATTAATACTAATTGTTAAAAGTATATCTGAACAAACTTAGCATATGCTTTCTCCAATAATGAATACCAATATGAGTTCTCATAATCCAAAACCGAAAAAACAGGTTCGTACACATTGTTGTATTCATAAGGTAAAAAGTCATCAACAACGACATTTTGCCATTCCCCATATTTCCAAAACCTGTCTGATTGAAATGAAATACAATTTATCCTTTAATCGGAATGTAATAATAAGTTGTAAGTCCTAGAGTTTGTCTGATTGCTCACCAGAAATTAAATGATCCATTGTACTTTTTATCAAAATCTTGATCTTTTGGTACAATATTATCAAACAGTGTTTGCTTGTGCATTACTAATTGTACAGCTGATGAAAGGGCATAAGTTCCTGCTTTGCAAACAATACTTGATTTAAAAGTTGATTTAAAGTATGCTATTACATTTTACCTATTCTACTTTGTAAGATTTGCACTGGAAATTTTGTAAACTCAACAAAAAATTCAGCCTTTGGATTAATAGCCTACAAATTCATATCAATTTTTTTTCCAAATTACCACTAAGTAATATATAATATATTGCAATATTAAAACCCACTCTAACTCTTCTCCAGATAACGCGATCATCTATGACATCACCAACTGGATCCATAAAGTCAGTATCAATAAACAATTTGACATCTTCAGTTGGCGCTGATGAGCTGAGAGATTTTACAATAATTCCAAAATTGAAGGCACTTTCACTTGATTTATAAGACCCTTTTACAGGCTTATTGGCACTGGCTTGTGCACTAGTTACTCGGTTTTCAATGAAGTCTATTGTCACAGCTTTCCGTTGTTTTCTTTCGGGTAAGCTCTTAATTTGATCTGCACTTTGTGAACTAGTTTTCGATACTTCCGATGTCGTATCCTCTTCATTTGTTTTCAATATCCCATAAGTTTTGCGCTTTTTAAACTGGTAGCGATGAAATTTTTTTATACCTGAGTTAATAAACTTGTCACGTAGTTTCGCCAATGTATCTTTATTCTTTGCACCTTTTTTCTCCTTTTTCCTCTTTAGTGAGTTACTCATGTTTAAATTTGGTATTCTCTTCAAAATTGTGATGATAAAATGAAAATAAAATGAGAATCTGATTTCAACTTTATAGAAAACATATGCAGACTCAATAGAAATTCAAATAAACTTTCGTTTCTCTCCACGATTTTCAGTTTAATTTACTTTAATACCAGACAATTTTGGAAATACACTATCAGGGTTTTTATGATCATACATTTGATTTGATAAAATAATCTCACAATTTATAACATTCATATTGTGCATATTTTTATTGTTCACCAAGGAAGACAAAAATTATTTCCAATTTAGGATAAATGATAAATCATTTTGTAATGAATACAAATCAAATACATAACAAAGCAAAATTAAATAAATAACAATGATTAACAAAACATATTATTATTTAACATAAGTTATTTTCTTAAATCCGTTGGCCACTTTTAGAGAGGTGTAAATGCTTATGTACCGGAAATAAAGAGAGTTGTTAAAACGAAAAAATCTTTACGATTTTTATTTGACCCAATCCTGAAAAAGGGCCGATATATACAAACTTTTTTTTTTTTTCAAATAGTTATCACATTGTGGTTTCTGTATGCTATTCACTTTATAATGGTATAAAAGATTGTTTTTGTCACACACATACATACTCATTTTTTCACAGTAACCTACTCTGTTTATAAATGGATATTTTCCGACCCCAATTTGTTCTTGGAGATTCATAAATTTTTTCAAATGAACACGCCTCTCTCAGGAATAAGTCTAAATCTTCTTCAACCGATTCTCTCATTTTGATAGAATTAAAATACATGAACGGTTCCTTTTTAGCCCGTTTTAACCTCCTGACAGCAGATTTGTAGCATTTCCAGGGCTGAGGTTCTACAACGAGCACTTTTGCATATTTACTGATGGTTTGAAAAAACGCCATTAAGCCAATATCACCATAGTTGAGATGTATCCACATTGTAACAGAAAATAAAAATACAATGTCAAAATACCGTTTATTATTTAATTCAAGGTGGTCATTGAGTGCATTAATTAATTCACTTTCTTCAGCAACGTTGACACATTTATAGCTGATGTTACAGATGTGATTCTTTTCAATCGCTCTTTCAATCAAAGAGTTGTCTAAATCCAAAGCAAGCGCATAACAGTTTTTATATAAAGATATCTCCTTATAAACTGCTTCAGTTAAATCCTGCAACAAAGAAAAAATTTAGTAATTCATAATGAAGTGGCACACTTTGAAATATATATATAAAATTTACTCTTATAAGTATGTAATAAATAAATATCAAATAATAATAATAAGGCACAATAGTCTTTTTTGTTTATATTTGACTTTCCACAATTTGTGTAATGTTCCACTACTGTTTGTGTTCCGCAAATCATGGAAAGACAAATAGGAACAAAAAAAGGACTATTTCACTACATCCACATCATCAAATATTTCAAAGAAAAATAAGGCGCAATACAAGCAGGGAAGATTAAAATTAAGGAGGATAAAAATGAAATAAAATTTATTAAAATTCTTAATTCTGATTTATTGTTTGTTTATCTATATTTTTATTGCTTTAAAATTTTAATGGATTGATATTTTATTCTCTATATTTTGATTAATGATTAATTAATGCAATTTTTTAATTTATTTTATTTTATTTTTTTTTTTTTTGAACAAGGGTTCGCAACAGCAGAGGTCATATCAACACTCAGGTGTCCGTGTTTTTGAAGAAAAGCTTACTCGCAAAATATGTCGGGTTCAAATGCAGGGCCACTGGATTTGAACCCTAGGCCTTTACCTTACAGTGACAAGGCCAATATCAACACCTAAACCGTTGCAGCCACCGACACCCCTTCTATAATTTACCATTTTTTCCCCTTACTTTTATAACCGAGCTTTAATTAAAATAAATATTTCCTTCAGTGTCATTTTCTTAACTGTTAAAGTATTAGATGTGCTTCAAAAAATTTTTAACACAGACAGCAAATTCTCTTAACTCTTGAAAGAAGAAGAAGAAGAAGAAAAAAAAAAACTATTTTAAATCAAATTAATAGTCCATATTTACTATTTTCAAAATAGACGTAATTGACTCACCCCAGTGTTACATCCAATATCAAGAAAAGAAGTGACATCTCTGCTATCACTGAGTAATAAATGTATCGGTAACAAGTCCACTCTTTCTTTTAGACTATGGAATTTGTAGTAAGTGATAAAATTACCATGCTTTGCAGCACCAGGGTCGAACTCCTCCATTTCTATAAACATACTTTTACTTATTTATAAAAATAAAAAAAGTAAGAAAAAATTAAATATAAATTTAAATATTATTTGTGGTTAGTTTATACTTCTATGTCGAATCTCAGCATTTGACTTTATTATCTGTTTAATTGATTAGGATTTTAATATCTATTTTACTTCAGGTTGGTTAAAGGCTTTCAATAAATATTTACTAGTATTGCTATTATTATTTTACTATGTTTATAAAACTAAATGTATTTCTAAAATATGTACATGTAAAAGTGCTTAAAGCCCTTCTGTAACTTTGAAATAAATAGATAAACAAATAAATAAAAATATGCTCCAAATATAATTTAAGAAGTACAGTGCCAAAACCTGCGTACAGTATAGAGAAAGGATTTTTATGTGTCCCACCTAATTGAAGGGTACACCTCCTTGGCTCTAAATAGAGAGCGAGTAGGAATGCCACCCGAAGTGAGAATTGTGCTTGAGCACGGTAGCACGTATCTGGGTCCCCTGATCTTATTTTTGGAGGAAAGAGATTTGTTTTATTGTATGTAGTAATGATAGTTTTGTGTTCCTACAGAGTGTTGTGAACGTGTTGTGTGAGAGGGCCAACTGAAGATTACTGAGTACCCATCCCATTGACCCTCATTAGGTTGTTTTTTTTTGCATCAGTTTTATAACCCAGCCATATCAATTCAATTTTTTTTTATACAATTTTTACATCCTTTTTTTAGTTTTTCTAAAATGTTTACGATTGTGCTGTACACCTCCACTAATTGAGGCTTCAATATACTGACATATTCTACTGGCTTATTTTTAATCTTTGATTCTCAATTAGGTTAGTTAGGTAATTGTTCTGTTGTATATAGTAATGACAGTTTTGTGTCCCTGGTGTGTATTGAAATTGGTTATATTTATTAGCTTGAGTAGTGTGAAGGTCGATGGCAAAATATTGAGAGCCCCATCAACCCTTAATTAGGGGTTTAGGTTACTAGGGTCAATTAGGGGAATAGGTGTAAAGGTGACGGAGGAAAATCGGGTACTCCACAACCAACTGAGTGAATGTAAATATGAAATAATGAATTTAAGAATGAGTGAGAGTGTGAATGGGTTTGTATCTAGGAACTGCATGCGTTGAGTGCTGAATTGACCTAGCTGATAACATCACCGAGAACCCAACCTTGGCGGCTGGACGGATAAGACCAAGTCCTGCCCCTGGACTACCCTGGGTAGGCGATTCTCAAGGTCTGCCGATAATTTATTGTATATTATGAAAGCTAGAATTGCCGGTGGTCTGCTTAAAGTGATAGGCTCAACTCTGCACTTGTTTGCATATATGTGCAACAGTGTGTATTTGAGCTAATATAATTACAAATCTATCCAATTTAAGTAGTACATATATATCATTTTTATAAGGTAAATTATCTTGTGGCGTAAATAAATCTTTTACTAACTATGTAACACTGGTGCATCCTTATTCATTTGTTTATTAAGTACCACATGTAAAGGCAGTTTGTAAGTGTAACTGTCAGGTGATGGAACCTCGACACTTAACCATCTAACTTATTATATTTAAGATAATAAAAATATTTAAAACATAATCTCATAATTGTTTTTTTAACGATTTTGAGCGTGTCTTTTTCTTTTCATCGGAGACTTTTAACCATTAATCTATAAGTTGTGATTCTACAAAACGAACCTCGCTCTTTGTTATAGTTGTTTACCTATTAGGTACTGCTTCTTTATCAGACAAAAGTCCGTTGACAACAGCCAAACAAAAATTGAAAACACTTCTCGCGATGCAGATGTTCAGGGCAACGAAAATAGAGACGATGTCGTGGTAAATATCAACCGGTGTAAAATTATTGATACTATGATGTTTCATAAATTGTTTTGTTAGCGAACAGCAAGCGAGATTCGTCCAGGAAAGGCTAATATCCATTGAAGAACACCTATGCGAACTGTGCCAAGCCATGGGGATTTACGCGAGAAAAACGTCCAAGTAACATTTTCAACTATAAAATGACAAACAATAACAAATTTGCACACGTAGAAAATCTTTTAACGGCATTACCTTGGTTTTAACAGCTAGGATAAAAGTAGGACAACCGTGCCAATTTGGTCGAGGTTGCATACATTCAGCAGTGTGCAAATTGCAGAACAGCTATCGCCTTTGTCACTACTGACATTCCGTTCTGTTGGATTTTTACAGCACCACGTCCGCTAGTAGGTGACGGACTGTCATTTGGCGGCATCCTCCCACGGACCTTTAAGCTTGTTATAATAATTAATAAAATAATAACGACGAAAAGCTGAAATTCGTTCGGCTGACAAAACAGCGAGATATAAAAACTTCGTAAGCTTTACCAACGTTTATTTTTTAGGTTAACTGTTAAGTTGGAAAAGCTTACATTTGTACATGTGAAAATAGGAGGGCCAAAATGATAGTAAACGTCTAATCTTTAAAACCAGCCTTTACGTTTAAACAGAGCATACGAAAAGCCAACGAATATTCCTATATTTTAAAACAACCGAAAGGTCCTGATTTCACTGAACTGAAATTATCCTAAAGGTGGTACAGAAACAGTGTTTAGAATACTTCAAAATTCATTATATACAATTTTTATTACCTAATTCTAAAGTATTGAGTAAAGAATAAAAAAATAAATAAAAATGTTTAAAAAAACTTGTCTCCTTTAATACGAGTACATTATCCACCTTTAGCAAAAATCATATCTGTTAAAAGACTGCCATCCAAGGAAAATTTCTGGTAAAACCGTGAGGAATTATTTTACATTATCAAGAGCAGCCATTTCCGACTCTTCTAGGTCCAGTGTTAGGACCTGGGTTTCGCCATCGAACCCGGTCGCTTTTGGTCCCAAATGCGTTCGATTGGGTTCAATCTGGATTTCGAATTGGTCATACCAAACACTCAATTCCAACTTCATTCAGGTAGTCATTCACAATTCGTGCCCTATGGGGCCTGGCATTATCTTGCGTTAGCAAGAACTCGCCTTCTCACATAGCCGACTGCCGCACCAAAGTCCTTTTAACCGCTGCAGAGTCAGACGTCGCTCTCGGTCAAGGACCACTACCAACGACACACACGGTTCCGGCCTCATCCATCGTCGCCACATCACAGAACCCTTGTCAGGACCACCAAAACTCCCAGTCACTAAACCCTATTCATTTTTGAGCAGTTTAGTTTATTTGTATTGGTTTTAAAAAACGAAAAGAATGGATTTATAGTGTATAAACTTTATACGTTTTTATAGTTGTATAAGATTGTGTTCCATTTGTCAATTCATGACCTTAATAATCGAAATTATGGTATTTTATTACATTTATTTAATGTTTCGTTTTTTCTTGAGATCAATTATATTTTTGAGATTACCATTTCTTACGTCATTGAATAGATCAAACGGGCCAGTGGAGAGAATCGGTATAATAGGTGATAGATTCTGGTTACCTTTTGTTACCTTCCGTTTTAAAATCAAACTATAGAATAAATTAAAGTCAATAGGCTCGCCTTTGTTTACACGACGTTTTCCTTAAGAGGTTCGTCGTTGGAGTGTGCCATCCTCTCAGCGGATCTGTGAGCCGAAGCCGGTCCTAAATGAGAGAGATGTCGGACAAGAACAAAACGTCGTCGGGGAGCGGGACGAAGCCCGTGCCGATGAAACTGTTCGCGACGTGGGAAGTGGACAGGACGCCATCCAACTGCATCCCCCGGCTTTGCTCCCTCACACTCACGAGGCTCGTTTTGCTCAAGTCACTCGGCGCTGACGTCAATTCGATATCAATCGCCGTCAAAATGCAAGGCTCGAAACGCACACTCAGGTCGAACGAAGTCGCCCTCCCGGCCAACGCACTTCTCGACACAGAGCTCCAGCTCAACTTCTCCCTGCAGTACCCTCATATTTTGAAAAGGGAAGGCAACAAACTCCACATAATGATTCAGAGAAGGAAAAGGTACAAGAACCGTACCATCCTCGGATACAAGACTCTGGCCATCGGCTTAGTCAACATGTGCCAGGTAGAGAAAATAATGTATATAATAATTGTGAAATGTCAGTTTTGCAAAGTTCATTGAACTCACTAATTTAATTTTTAAGAATGGTTTCACCATTTTTTCATGTAACATCAAGGGACGATCAACCTAGTTTTTTTTCTTATAAGATTTTCTCCTTCATATGCAGGATGATAACCTCTTGTTTGATAGGTCACCCTATCCTTGCAGATATTTGTTGGTTAAGTTGTTTTTGGAATTTCACCATATTCTGGGTACGGGTGATATTTGTGATATACACTAATGGACAAATGTAACACACCATTCAATTTATGTAATTTAACATTAAATCCATTATTATTAGTTACAGGTAATTAGGAGCTATCGTAGTCAAAATGAACAGTAAATAATTGTTGATTTATTTTTGTACTCAACAATCCCATTTGCTCAAAAAGTAGTATTATATCATTCCTTTCTGCTATGCCTAAAGATCGCTTTCAGTTAATATTTTTCCTTCATTAATTTCATTTAATATTATTCTTATTCTTAAACCTTTAACAATGAATCCAGTCAGGCAGTTTCAAGAGTAGGACAGTGTCATGGTCTTAGTATTATTAGAGGAAGGATACAGACAGCACGAAGTAACCAGGAGACTGTGTGCAAATCACCACAATAGGAAGGGTTTTTGGTGCTTCAGAGAAATAGGGCTTCCCTCTAGAAGGCCAAGACAGGGTAGACCTAGGTCTACAGGCCAGAAAAACGATAGATTCATCTGTCACCAGACTCTACAAAACCGCAGCATAATGGGAAATGAGGAATACAAGTCTGAAATGTTTCTATTTCCTCCAGGACTGTACGAAGAAGGCTGAATGAAAATAACCTCAGGGCCCGGCACTTAGCTCATGGACCTCTTCTTACCATAGCTCTGAAAATAGCCAGACTTCAATTTGCACGGGAACATGTGAATTGGATATTGGAAGATTGGGAATGAGTTCTCTCTATTGATGAGATTAGAGTTGGCCTCAAATAATTAATTAATTTCATTTGGAGATGATCAGGAGAAGATATGCCCTATGCTGCTCCTAACTGGTGGTACTTCTTTAGAGGAACAAAACATAATTGAAGAACATGTACTGCCATTTACCCCCCCCCCTACATTTGTGAGAGTTCTTGCTAATGCAGGATAGTGCCAAGCCCCATAGGGCACGTGTTGTGAATGACTACCTGAATGAGTTTAGAATTGTGTGCTTGATGTGACCAGTTCGAAGTCCAGATTTGTTCCAATCAAATACATTTGGGACCAAAAGTGACTAGTATGACGGCAAAACAAGTCGTAACACCCCCCCTCTTATATGAAAGACTGTTCTTGATGAATGGGAAAGAATTCATCAGGATTTTATCACAAATCTTTTCTAAGGAATACTAAGGAACTAATGGGATTCGTGCCAGAAGTGGAAATGCTCGGCATTAAAGGGTGAAAACGTTTTACTTTTAAATGTTTATTTGTTTTTGTTTATTTTTACTCAATAATTGTTTTTTAAGTTGATGGATAGGAAGTAAATTATCTTTTCCACAATAGGCATTTGTTGTGTCAGATGAATTTCAGCCTAATATAGGTCATCTTCAGTGACTTTTTTAAAATAAAGTAGTATGATGTTTTTTACATAGTTTGGGCATTCTTGACAGGCAACTCGCCACATTCATAGTCATCCAGACACCAAAATCAGGATTGTCACTTCAAAATATTGTTTTTTAGAAATAGGTAATAAAAATTTTCTTTTTAAATGTCTTATTTTTACAACCAAATCTATTTTTGGCATGCCAAATACGAATAAACAACCTAAATGCGGGTTTAAGGGTGTGGTGCGTTCATTTTGTCCATCAATGTATATCACACATACACTGAAGATGGTGAAGTGCCGAAACACGTCTGAACCAACAAAAATCAGTGAGGACAGGGAAACCAGAATGATAGGTAACTATCAAACAATATAATTTTTTCTTCTTCTTTTTCATTTCTACTTAAAGACTAAGAGTAGTTCGTAGTATTTTTGGATCATTTTGGTCTGTCAGACTTATTTCATTGTATTCATTGATCGTTCTGGGTTTTATTTGATTTATTGTGCCCTTTTATTGGTTGGGTACATACGTTTTTTTGCTTTTCATAAAAAAAAGTAAAACTTTCAACATTTATTTTAGTTTTAGTACAAAACATAATTCCTAACTGCTAGCATTCTATAGCATAAGTGTACTTCTGCCGTAATAGTTCGAGAACGACAGTGAAAATTCATTCTTCTTTCAAAGGGTCCTTCAGCGTTTAACATTTTTGTAAGGGAGCCACTTCTCATCCCCAAGGAACAAATAAGAAATAAACCCTTCTGATTATTCCTCATCAGGTGTGAAACACAAGCCAGGCAGTCTTCGTTTATAGAAATAATAAAGGTGGAGTGAGTATGTCAGTTCCTTTTTTGTAATAAAATCTGTGAGTAGAACTATCATCGACAAAAGTGCTTCCTTGTTCCTGAGATAATTCATGGTGAATCAAGTTTCACAACTCAGATATCGAATTTTTCTTTTTATTGCTGTGCATTGTACCTGAAATCTCTCTGATAGTTCTGGTACAGTTAATTTGCTCTCAGCTTCCATTGTCAATAATAAATCATTGCTTTATAGATGTTCCACATAAAGGTTGGTCTTTGATTTGTCTCCACTACAAAAATATCAAAATTACTGTTGTCTCACACATCCAATTACTATTGTATCACTATACATTGCACATAAATTTTGACAGGCATGCCCAAGATAGAACTCATATAGCAAGCAATGCCTCAAATGAATGTTATCTATTTCCATGTTGTACTTGTCGTAGTTTATTCTAAACTGACTTTTAGGATCAACTACCCTTTCTTAACAATCTCTTTCAATAAGACTTTTCCCACCATAAAGCTTACAGGTCTGGCAGGATAATGAATCACTTTTATAAGGATGATAGTAAAAAAACTTACATACACTCCCAATATAAGTTTGATGAGAATCTTGGCTTTGTTTTGTTGGTTTCTGTATTAATTTTTAGTGGCGGGTCAGAAAATCTAACCACTGACGATAGAGTAATGCCAAAACTTTGTGGCACTGATTGGCTTTTGACAGTGACAAACAAAATTAACAGACCTAGATAATCAGGCATGATCATCTTATATACTTATGCAATTTCTGCTAATTACAGTACAAATCAGTCTGATAGACGCATTTAGGCTTTTCCACATCTTCACTGGTAGGTCTGTGTATTGTCTGTTGTGTCCTTTCATAAGTTTGTGTCTGCAGGGTGTGGTCATTTCTGATTATTTTTGTCTGCCCAGCCTGCTGGTTTGGTCTGCCTGACTTCATTTCTCATTCAATGGTTGACTTACGTGTATTTCTAAACATCAGTATTTTTTTAAATTATGTTAAATGCAATAATCATTATGGGAATCAGTAGAACAAATTTAATTATGAAATATTGTGATTAGGTAAGTTTGGTGATGAACCTTAAACACATTAAAGTGATCAAAAACGATCAACCTATAGAAATAGTTTGCTTGCTTCTATTTGCTAAGAGCACATTTACTCTGAATGTTTGTCTAATTGAGGCCTTAAAGGGTGACCCTGTAGTTAGATTAAACCAACCATTGTGATCCGGTCAGACCAAAGCAGCAATGATAGGTAGACCAGGAGGATCCAAAATGACCAAATTACAAAAATTCAACTTTGCTTTTTTTATTTTTTATCACAATTTTACATTTCACCATAAGCTACAAAACTTTAAAATATACATCTTTCCTTAGGTGTTGCAGAGGCAGTTGGATCTTGAGTTGGACCTTCTGTCTGATTTGAAAGAATCCAAGGGTCACAGCTGTGTCCTTGCCAGGGTCAGCGTCAGTGCTTTGAACAGTCAGCCAGTAGATTATGAATTGACGACAAAAACTCCTCACGGACGATTGGGCAGATTGGGTGAATTTTCTGATGAGGACGAGGAATTCAGTTCAAATGATGAAGGGTCGGATTCGGAGCCAATGCTCGAAGAGAGGAGGAGGAAGAGCAGTATGCCCCAAAGCACAGCAAGACAGAGGAATTTCAAACAGAAATTTATTTCACTGTTGAAGAAATTTCGTGCAAATGAGGATCTACATGGACTTGGTACAGATCGCGAGGTTATGTCCAGCAAACTTTCACAAGGGGATATGGACCCTGCGGAAATTGAAGATCTATTTGAAGAGCTAGACCTGAGCGACTCTGGCCCAGAACAGGACACAATCAGCATATCGTCAAATCCTAAACCTTCTCTCAGACCTTTTTTCTCATCTAGTCGTTCACTTCTTCAAGACTCCATTCAAGGTTCAGACATGAAAGATGACTACTTAAGAAGAGCAGATGGGATTTTGGGCCCAGGTACCAGTTCTCCTCCAAAGAACGAAAAGTCAAAAAAAGAAATATCAGAAGGGGAAAAAGAAAAAAAGAAAAAAAAGAGCGATTTTTTGGCCCCAAAAAATAGTTTGCTTAAAGAAGGCTGAGATAAACTTAAATCTTTGACTAAACAACAGCATATAACAATTTGATGGTATACATATATTTTTTACTTAAATCATATTTATATGTGATCCCCCTTGTACTGATAAAAATTTATACATTTCCTTTTGATTTTATATATTTATAGATTGATATTTCTTCACTTAGTTTGAAAATTTTGTTTTATATTTTTATATCTAATCACTAGTCAAAAATTCATTATAATTATGTTGGTGACAAATGCTCCAAATTAAAATTATTTTGTTTACTTGGTTTTCCACAAAATATTTATAGAAGTTAGTCCAAAAAAGTGTATTGGAAAGCAATTTAAAGGTCCCTGTGTTTGATTATAAAATTAATCAAAAAAATTAAATCTCTTCTTAACTAATAATTCAATAGCATTCAGCTATTGACAAAGTTAAACTGAAAGAAAATTCACCATAATAAATTGTATGCTATGGTTGAAATTTTCAGCACAAAATAATTTCTTTTAGTTTAAAACATTCCTTCATTTTGTTGTTTAATGGGAAAAAAATGTTTTCAAGTTTATAGTGATTTTTCATTATTTTTACTAATCTATCATAAACATTTTTCATAAGAGATACAGCCAAATTATTTTATGTATATGCGTTAACTAAAGTAGGAAGTTAAGAACGAGCAATGAGTTTTTTTTTATATATATAAATTAATTTGAAAAATCAATTAAAGACGCCCTGGAATGTTCAAGCTTTACTTCCAATGGGCGGTTTTTTAATTAAAAGAAAAAAGTGCCATCATATTTTTACCATTTTTGCAATGTTCAATGATTAATTTATGCCACTATCTTACTATAATTATCAAAAAAACAAAAACTATGAATAAAATTGAAATAATTTTGTTAGAATAAGTTTTCTTAAAAGGACTGAGTTAAAGTTCCAGTGTCTGATTAAGCATTAACAAAAATAAAATAGTTATATATATTGATGAAATCAATAGTCTGAAGTTATTTATAAACTTTAAACATTAGTTTGTGTTATATTTAACAAAATGTTACTGATGTTGAAAAATATTGATGTTTAGGTAATAATATTTAATAAATGTGTTATGAATATTGTGATTAGATTGAAATAATTGTTTCTAATTGTAAAACTTTTCTTAAATACATTGTCATGCAATACTTAGACTGTAAATGTAAATTGAAACTGTTTGGGTATTCTTTTAAAATTGTTCGAAATTATTTAAAAAAAGGACGGCAATTTTTTTTCTGAAGAATATTGGCATTAAAAAGTAAAGACTGCAAAAATTTTGTTTGTAGAATTAAAACAAATATATATTATATGTATATGTGCGTCAACAGAGGACTGTTAGTGTGCTAAATATTTGTTTGATGTGATGTACCTGATTAATTTTTTACCAGTTTTTATTATATTATTTATTGTATATTTATTATTAATCGTATTTGTAATAGCGAGCATCATGATGCTAATGTAAAAATAAATCAATCATTTGACTTACATTGAGTTTGTATATTCCCAACCCTCAAATAGCAATTTATACAATTTTCCCATTCTGTACATACATATTCAAGAATCTGGAAAATATTGTGTGCAAAAACTAATCTCCAAAGCATTTTCCATACAGTACTAAATATAAAAATATAAAGTATCATGTGGATGTAATCATACAGGAGAGATGGACAACTAAAATCTCACATGCTAACATAGATAAGTTGTCTGACTGCTTATAAATAATTTTTTAAATTGGATGTTTAAATTCTCATGGAACATATCAAATGTTTTCCTGGACCCAAAACCGCTAACAAGACAAACAAAAAACTTATTTCCTAAAAATCTCGCCCTAAGTATGCTGTATTTATACCTTACATAAACAAAATTTATTAGTTTATCCTAGTTTTAAACTACTGTTTTAATTTATTAGGATGAGAGATGCAAATGATCTCCTTGCCTCGACACTGTATGAAACTGCTTCCAAAGAAACGTTAAACAGAAGCACGAAAAAAGGGATGCTGGAATTGGCAGAGAACCTGGCAACAGTTGGCGATAGCAGGTAATATTGAAGGTCGACGGTCATTCAGAATTTAATTGCTCAATTCCAATAATTCTTAATACTGTGACCCTAGAGACGAAGCGACAAAAGAATTGGAAAAAAAAGTACTTTTACCATTATCACAATATAAAGTTTACTGTCGTAACGCAAAACTGGAAACGAGGCACATATATGGAGCTAAACAGAAGGAATTGTTTAAAAGGCGACAGCTGGGGAAAGTTAGGGAGAAAGATCCATATAACGTTCGTCAGATTGTATCCTTACTTGGAAACTCTTCGAACAGTATACCATATTTTCTTTAGCAAAATTTTAGATGAAAGCTGAAAATGATGTAAATAAAGCATCAATAGAGGTATCTCACACGCAAAAAGCTCTTGAAGAACATGTGGAAATTTTTGAAAAGAAGAAACTAAAAGATATAAAGCAATTGCTGTTGCAGTTTGCCGAATCAGAACTAGCCTTTCATGCTGAAGCAGTTGGAATATTCACAAAAGCTTATAAAGATTTGTTGAAAATAGATATAGACAGCGATTTTGAGGTAAAATATGATATACAGTGTTTTAAAGGAAATCGTGTTTTTAGGAAGAACAACACAAACATGTTTTTTTTTAAATCTTGGTTATCTCTGAACAACCTGGTATAACTAGTTTTGTCTGTCAGAACTCGGATGCATTTCAGCATTTCGCTATCTGATCAATAAAACTGAAAATCTGCACTAGCTACTGTTCCATCACCTCATATATCTCACCACATTTCACAATATAATTTTTTAAGTAATTTTCTTTTCTTGTAAGGATTTTAGGCAAATTTTGACGCAACAGCCGACAAATTATAAAGTAGAAACGTTAAAAAGGAATAGTTCAATTGAAAAAATTGGTGCATCCAGGCTGGGAGAAAACCTTGCGAGCTTTCTTAAGTTTTCGCCTAAACAAATTCCAAAGATGGCAACGGATTTAAAAAAAGAAATTGCTTCCTCTAATTCCGTAAGTAAATTAAATTCAGCATTTTACATTTAATTTTACTGATTATTTGGAGATCGTGAGATGCGGTCGTACATTCATTGTAAATTCATTTTTTCACATCTTACATGTATTTTTATAATTTAAACAATATTTATAAATCCCAGGCCCTGAAGATGATCTCAATAAAGATCGAAACGGCACGATAAAGAAAACGTTTTTCTAAACCTACGTCACACCGACTGCATCTCACGATCTCCAAATAATCATTAATTAACGGTCACTAAATACCACACATTTATTTTTAAGGCGAGGACGTCAGCAATTCTTGGATCGAATAATGAACTGTCATATGATAGCTCGAGTGAATCGGTGCCAACTTCAAATAGCAATAGGGAAAATTCGCCTGAAGAGATTACTATTGAAAATTATCCAGTTGGAAACGTTATCACAACAGACAGATAAAAGTCTTAGCTTTGTTAAATATTTATAAGTTTTAAACATAATAATTACCACTGACAAGGTTCTACAGAAAAGCAGATTTGTGTCTGTAAAACAACTACATCACCGCCAACAAATTATTGTTTAAATTAACACTCTTTAATATTGCCAGTCATTTATCCTTGTCTTAAATAACATTTGCTTAATTCAGAATGAAGGTTACTAAAAATGTTGAAAATACACTCATGAAATTAAAATAAATGTTTTTATTTTTGCAAATACTATTTCACAATAATCTTAATGATTACAATAATATGAAAAAACTTCATTAATTTTTCCACCTTGGCAAAAAAACTGAGCAAAATTGTCACTGCAATAATATGTAAAAACCCTTCGGTGCATTCAGTCAGTAGGACGACGAGCTCTAGTAAAGCATCTAAATAGAAAAGTAGAAAAATTGTATTATATAATTACATAATTTTAAATTATCTGTATATATTATCGTCATACATACCCATGTGAATAAGGATTTTCACCAAGCACTGTAGAACACAAATAGCAAAGTTTTGTTCCACATTTGCAAACAACTACGTTACAACCACCATCTTTCACATAAACGTGATTACATATTAAACATTTTCTAAAATAATTTATATTATTAATTTATAAAGGTCTTCTCGCTTATATAATGTACAAGATGATACATTTTTCAATGCACAAAAGGAAAAACAATCATCACCTGCTTAAATGGACTATCATGTCACTTGATCTAATGTTGGTCTGCGCGTTGGTGAAATTTTGTTAAACCGGCGCTGAGTTACTTATTGGGGTTTGTCATAACATGAAGGTTTGTGTTGAATAACTAATTTAGTATAAATCCGTGAGTAAAGATGGACTCCAATAAGTAACACAGTGGCGATTCAACATCACTTCATTCCAACCATAATTGCAAGTTAAACTGGTCTTTTTTTCTTTTTTTTCCCATTCGTTAGGGAGACCTATACCAGCGTACCACACCACACTGGGGGTGTGAAAAAGAAAACAATTAATCAATTGTACTGTCAGGCGTGTCGGGGGCTGCAACTGTTTAGGCGTTGACACGGTGCTCATTACTATAAGGTTAAAGGTCCCGACATTTTTCAAAAACACCAGCACCCCAAGGGTTTATATAACCTCTGCTGTTGCAAACCCCCGTATTTAAGTATATATTAAAAAAAAAAAATGTACTGGCATTTTTATATATGATGCTACCTACAATTTGTGTACGTTTTCAAAGCCAGTGGAATTGGTGTAAATTTTGTATTTTGTATTCCATAGATTCAAAGAAAGAAGTTGAGAGGGACTCGTTCTTGCAAAGGTACACACATGCCACATATTCATTCAACTTAAGGCGAAGTCTTCAAACACCTCATTTGATGCCAAACTCATTTAATAATAATAATATTTAACTTATTTTTCCCAAACATTACAAATTTTTATTTTAGGTTTTTAATTTAGGTAAGTAATTAATAAATTTTCACTTCACATTAGTGGTTTTTGCAGCTTTAGTTATACATGGAAAATCAATTCTTTTGTTACTAACCAAAAAAATCATCATTTTATTCTTAGAAAATTAAGAAGATTGCACCAAGAATCCATTTAAGCAGGTGTGAATTCATATAATGTGCATACATAATATATGTATATGTAGTGAATATGAAAATGAACCTCAGAATTTTGTTTGAAGCACTTTCCTCCTTCAAAAGTCTTGCAAGTTTATCTTTGCCTCCTTCTTTTTCATTCTCCTTACAATTCAAGGGTGTGTGATCTTTTTGTTTACACAGCCTGATGGAAAGTGTAAGAATGAGACAAACGAATCTATATGAAATAACTTAAGTTTTATCTTACCTACAAATTCTTTCTCTGCATCTTGAGCAAAAGAAATATTGTTCATTTTCTTCTGGGATGGCTGCGTATTCACAAAATGAACAAAATTCAATTCCTGGAATATTGGCCATTTTTACTTCGCCCTCCTGAATTTTGGAACACAGTTTCTCAAAAGCAGTGTTACTTATAACATTCTGCAAATATACAATGAAAATATTAAGTAAATATTAATTATTCACAGACACTTTGTTTATTTTTTATACGGCTTTGGAGTTCAGTTATGAGGATCTGACATAAAAAAAGGGTCTGAGGCTATATTAGCCAGCCTACATCACTTACTTTAACAGATTGTAAAGGAATAAATCCAACACAATCATCAAGGCATGGAAAAGCTAATTTACCCTCACCAAGTCTCACTTCCACATATCTAAAAAGTAAATGTGAAAAGTTAAATTACTTAAATTAACTGACATACGAGATATCAGCAGTTACTAACTTTTGCACACAAGTATCACAAAAAATGTGCCCTTCGCTGCAAGTTATGATTTCGTTATCCAGAACATCATCAGCATAGCAGCATTCACACAGAAATACATCCCCCTTTAAGAATAAACGAGAAATTAAATGGAGTTCATTTGTAATATATAATTAATGGCTGGAAATTAAAATAAAACCTCAATTTTCTTGATTAACCTCAATTCTTCTCTATAAAGAAGAAATTCTTCAATCTTTTTATAGTTCTCAACAAACCTAACCTAAGAGGAAAGAAATTATAATATGTTATGCATATCACAAATGTAAATATGCAAGTACACACCTCTTTAACAAAATTAATACACAAAGGAGAATTTTTTTTTAAGCCACTTTCAACTCTATCGTTTGTTGTTTTGTTTGGAGGATTTGCAGCAATATGTTGTACAATATGAAGAAGATTGTATGACTTGTCTACCATGACACTTGCAATATATTCAACTGGGTAGAAAAGGTACCTAGAAAAATATAAAATTAAAGATCCATGAAAGTAAATTAGTGTATTAGTTTTATGTATATGTATTATTAATATTATAATAAAACACTTTTAAATGGACTAGATCAATTCTAAATGGACTAGTCTCAATTCATAATAATCTGTAAAACCTGTTCTCTTCATGGCTAACTTTCTGCCCATTGATCATAAGCAATGATGGACATTCTTAAGTATCATACAACCCCTGTCTTTTATGATTTTTAATTCCATTTTCTCATGTAATCACTTTAAACTGCTTCCAGCCACAATTCTAACTTGTGTATATACATTTGCCATATATCATGACTTTCATTTAGATTTATTAGCTAAGGCTTCGAGTACAATAGGAGCAACGGGCTTGTGTTTATGTTAACATTGAGTGTAATTATTTTAATTAATTATACTTTTTATTTAATGTCTTGGTCGATGTAAAAAGTTAGTGTCTCAAGCACGATTCAAACCACATCCTTCAACTCAATATGCATTTGAACTAGTAGCTACCAGCTTTGGAGATTGATAAACAACCTGAAGCTAGCCAGTGAGTTGTAAAAACTAGAGGAGCACAATAGACCTACTCAGATTGAATCCTTATTCCTGGTTTCTTTTCAAGTATTAAGGGAAAAAGCGAACAACAATTTCTTGGCAAAGTTTTGAAGACCTGTGTATATACTTACATAAATGCATACTAGACTCAAACATTTATTTTCATATATGTGATTTACAATAAATGTTAATCTGACTTTAATAGCGGTTTACCCCAAGGCTCTATTCTTAAACCCTTACACTTTTCCATGTTTCTAACTAATCTTCCATTAGTTCTTATTTTCTTCCAATTTCATCTTTATGTTGATGACACAGCTTTACATTCTACAAGCAATATCTTCAAGATCTTCATTTTCTCAACCATGGTTAAGAAATGATGGAATTTTTTTAAACCGTAACAAATCCCAGTCTTCCAATAAACCCATTAATACAGATTGCCTACCCCATCCTCATATCAACAGGTCTCCTTTAAATTTTTGTCCTCAAGTTAAAAATCTTAGCATGGCCATGTGAGTTCTACTATTGAAAAGATCTATTCAAGCCTCCATTCTCTTTGACACCTTAGCTTTGTGACTCCACAGAAAACTAGAGTTCTCCTTATTAAATCCCTAATAATTCCTTTATTCTGTTAGTGCAGCGATATTTTTTCACTTTCATTAGACTCTCAATTTGCTCATCGCCTTCAAATTGCTTATCATTCCTGCATTGATGTAATGTTATGATCTTAAACCAAGAGATCATATTTCTTCACTTAACATTCTAAGCACTTATAAACTTGTAATACACATATTTAAAATTAAACCAAATAAAAGTCCTCCAAAGTGGTTAGCATGAGAGACTCTCACACCGCGGTCGTGGGTTCGATTCCCACCGTCGCCTCTGGCCCTTTTTTCCCGATAACCCCCAATTTGAACAACATCTATAAGAATTCGTCATGGCTAATATGCAAAGATCATAAGGCCAAAAAAAAAAGTCCTCAATGTCTATAAACTTTTTTCCTTATCCAAAACACCAATCATATCCCAACCTTCAACACTGCTCTAAAACTGTAGCCACAGAATTCCAGAGGCAAGATTATGGAATCTGCTTCCCCGGGAAGTATTTTCTTCTTTCTCACTGGCTTGTTTACATCCATGATATCTGAGTTTTAAAAAGAATCATCTCTTTTTCTACCCTCTACCATATTTCCCCCATTAACTTTACTCTGTGTCGACTTTTCTTTCGTAATGTAATTTTATCATTCGATTATAAATAATGAATATTTTAATTAATACATTATTGTTTTGTATGTTTTATTATATTTTATTATTGTTATTGATATTATTATTTAACTTTGTTTATAAAACAAAATTTATTTCTAAAATATGTCTAAAATTGGTACCTTTAACATATAAATAAACTGATTGAAATTAGACATATTTTGGCAAGAGTGTGGGGTTGAAGTTTTTGGTACATAGTTGTAGGTTAAACTTTTAAATTTGAATCTAAAATACTTAAAGCCAGATTAGGTCATACAAAAAAGAACATTTTCTTTTAATTTAAAATTGTTTTAGTTAATCAAAGTGGATTGAATAATTACTGACTTCCAATGCACTTGTTAAAATATGTCTAATTTCAATCAGTTTATGTAAATAAATGTTGGAGAATGCATGTTACTAACTTGTATTAGGATTAGGGATAGGGATAGAAGTGGCATCCACAAGGCCTTCTACACCTCGATCTGAGTAGATCTATTATGCTCCTCTATTTTTATAATTCACTGGCCAGCTTTAGGTCATTAATCAACCTCCATAGTCTTTCCAGCGGGTCTTTAGTTTAGGATCCTGCTTGCAGCTTTTTCTCTCCTATTTGCAAGAATCTACGCCTATATAGATCTTCACGAAAACATAAAGCGTGTTCTGCGGTTTCCTCTTCTTCCTGGCAGCATCTGCACAGTTTTACTTCTGTCTATACTCCTATTCGAGGGCGTACTTAGGCAGCAGTGCCCTGTCAGGGGTCCAACCCAGAGTGGTTCTGTTCCAGTAATTTCTTTGTAAGTCTTGCAGATGTCCTTCTATGAATCTCTTCACGTGCCTCATGCCTAGGATATTATTCCACCAGGTTTTGTACTCTTTAAGGATCCATTATTGGATGTCTCCTTTTTTTTGTGTGTGTGTGTGGTAAGCAAGATGCTAGGCGACAATAGGTTCAGGGCTTCAGCATTCATCACCACTGGCTCCTTTTTCGACCAAAATGTCCACTTTCTCATTGCCTCTCCCGAATGCCCAAGGACCTATGCCATGGTCAGGTCATGGTGTCACTGACTTCTTCTAGGGGTTCCATACAATTACGTACCTTTAGAATCTTGCTTTTCTCTCCTAGTTGTAAGAATCTTCAAAAAACATAAAACATGTTCTTGGTCTCCTCTTCTTCCTGGCAACATCTACACAGTTTTACTTCTGTTTGTACTCCTATCCGGAGCATATGCCTTCTTAGGCAGTAGTGCCCTGTCAGGAGTCCAATCAGATTCGACTCCAACCTGAAGCTGCCTAACTCTCAGCAAAAATGACTATCTCTCATGAATGTATTCCTAGACTTTTTATTTCTCTGGCACAGAGTTCAATCATTATGATTTCAGAATGGAAAACCATAGCATATTTTCCTATGTTTAAAATCAGTTCGGTCTTCAGATTCATCACAATGACTCCAGCCTCGTGCCTTTATCCATTTTTGGGCCATCATTAATTTAAGATTAACTTTAACAATAATATTAATGTGTAGTAATAATAATTCATACAAAATGTACATTTTAACTTATTTAACTTTTTAACTTATTTATATAAATGTTTGTCATGAGGGTGGCTTTATAAATGCTGAAAACCTTGGCAAATAATCAAACTTTGCTTTAATTTTTTTTCACACAATGACTAGAAATCAGATATTCAAGATTTTCATAGACATGTGGTCGATCAAACTAGTCTACCTATTATTTTTAATACTTTGGTATTGAATTGTACAGATCGGCGTGATGCTGCTTATTAGTGATTCTGTTAAGCCTACTTAGTATCTCTCCCATGTGGTCTAGTGGCTAGGATATCTGGCTTTCACCCAGAAGGCCCGGGTTCGATTCCCGGCATGGGAACATGTTTTTTTGAATAGTAATAAATTAACTGGTTATTTAGAATTATTTGCTTAATGTTATCTAAAATAAAATTATAGTATATTGCAATTAATTATTCTTTTTATCTAAGGTTTTTCATTTCAACCATAACCCTTAGATGAAAAAGAATAATTAATATGGTCTATTATGACCAAAATCTAGAACAATAAAAAAAAATTATAAAAAATCATAAAAACATCTTTCTCATTAAATGCATCAACATTAGAAGAGTAACTGAACAGAAAAAGACACGATTCAGAAAAGGAAAGAAAAATTCATTTAGGCACATTTAACTCACAAATATGCGCAATTTTGTACTTTAAAATTTTAGTTGTTTTAATTTAAAAGTTTAAATTAAGGCAGAGAAGAAAATGATTAATAAAAAGAGATAGATATAGAGGAGGGAAATAGTAATAACAAATTGTACCTGTCTTTTAAATACTCGAACATTTGTTCTTTATGCTGTTTCGACTTAGGAAGTTGTTCGAAATAAGTGAGCGGATCCTTCGTCCTGAGACTTTGAAGAAAATCCTCCACGTCCATTCGGTCGACGTTCAGGATGTCTCCGGGCAGGACGAATTCTTCTTCGATTTCGGTTTGGAGTAGCGTCGGGTCATCGAGTGTCTCGGAGACGAAGGAACAAAAAGCCTCTTCATCGGTGCCGAATTCCTTGCATTTCATTATTAAAGTGTTGCGGTTTGCCGATGGAAAAATCGAAAGCAAATAATTATAGTGGCGGCTTATTGTTAAAAATTCCGGAAGTCCGTCGGCGTCCATCGCTGAGAAGACAATCCAGTTGATTCCCAAATGGCGGCTCGATGCTCACAAAGGCAATTTTTCCGCACTAATAAACCATATCCATTAATATAATTTAATTCCAAGCTAGCGATCATAAAACAAATCCACCAGCTATAGACGTAGCACAATTCTATTAGAATGGATGAATTCGGTACCAACTACCAGCCCCGTTACGGTAGCACTTTTTGAGAATTTTTGACCTGAGATACTAGTAATTCTCCTGTACTTGTTTCCGCTAAGAACTAATGTTGAAAATGACCGAGTAACGCGTAAAGTCAGATTTAATCAGTCCAAACTGTCCAAAATAATAGTGTTTAAATAAGATATCAAATTATTCATATCTTTTATCGAAAAATTTATTTTATGTTGAAACTTATCTGTGAAAGTAGGGTCATAACATTCTAAAGAGACGGTTCTATTGTGAACTTAAGAGATTATTCAGATTACAAACTACATTGCTATCCCTTTTATTTACATGCTGTATAAAGACAACATTTTTGAATCTACAGCTTAATTCATTTGTATGATTTTCATCCAATTATCTCACAAAAAGGGCATCAATCACTAAAAGAAAGTAATTTAAAAAAAAGAAAGAAATCTGTTAGCAATTGCAATTTTTGCCATTCTTATTTTTTTAACATTTTATTTTACTACAAAATTTATTTGGACATTAAAAAATAGTTCAGTTTTGTAAGATAATTCCATCCTCTTTGAAAAATGATTAGATATTGTCTTACTAATAATGATCTATAATCCTAGTATATACAAGTTAATGAATGATTTGATTATTGGTGAAAATAATCCAGTTGGGCATCATGACATTATTATATAATTTTATTTTGTTTATCTATAAAACCAGTCAAATTTTACATTATTGTATTAGTAATAATTTTAGTAATTAACAAGGATGAATATATTAGAAACTGGTTCAACCATGGTCAGACGTGGAAACAATTTTCTTTTCTTTCAACATTACAAGTGAATACCATGTGTAACAATTTTACACTTTTCAAAGTTAATGACTAGCTGGAAATGGCATTAATAATGATGACCAATAATAAATGTTAATATCAATCTTAATACTAATAATACTAATTAATAAGATCGTAACGATTTTAACGAGTTGATCATGATACAAGTGTAATTTTGTTGTACCTTTTGAGTTTTACAGCTTGTCAATTGAATATTTGTTAGTTTTATAGATCAATAAACTCAATAATTAGTAAGAATAGGTTGGGAAGACGAGAACAATCTGGTAAGACTTGTAACCATTTTCCTTTTGGTTTTACAAGTATCGTTTAATAACAATTTTTATATTATTTTTTAAAACTTAATAACTGGAAATTGAATTAGTCATGACGACTAATAATAATTGTTAATATATATCTACCTAGTACTAATAACAATAATCAATAAAATCGTAACGATTTTGGTGTCTGTTGGGACCTCACGCCAATTTTGTTGTTGTCCATAGTACAAATGCAATTTTGTTGTACCTTTACAGTTTTACAGCTTGTCAGTTGAATATTTGTTAGTTTTATAGATCAATAAACTCATTAATTAGTAAGAATAAGTTGGGAAGACGAGAACAATCTAGTAAGACTTGCCGCCATTTTCCTTTTTGTATTGCACGTGAGTATCATTTTATAACATTTTTTATATTAAATTTTAAAAGTTAATGATTGGAAATTGAGTTTTTAATAACGAATAACAATTATTGTTGTAAATAATGACTGAGTTAGATTGAATGACAGGTGGGACGTCATGCCATTTTCTTAAATTCAAATTTTTTTAAATATAATGAGTTCAATTTTTAAAATGCTTTTATATTCTCTTTTCAAATTTAATAGATGAAAAATATGTGTTAGTAATAATGACTAGTATTGTTAGTAGTCCAACGATTTGATGATTGGTGGGAACAATCAGCATTGACGTCACGATTGGGATTCCTCGTTTATTTGAAAGAACGATAAGGATAACAGCATAAAGTTGGTAACTTGAGAAAAACCTGTCAGACACAAGTATCAGTCGCTGACTCCCTACACTCTATCAGTATCAGCTGATTGATCCTGTGTTCAGTTTCGATGTCCAGTGCGATGCTTATTCCGACACTCGGTCGTTTTATCGTCAAAATCTGTCAGTGATGGTATAGAAATTGAGGCTAGTGGGAGGGATTGAGTTTTAGAGGCAGCCTCCCTTGCGGATAGTGGCCGAATGTGTCGCGCGAACAATATCGAATTTATTAATTCAATTAGTGGCGATCGGCCCAAAACGATACATTTTAGAATATGTGAGACAAAGTTTAGCCATAAATTCGCTGTCGATCTTTACGGTCCATTATGTCGGCAATAACAGAAAGGGGTGTCCTCAGATGGAAAGAATGGATGCCCCTAGTCACTCAGCAGGTTGTCGATTTCTTTTCATATTTTCATATATTTTCACTTGCAAACTAATTTCTTAACAAAAATTTAATTGTACCCATTCAGCAAAGGTTGAGGAGTTTAATACAAGTCATTGCGTACAACATACAAGTCAAAGATGACATACTCTCAAAACACAAAGTCAAGAAGCTGTCGTACTATTTCACGCTTCACCTCTCGACGATGTCAGCTCCAGTGTATACGAGTGAGAAGTTGGAAAGCGAGAATCCCAAGTGGTGCGAAGTCAACATAGGCCAACAATACGGGGCAGCCACTGGTAACCGATTTTTCCTTTTTAATATTTTCTAGCATTTTCTTATTCTTATTCTGTTAATAATTGGAACAGTCGGTGCTGATATGTTATTTTATCTCAGATATAAAATGAATGTGGTCTGCAATGTTTGGCATTGCTGATAAGAGATTTCATTTTTTCTCCTCAATATCACATTATATCGATGCTTTCAATTTGACTTGTTAAAAGCCTAATCAACCATTCAACACAAAACAAAACAATAAAGTACCATTCATACCAATGCTTAGCATGTTCAACATAATGTGGCAGACACGGCACAGAATCAAGTTTTCACACCACAACTGACTACATATGCCGACAAACTAGAGAATTGACTGCAAACTGAAGAATTAGCTGTGTTAGCAATTTTACTTGAAGAAGTAAAGGGAATGAAATTGGATTGTGTGGAAGTAGGGCAAAAAAATAAAAAAAATAATCACTGTACATCCAACGAATTTAATAAGAAAAAAAGGAGAATTGTACACGCCCTACTAGGGATGAAAACTGAAAACCCCCTAAAAAGAGATGAAAACTGATTTTTTAAATTCTTCGAAATAGTCACTAAGGGCACAGACACACACACTAGCCCTGAAAAAATAATCCACCAGCACAGTTCAAATATTCTTTATGATAATACATTCACATTCTACTCAATTCCTGTATAAGTGAATACCCTTATAGATAATGTATGTAATTATTTTTTTGCTGGACATATTACATGTTGGTATTTATGAATGGTATTTAAATGTAGAGTGTGACAGACTAGATTAAAACAAAAATTTATTATTTGTTTATGATTTTTTTCTTCATTATAGTTGTCCTTCTTTTTAATTTTATAGATGAAAAATTTCTTTTTTGTAGGCCTTTTTGTTAAATGCAATCACAATATTTTGACGTATTGGCAATTCTGTACCATTTTCAAGTGCTAATTGTTTTCAACTTTTGTTGAAACAATATTTTGTTTTTAAAGTGTTTATATAATGTTTAAGAAATAAAATACAGTTCTTTAAAATGGCACAATATGGCCAAAATGTAAAACATTGTAATTTAAAAAAACTTCAACAAAAAGGCCTACAAAAAGATTTTTTAAAGCAAATTTTTCCTTATTTCCTTTGAATATCTTGTGCTCTTTTGAGAAAAATCATGGTAATTTTCTGACAGGTTTGGAAATGAACCAGCATTAAAACTACAATAAAATAATGCCTGTCATATAGGAGCATCTGTGGACATTAATGTCCAACTAAATTATTGCGGACAATACTTGCAATACGTTTTTTCTTTTCCAAGATCAATTAAAAAGCCATGGGCTATATCAGGATTCAAACTCACAACTGCTAGCATGGTAAGTATGAACCTGGATGCCCTAACATTCAGGCATCCCGGCCCCCTAAAAAAGACTGTAAAAATATGAAAAAATAAGTATGTCAGTGTTATTAGACTGGATATGGAAGAGTTCCTTGGGTTCAGTTTATTTAATCCTGGGATAATTAATTAAATTAATACATAATAATTAATTAAAATAATAATTGGTTAATGGTTGAAGAAGGTAAAGAAGATTTCGTTTGTTCAAAAAAGTGTTTGTTAATTTTTTGGGGAATAATTTTTGAACAGTTGCTGCAAATTAAAAATTGTTTGCACCACTGAATCCTGTGTCAAAAATCTTAACAAATCGTGTATAGTGCAATTTGAAATAGTTATTCTTATCCTGCTATCCTGGAGAGTTAGATCAAAACTTTTCGGTACATGATAAATAATCATGAGATATTAGACAAAAAATAAAAATTTTGATGCCTTGAGTTTTTTTTCTTACAAAAACGCCTTAATAAAAAATAAATTAAAAATAATAATAAACTCACTCTGTAAGTAGGAAACTAATTGAAATTAAATAAGAATATAAAACTATTTGTAGGCCTAGAATTAAAAATATGTAATATAAAACTGGCAAAGGGCCATACAGTTCTTCCTGTCAGTGATGGTCAAAATGGTTGGAAACAAGCTATCACTTTAGAGAAGGCTCTAAACTTAAGCATATAATTTAAGAAAAAGGTTCCCTTAGTCACACTCAATACTAGTTCACTCTTTAAATTTTTGTTAGCAACTATCTTGTTCCTGTGAATAGTCTTAAAAATAAAATGCAAGTAGACCAACCAATATAAGTATGTCTTGGGCTCAGCATCAGAATTTTACTCCATCGCCTTGAGTTAATGGTATTAATATATGGGAAATAATATATTTACGAATAAGTGACAGTGAGTGTTAATCTTCAGCTTAAACTGTATGCTCTTGGGATTTAACCAAATCTTCTGACAATACAATCTAGTTAGTTATTCTCATTCTAATTAAATTACCTGATATCTTCTTCTTATTCAACTTATACAACTCAAACCACTGGATGCTTATGAATACACTCTCAATCAAAAAATTCCACTACTTTGAAAGTTTTTATGTTTTGAATTTTGTATCTTTTTCTTAGAATTATTTGCTGTTGTGTTATTTTAATGTAAAAAAAAGTCAACAAGACATCTAAACACATACGATGATTCAGTAAACAACTTTTATCAGCATTTTCGTCCAATTCAGGCTCTATTGTGAGAGATTCTTATTAGTTTAGTTTTTATTAATCAACTAGTAATAATATTTTTTTTTTTTTTTTTTTTTTTTTTGAGGGGTCAAATGAAGATTCTAAAAACCCTTTCCTTCACTGCGACCTATATAGGTCTATTTTGGAACCCCTTTGAAAGTGCACTTTTTCTTATAAGATTAATCACTTTCCTCGGTGCCTCTTTGTGTACCTCTTTGGTGCAAAAATTGCCGTACTGTAACCGAGATAATGCTTCACATTTACAAACGATAGGTGCCAATGTCTCTGGTTCCTCCTGACAGAGTCGTCGGCATGTTTCTATCTCTACTTTGCATATTTCTTTAAGTGACCGGTATAGAGGCCTATAATTTTTCTCAGATCTTGCCTACTAAGAAAAAGGAATTCATTCGCCTTTCTTTTAACTTTCCTCACACCTAGTGTTTATATCCAGTGCTTGAGTTTTTCTTTCTTTTTTTCCAACTCCAACTTCAGCACCAATCCTGTCATTTTTTCTTTACCAACTCCTGTGCACAGAGTTGTATTGCATGAACCTCAGGTTGGAAATTTTTGGGAATAGTCCAAGGGGTTTTGCTAGGGTATTGGCCCTTTTACCCCTACATCTGTTCCATCTTTGTGTACCCTATTAGGGCCCTTTCCTGAAACTTAGGGTGGTTTTTTTATTTAAAAATGCTTGAAAGTCTCGGCTATTGAGGCTGGATCGTCATATACATTAAGGGTCTTTTGTTGCAGTGATATATTTCAGAAAAAAATTTCCAGGTTCTGAATCGCAGTGACATTTTGTTGAAAATGGTGCAAAACAGTCACCAAATTGATTGTTTGATTCATTCACTCAGAAATTATATATAGGAATTAATGGTTCTTGAAGAATAATGGGCTTTCTTTACAAAGAATGATGATATTCATTGACGATGATATCAAGGCTGAATGAATCACACAGTCTAAATAAAGCCATTTTACTCATAGTACGATTAAATTTTTACAGATGTAAATGACATAATTAAAGAACAATTTTTTCATTTGTGCATGCATGCAGAAATTTTAGGGGGCCAACAAATAAGTTCATCATCGACTCTCCGGAGAAAAAACTTTTTTTTTAAATCTGCAACCATTTCAGTGTTTCAATCTGGTTACTGACTCTATGGTTTTATAATCAGTATAGTAAATCAATATCCTAAAATGCTAGCCTCTCCTTGTACCTCAGGTTATCAAGTATAAATTACATGCAAAACATAAATATATGTAATTTGTAAGGCTCACATGGACTCCTAAATTAATGAATTGAAGTTTCGAATATGTAATGGATCAGTGAATATAAAAAGACAGAAACATTGAAACAACTCTGAACTATTGACTGTTATTCATTTTTATTGTTTTTATATTTTATATATATATACACACACAGAAAGTTGTATGCATCCTACAACCCCCAAAGAACCATAGTTGACGAGTAACCCCCTGCTATACCCAAGCGCATCCAGGGGACGTAGTGGTCACCATATATGCTGTGAGAATTCAGAGCCCTTCCTTTCATGCTAATAAATTTCAATAAATCAACATAAATACAACACAAACACTATATACATTTAAAAATTCCTATAGCCCTGAGGTACCAGTACAGCAATCTGTGCCCACTATGAATACCAAAATATACGTCAAACCTTTTATTGTGAAAAATATGCTCAACTGCTATATTATTGCTACCAGGAGGTGCCCATGGAATATTCTTGTATGATCTATATGTATTCTTGTCAGAACGGCCTTTTTCCTCTTTGTCCCACTCTCTGTGGACTGTCTTTCTTAACCTACCACAGTTTGTCTGGGTTATTTCGATTACTTTGAGCCAAGCCGTTTCTCAGCTCATCTTTTACTAAATTTAATAGTTTCAAATCTGCTGGGTGTTCAGGTTGGGAAGCATTGTGGGATCTTTCGGCTGCTTCTTTGGCCACCGTATCCAGTTCTTCATTCCCAGCTATTTCTATAGGAACCCTTGCCAACATGACCTTCCCTTCCATCATTTCTAATAAAATAATTATTATATTTGTAAAGTATAGGTACTTACTTTCTAATATTTCTGATTTATTTTTAGATGGTAACATTTAATGTAATGTATAATTAATTTTGTTACAGGTGTAGTTATAAGACTATGGGTGAGTATCAATGGAGAAGCTGATTATGAAGTTACAGTTTGGGGGCTGTTTTTCAGTGGTCTCATGTACTTGGGTCCAAGAGTTCTGAATACAGATCCCAGCGCTTTGGGATCAAATTCATTGATTTTTCATATGTACGGTGGATATTTCACTTCCCCTCATTGCTTTTTAAATCCTCATCCAGTCACACCTAGAACGTTGACTATTCAGATGAATGCGTCTCATACTAAGCCTAGTTATAATGTCAATTCATTGTTAAGGTAATTGTTGATATCGATGTTCAATCTTTTCAATGTTGTAATTTTTGATGTAAAAGGTTGCAGACACTCCAACAAGCAATAAAAAAACAGACGACGGCCACTGCAGTGCTACGAGAACGTATCTCGTCTGGTTGTGCCATTAACTCAGAAGAGGATTCTTTGATTAAAGGAAGTGCTGCTTTGAGAAAACTACTCGGCAAACCGGTCACCCCCAAGGTGAACCCAGATAAAATATTAGCAATCAAGATGCAAATTGAAATGAAGAAGTTCCGAATACAAATGCTCGTCGAAGAGAAGGACCGTAAAGCGGCACTTGTACAAAAATTGGCTGTCATCAAAGATATGCTTGCAGAAAAGAATCAAGATAGAGGTTTTACACTCATTATTTTATTATATTTTTTTTAACTATGCCTAATTATTATTTATTATATTTTTTAGACACTGAACTCATGGATAGATATTTCATGTTAAGGAAAAACATTGAAAAAAGAAAGGAGTTCAGACAGCAGCTAATAGAAACAAGAACACATTTGGCACAAACAGCAGCTCTCTTAGACAAAAGAAAAAAAACATTAATGTCACAACTATCTTTGATTTACCCAATTATTCAGGTTAATTTACAATTAGTTTTGTAAGAAACACTATATACTTAAGGTAAAATAGCAATGAACTAGATTAAATAAAATAGTTGATATTTTTAAATTGTCACCACAAATAATTCAACTTGAACATTTTTAATAATTTAATTAATTTTTATGCAATGTGGTTGGGATGAAAAATTAGTTGATGAACTATGCTGAACCAGGATAGGATCACTGATTAAGTCTGCCTTCTCTCTCAGGTTTGTTGGATTACTCAAAAGCATTTCGACATTGCGCCATATTCAGTGAGGAACTGAATGAGGAGTAACGTTTGAGTAGTTCAACAAACCACAAGCGAAGACAGGCACAATAAATGACTCTATGCCGGTTCAGCTTGAAAAATTAGTGTCATGAGCAGGACTCGAACCCATGACAATGGGATCGGTACCATGGCACTTCTACCATTTGAGCTATCGTTCCTGTCCTCAAAACATCGAGTAATCATCTCAACCTAAATTTTTTTTCGCATATTCCTCTCATTTGCCAATATTCAAATATCATGAAATCATATAAATTCTCAGCGATATAAATGAATTGCACCTACTTTATAAAAATGTATAAAAAATCATAAATAGGTTATAATAATTATTCTGGTTAATAGACCAACTAAAACACATATATTAACATTTCACACTTGTGTGCAATAGAAGTTTGTTAACCATCAAATACGCCTATGATAGATAATCCCATCTAGTCTCAACTTGTGTATTTTACCATTTCATTCTATTTTATTAACCTCTCAAGTTTTGTAGCTTAATTTTGATTTTATAAATGAATAAACTTTAAACATCAAATTTACTTTTAAAAATTATTTTAAAGTAAAAAAATCTGTTTGAATTAAAAATTAAATGCAACTTGCAAGTCATGTTTTAAAATTTAACTTCGGATTTTTTAAAATGAGACATGAATCTGAATCTTCAGACAATCTGCATAAACTTTTCTTTTTTTTTAAAAAAGGAAGGAATTGCAATAGTTTCAGAGTTATATATCTATATTTTAGTAATTAACGATCATTCTGTTCCACCTATCTGTTTTGGTCTATCAGACACATTTTCCTAAATTCTGTGATTGCTCTGTGTTACTTTTTTGTATTACATTCTTTAAATAACAAATAGAGAAGAAATTTGATGTGGTCATATGTTGTCTGATAGACCTAACTAGCAAAGATAGGAATACCGGGTTGATCGGAAACCAAATTACATATTAATTACGTTTGAGCAGTACATATGTAAATTTCAGTCGCCAAATGGGAACTACACTATTAGAGAAGTGCATTTGCCAGACTCTGAAGATTTCGATGGCAAAGATGAATTGATGATTTCTGTAGCTCTTGGCTTTGTGACCCACCTCGTCCAAATGATGTCTTTCTTTCTCAATGTTCCCACAAGGTACCCGATGGTCCATTTTGGCTCGAGAAGCAAAATTATCGACCACATATCCGAAAACATTTCCGATAAGGACCGAGAGTAAGTGTACACTTGGCTTCCATATAATTATCTTTTCTAATTGATATTTCTCAGATTTCCACTTTATGCGAGAGGAAAGGAGAAACACCTGTTTGACTACGGTGTTTACTTGTTGAACAAAAATATAGCTCAGTTGAGATGGTGTTGTGGAATCACGACTACGGATCTCAGGCCTACTCTCCTCAACCTGTCCGCTCTTATGAATTTAACCACTAAACAAAATGAGTAATTAACTCTATAATAAAATAAAAAATTAACTTTTCAAATTTTTTTTTTTTTTTTTTTCAGAATTGGCTCAATAATGAGAGAATGGAACAGAACTAGGACCGAAGAGAAACATCCTTCCTTGAGCAATTCATTAGATAGAGGGCTTGATTGTGTGACTGATACACCTTCCGATCCGAACGGTTCTGACTGTCACGAGTACGTTGAAAAGCAAAGAGTAAGATATGAGTCAGCACCCGTTCACGATTTGGCCAGCTTAATGTCACTCGACATAACATGTAAATCGTATGACAATATTAACGGATCTCATGCGATTCAAAGTTACAATAAGGACCAACCGATGACGGTCCCAAATGAAGATTTGTTAACCAGAGAATAATACCTTTGACTTTGTTCATCTCAAAATTTTGCCTAGTGTATTATATGTAAATATTATTTAAACATGTACGATAATATTGAACAGGTAATAATCACTCATAAAGAGAAGAGGATTTAAATTAGGAAAAGTGTGTAATATTCCTTTCCAGCCATTTGCCAGAAAATAATTTTGATATGTAAATATGTTTATATTGTACAACCAAACTGTATATAAGACTTCGTTATATTATACAAATATATTTATTAAAAACCTGGTAATACCTTTATTTGTCTGCATTATATCATCCTCAGTTTCAGGTTCATTATAAATTAAGGTGATACATTTTTTTTTTTTAATGAAAGTCATGATTATACAAAGATAAAAAAAATCTTGTTTAATAAGCTAGCAGCTAAGTGCACAGCTGAAAATATTTCAGCCATTTAAAAAGCAATTTTATATTTTTAAAGAACCACAATAGATTTTTATGTTTTCTAAACATTTGAAGATCAAACAGGAAAAACTTAATGTTACAATAATTATACATGTTAAGTAACAAATACAACATTAGTGAAAACAAAATAAAAACGAAATATTAATTGTACTAGAAAAAATAAGTCAGTCAATTTTGCCTTATTGAAGATGACTTTTAATTTTTTTTTTAATAAGATGGCTTTATTTATTATAAATAAACATTTCTTTTTACAATATTAAAACTAATTACTCACTTCTTTTATCAATTCACTCTTTTTATCTCAGAAATGAAATATTTGTTTTTGGTTAAAAATGTGATTAGGCATATTTTTTAAATGTATAAATCGACCCATAGCACATGGAGACCTATTGAATCTTAACAATTAAAACAGTCTTATAAAAAAGTAAATTGACTAAGAATAAATTTTGTATTAAACAAATGAAATCAAATTTTTAAGAGTAAAACAAACTCCATCATTATTATTGTACTGTTTAAATAAAGGTAAGAAATTCCAAGGACAAACATCTCCCATTGCACTTTTCCTCGATGAAAAGTTGTATGCAGAATAACTAAAAAAATAAAAATGAATTTAAGGAAAGACTTGAGGAAAAGAAAAAGAACAGAAACCCTCAGATTCGGCCATTTGTGGGAGTTCACACAGGTATGTCACATTCCAAAATCTAGTGACTAACATAACGGGTTTTGCTTCAAAAATCAACCTGCCTCCCTGCCACTTCCAAGTGTAAATGAATGATCTAACTGCTGGTTAAAAAGGTCATCTATTCCAGTGGCAGTATAGTGGAAAAAAATCTAATCTGGGCGAGTAATAGTAGTTACTAGCATTAAATGCAGTAAATTGTGGGAGAAATTTTTCCTGCGGATTTGTTAATTTTATTTAAATGATACAATAATAATAATAATCACATTGTTACACACATTAAATAATATTTAACACGAATGTTGTTCAAATATTTATTTTACGACAATTCGTAGCTTTCGGCATACTTGATTATCTTTAAATTTATTACAACTTTAACAAAACTACAATTTAAAATTGCAAGCCCTATTATTTATAATGTATTTATTTCATCACAGTCCATATACATTTTTTATAGTTACAATTGTATATTAAAGTGTACAAAAACAAAACAAAAGTTGTTACAAAGACATTTTTCTTCCTTCTATTGATATCTCTACGGCTCGTCTTGCTTGTTTGTTGCGTTTACTATCTATAAAGTTTTTATAATGCTTTTCAAACCGGTTCATTTGCCGTTTGGTCGTCTAGAAATATAACATTTATAAGAAGAGAGTGTAAAATTTTATCATAATAATAATAAGATAAGAAACATACTCTAGTCATGTCAACATCAGTCTTCCACTTGGGTCTAACAACGTAATCTTTGTTTGACGGTACTGGTACCCTTGCTCTTCCTACCCAACCTTTGTCACCGGGCCTTAAAGCTCTATGTGACATTTTAAAAGAAAAGGTAGTTATTATTTTATTATTTTAATAATTAAAAGTGATTCACTTACTTTCCCTCGCCGGTGAGTGCTTTCGCGATATCCTGTCTACTTGGTGTACTGGATTCTTCATCATGAGCCCTTCTCCTTTTTGGCAGTTGTTGTTCCATGTCTCTCGCTTCCCTTTCCTCTTTACTTAAAGCTATACAATACACCCAAATCACAATAATATAAAAACACAAATGAAACATTACAATTATTAATGAACCTTTAAAATCGGTAGATAAGTTGAAAATAGGTCTTGCCCATTCATTTATCAGCTTTCCTGCCAAATCTTTGTTTTCTTTCGTCTCCTTTGGATGTTTGTACAAATACATAACTGCCTTTCCAATCCCAGAGTGTTTTAAGGTTGATTGCTCGATAGGTGGAAACTAAGATTCCAAACCAAACATTTTCAACCAATAGGATTCATAGATTTTTAATGTGTTAAATACCTCCTTAAGAAGTTTGAGAATGTTTTCTCTAATTTTAAGTGCAGGAAGACTTCTGTCAGGCATTGGCGCCAGCCAGTCGGTCAATACAGTAAGAACATTGTGCTCGATGAATGCTAATTGGAGATCTTGCTTGTTGAGCTGAGACATTACTTTTGTTAACATTCCAACTTTGTTAGTTGCTGGTTTACTAGCCTGGTTACATTTTCTATCCGCCTAAAATTTGGTTTCGGTGTAAAACATTTTTTAAATATTTTTTTAGTTTTTGTGTTTATGCATTAGTTAAGCAGTTTTTGAAACATAATCTTACTTCAGCTGCAGCTTTCATATCAGCTAATAACTGAGCAATTATGTCATCATTGTCATTAATGATATCAATATCCTTTCGCCTTCGTCTTTTAGTTTGCTCTTCTTTTTTTCTTGCTAGCATTAAATCAAAATCTGAAAATCCTGAGTTTTCTCTAAAAAAAATATCACATATACATATTGTGAAACATTAAAAATTACACACAATTATGTTGAAATGTACTTACTCTATCTCACGGACAGGTCTGTCTTCATCAGAATCATCAGAGACTTGTGGGATAACTTCTCCAGCTGGTTCTTCAGCTTCTTCTTTATTTTCTTTTTCTAAGCCTTCACTCTCCTTTTCGGTTTGTTCCTCTTCTTCTTCATCTTCAACATCAGAATCTCTCTTTTTCTTCTTCTGTTGTGGACAGTAATAACAACGATAATAATTTGGAAATTCTACTATCAAATATCTGTGTACCTTTCTAGTGTCTGTCTCTGAGACACTTCCTTCACCTTCAGAATCTGAAGCAATTTTAGTTTTCTTTTTTCTCCTTGTAATTTCTTCATCGCTATCATCATCACTTTGTACTTTATGTTTTGTCCCTGGGAAAAAAATAATTAAATATATAAATAAAAATTATATGTACATCAATACTGTTTAAAATTAAATGTAATAATTTTATATTGCTTAAACAATAAAGAGTACAATCACTTTTCAATAAAAATAACAATAATTACCCTTTTTACGTCTTGTTTCAATATCAGAATCGTCAGAATCAACCACAGAATTTCGTTCTTCCACATCTAATGAATTTAAATATTTAGTTATCAAACTATATGCTAATTAAAATTGTTTCCAACTTACCAGAACCTTTGGATCGTGACCTGCTTCGTGATCTTGACCCATTCTTGGAATTTTTCGAAAGTGATCTTGACCGAGATCTCGATCTAGAATTTCTGACAGAACCTGATTTTGATCTCGATCTTGATTTGGATTTGGATCTTGAACGGGAACGAGAATGTCTGGAACCAGAGTGAGACCTAGAACGAGATCTTGATGCTCGATCATTTGAACCTGAACGTGAACGAGATCTTGAACCTTTTCTCGAGGCAGATTGTGACCTTGATCGCCTGCCTGATCCAGAGCGTGATCTCGATCTGCTTCCTGAGTCAGATCTTGAACCAGACCGCGACCTGGATCTCGATTTCCTTTTATCTGACCTAGACTGAGAGCGTGAATGCCTTGATCCTGATCGTGATCTTGATGCTCTAGCAGAACCTGATCTTGAACGTGATTTTGATCTTGAGTGTGACCTTCTAGCCGAACCTGATCTTGAGCGAGACCTTGCTTTAAGAGATCCTGATTTGGATCTTGACCTGGACCGAGACCTTGAAGGAGAACGGGATCTATCTGATTGTGACCTTGATCTTGGCGTTGCAGATCTAGATCTTGATTTAGCTCTTGAACGTGAACCTGACCTAGATCTCGCGGGTGATTTTGCTGCAGAAGGTGAACCCGATCCTGATCTGGATCTTGATCTAGACCTCGAAGCTCTAGAATTTGCTGGTGAATAAGACCTTTCTCGGCTCTGTGATCGAGATTTGGCTGAACCCGACCTGGACCTTGAATTTGATCTCGATCTAGATTTGTTCACCGGCGATGCAGGTCGAGACATAGATTCTCTAGAACTCGACCTTGATCGTTTTCCTTTAAAAGGTTCACTGGGACTGCCAGATGGAGATCTTGACTGTGAATGCCTCGATGATGATCTTGATCTGCTCTTTCTTGAGGAGGGAGAAGCTGAACCTGAACGACCTGAACCGGAATGTACAGACTCGTCATCATCGTCCCTACTACTGCCAAATGAGGAATGAGGAGCACCATCATCTAAAAAAAGAATTTGTACTTCTTGATTATCTATATAATTTTCAAATATTAAATTTTTTAACAGCTAGTGCTCTTTAATTATAAAATCTATTATTCTTATGTATTTAAAAATAAAAATAAGTGAAAATTTCATTCACACACATCATTACTGTCCCACTGAAAGTCAGAGTGCATTTTAAGTATTTCGGTCCATGGTGTGCTATGCTTCTCATGTTTGGGGATACCAAAGTTTTGATTTAGTGAATCCTTTCAATGTTTCTTTACTAGAAAATTATTTCACCTCCCAACTTTTACTGGAAATTAAATGCCTACTTGGAAACATCAACAGACCCTCTCTGTTCATATACCCTACTCGTTCACCCCTCCTATTTAGGGCGGACCCTGCCGTTACTTGAACACAGATTAACTAAAATGACTGCGGTTGAAGTGAAGGCTCAAAACGCTCAATTCTCTTGCCCACAATCGCAATCTGGACTTTGTTTATATACTGTGTAGAGATTAGTGACCGTTAGTTGATAATTATTCAGATATCGTGGACCCCCAGACCGCATCTCACGATATCTGAATAATTTTGTTTATACTGTTAGTAATCATGAAAAATAGTTTTCAAAATTCTAGGTTTTTGAAAGATTTGTTCATTCCAGACATGTCGAAGGTTGTTCTAATTGGCTCGTATATCCACCATATTTCTGCTATACAGGGAACTTGACCATTTGAAAGCTTTTTTTAAACTTCAACAATAAAAACCTTATGCTATCCCCATGTAATATACGGTGGTTCTTCAAGCTTAGATGTAAGCTGATTTACCTAAAGTTCTCCCCATTGAGATTTGATTCTGTTGATCGGTATTCACTGTGCAACTCCTTCCCAAAGGTAGCAAGGTAAGTTATTTTTCATTTTCTGGATGTGTCCCATCCTTATTGAGTTCTGGATTCTTTTTTTGGGTATTATAGTTTCGAGAGACTTTTTTATTGTTAAACTCAACCCTCCAAAAAGATGTGATTAGTTTTACTAAGAGTGCACTTGAGTGCCGTGAAAAGTTCATGGTACAATTTAATTATTAACTTATTTTAATTTTAGTTTTATATTGAGGAGCCCTATAAAGGTTTTTGTTCTATGTATTGCAGTCTTAGAGATTTCATTTTATCTTACTTATTTAATGTAGTTTAGTTTTATTTTGATTTTTGTGTGTATATATGCTTGTTTTCAAGTTAATTCCCCAGCCACCACTTCCAGCAGACGGTTTTACAATCACTGCTGTATTAAGAATGCTTTATTTATTATTATGTAGTATTTTCTTTTTGTAATTAAAGTTCTTTCATGGTTCATCCATAAAACAACAGGATTATCTGGCTAACCTGGCAATAACAAATTTAAATAAATTATTTAGTTTAAACTTGTATGTCTAGCTTTTTTATTGGGTTGTCCGGAAAATAATGCGGGTTAATGGTTATAAAATAAAAACAATTAAATGAATGATTTTAAACATTTTTTATTAATTAAAATACGATCCATCACTCTCAATACCCTTTTCCCAATGTGATAGCAACTTCTCTATCCCCTCTGAATAGAATTTTGTGTCTTTTTAACAAATCCTGTTTTTAACAAAAAACACAATTTCTAACAATTTTTGAGCAATAAATTTTATATGTTGTAAAACGTCTAGGTGCCTGAAAAATGGTAGTTGGTAGCGGAATGGTAGTTCTCGAGAATAGGGAGCGTGAGGCAGAACTTCTAAATCAGTTTTCATGTTGTCACATGTGAAACATGGTACCAAGTGTTGTCGTGTAAAATCGGCATTTCCGATTGACCAAAGATGGCTTCAATAATGCCAATTTCTGGTGCATTACTTCAATTTGAGAGGGCTACATTTCAGATTTGATTGTTTCACCAAGATTCAAGAAGATGTAGTAAATCAGCCCAAATGAAGCCCACCAAAGAGTCACCATCTCCTTTTTTGACGAGTTGGAGGCTTTGGAAAATGTGTTGCTACTTCTCCGTCGTCAAACCACTGTCCGAAACATCTGCTGTTATTTTAGAGAATCCAATTTTCATCGCAACAATTCTATCCATCTATATTCAGCAAAGAAGTATTGCGCAGTCTTCATGACGATGTTTTTGAGTCATTTAATGCTAGAAGAACCAAACTTTTGAGTTTTTTCACCTTTGCAATTGCCTTAAGGTGGTCAGCAACGGTGGATTTGTTAACTGAATGATTCTCTACAAGTTCTCGAACAGTTGTTCTGGGATTTTCTTCGACCAAAGCTTGCAGAACAATATCATCTAAGGAAGAAATCCTTCCACGACCTTCTTTGTCTTCAAAGTTAAAATGTTTTAAACCATCTCTGAACGGTGCTCTCATTCACACTGCCATCGCCACAAACTTCGATAATGTTTCTGGCAATTTGGGCACCGTTCCAACCGAGTTTAAACTTTTAAAACGAAATTAGTGAAAATCACTTTAGTAAGACCTGAATTATTTCCAAGTAATGAAATGCTTGTGAAGTAAACAAACATTTTGTATGGAACGGAATTAAAGTGTTGACATTCGTACAAAAGAATAATCCATCCAAACGTAAACAGTTTATTACATAAAAGAATAATTGAAAGAAAACATGAAAACCTGCATTATTTTCCGAACAACCCAATACCGTACAACAAAATACCAGCATCCTGTATTTCAGAAATTTACTATGTATACTGTGCAGGGTCATGTTACGGTAAAAAAAAGTTTGTTTACGGGATAACGTTTTGTTTGAAGTACTGCACATACACACAGTCGTTGAAAAGACCATCAAAAAGCGTTATCATCAGACTACAAATATCCTCAGTTAAAGTTCGAATACAAATTATACAATCCAACCCTCTTAATGATTTTTCTTTTATACCCACCTGTTAAATAATAACAAACAAACTGACCGTCGTCTTAAGCAGAATATTTGCAGAATTTGAAATGGTTGATCGAACGGAACAAAACAAAATTCCGGCTTTACCTTGTTCCACCTCCATCTTGGCCGTCGTCGAATTGTCCCGATCACTCTGGAAAACCGGATTTCCTCGTGTTTGAAGGAAAACAGAAGCGGTCAAAAGTCGGAAAACAAAGCAAACAAAAACCCAGCCAGGACGTTCTACCGTACAGCCGCAATATGCTGCTGTAAGGTTATAATCCTCAAAGAACTTAACAGCGCCACGGTAGACGCGACGCTTTTCCTACCTTTTTTTAAATGTTGGCCGTTCTGTTTCAACTTTCATGTTAAGCCGTTTATGTTTAGTGGTCTAATTAATTATTTTCTTTATGTAAGGTCTTGGTTGAGTTGAAAAAGTTAGTGTCACAAGCAGGATTCGAACCCACGACCTTTAATTTTAAAGTTGTAAAGCCGAAGGTCGTGGGTCCCACTCGTGACACTTTTTCATCTCAACCAAGACCTTACATAAAAAGAATAGTTAATTGAAATAAGTAAATTGGTCAATTACACCACTAAACATAAATGGATTAATATTTAATGTTAAGGGTTTTCAATAGTTGTTTTCTTTCTTTTGGCCTTAGCCAGGGCTCCCTATCCTTTCTTTTTTTCTTATTTAATTTCTTCCTTATTTATTTGTTTTTAACAGTTATGCTCCTCACTTTAAATTGACATGTCCATGGGCTTTATAAATGTTATTGTTCTCCACAGCCAACAGCGATTTGTACTTGAATGGCTTCTCTATGTCTTGTATTCTGTATAGGACATTGAAAGTTATAGTTCCGTGAGAATAATATCTGTTGCAGTGCCTTATCATGCGTTCTAAGCCCTCGAGGACATTTTCAATAGTTAAATGTAATTTACTTAACTATAAACATAACTTTTTTTACACGAAATAGTTCTGTACTTACAAATATTTTAGAACTTAATTATTGGTACCTATTTGCTTTTTGACACTGTTAATCACAGATGATTTTATTTTTTTACAAATAAGGCTTTAAGCCCCCTTACATGAATATATATATTAAAAATAAATTTAGTTAACAACATACTATAATAATAATAATAATGGCAATATAAAACATATAATAAAGTGTACAAAATATGACAAAAATATAATTATAATAATTATTTATAATCAAATTTTGAAACCACATTATGAAAGAAAGGCAGAAAGAAAAAAAAGATAAAAGGAAATGGGAAAAAGAAAAGGAAGAGGGAAGGAAAGGAGTTGATTTATCATTTTTAAAAACTCAAATGCTATGGATGTGAACAAGCTGGCGAGGAAGCAGAACTTACTCCTGAGGAAGCAAATTCCATTGCCTTGCCTTTGTAATTCTGAAAAAAAAAGCTAAAGTTTTAGAGGAGTATTGAAGGTTGGAATATGATTGAGCGATAAGGAATGTGGGAAAGTTAATAGTTATTGAGGACATTTATTTATATACGCATATTAAAAAAGTTTATAAGTTATTAGAATGTTAACATAGGAAGAAATACTTTGAAAGAATCCATACTTGCTAGTGACTACCACTATTAGCACTCTATTAGCATTCATCCATCACATCTAAAGGATTCATAACATTTTATTTAAACAAATATCCTTATTTAATGATTCCCATGCTCTTAGTACCCCGTTTCAATCTTGCTGCCAAAAATTTCATCATTGTGTGACAGCTCTTCTCATGATTTCAGATATCTGCTTAAGTATTGATGATAATAAGTCTACTATTATTATCCTATTTATTCAGCTCGGTAAATCATTATTTGTTTATTTGGAAACTGATACATCTTTACAGTTTTTCTTCTGCTGCTACTAATCTTATCTCCTTCCTATCTGTCTGACAGAACAGAGTTAAACTTCAAATCCTATCTCCTCTTCTCCCCAAATTTCAGCTGGCGTGCCCCAAGGCTCTATTCTTGAACCTTTACTCTTTTCTGTTTCTAAATAATCTTCCATTAGTTCATTTCTCCCAATCTCATCTACTTTACATTCAATGTCCTACAAGCAACTTCTCTGAAGCTATCTCTCCGCTCAACCGGGCTCTTCAGTCTCTCAACCAATGGTTAAGAAATAACTATAATCTTTTAAACCCTAACAAATCCCAGTCCTTATTAATTCCCAATAAACAATACAGATTGCCTGATCCCTCCTCATATAAACAGCTCACCTATTAATTTTTCTTCTTAAGTTAAAAATATTGGCGTTATTTTTACCTCCAAGCTTACACGGCAGGACCATGTGAGTTCTATTATTAAAAACTGGATTCAAGCCTCCATTCTACTCAACTACAGTTCTGCTTATTAAACCCCTAATAATTTCTTATTATTTTTCTGTAGCAGTATTTTTTCACTTTCCTTAGCCTCTCAATCTACTCATTGCCTTCACATTGTTTATTATGCCTGCATTAGATTTATGTTCTTAAACCAAGAGATCATAACAATCTTAACTTGTAAACGTAGTTTTAATATACATATCTAACATTAAATCAAATAAGCATCCTCAATATTTATCAATTTTTTTCAACACATTCCTTATTTAAAAGCACCAAACATATCCCAAGACATCAACCATCCTCTAATATAAATCCAAATAAGTTTAGTAGCAATAATTGACCATATTAATTAATTTATGATACTTTTTATGTACGGGTTTGGACCCACGGGCCACGACCTCCTATTTTAGCCTTATCCTTCAGAATTGCAGGGGCAAAACAATGTAATTTGCTCTCCGGTACGTTTTGCTCCCATCGCTGATTCATTTCAGGGCCATGGCACCTGTTTCTAAAAACAATTAATCATCTCCTTACTTAGTTTATGTTAATAAAAGTTAAGGAAGAGTACAAGACAGTGAGTCAGTGATATTGATTACTGTATTCTTGTTGAGGCCTGAAGAGTGATGAAGTTTGGTCGATCACAACAGCGAGGATAGTTAGGAATGATTCATAATGACCAAAGTAAAAGAATACATTAGTCAGCTGAAAAGAGAATCTAGGTAGTTTGATATACAAAAATTGTGAGATATACTAAAGTAAATTTTTATCATAAGTACGAGTCTATCAGAAGAACCCAATTAAGTGGCAATTGTTTCTTCATGATATTTACCTACCATGAGCAATTATTTGACAGGACATAAGATTAGAAACTAGACAACTAGTAGAGTAACTTAGATATAGAATAATGGAAGTAGTTAGGGATATTCTTTTTAACTGCAGATAGGAATCAGGTTGCAATGATTGCAAGGTATTTTTACAATAAACGTTAAATTATTAAAGGCGAATAGATGTTAATGTTTTTATTAGATAAGTGTACAAAAAATAATACACAATTTTTTTAGCATTAAAATGAGTTTTCTTCTGACAAAACATACTTGTTTGCTTTATACTTTTAGGTGTGTCAAAAGAGAACTGGCATTCAAGTAAAATGTGTTGTAATTATTACAGCATAAACTTAGAAGTGTTAATTAATTAATTGCGGAAGTGATTATTCTTTCATAGATTCTTCAGTAGGTTGCGCTGTTCTGCTGGGGGCAGAAACACTTTCTTTGTCCTTGTTTTTGGCTCCTGAGACGATGTCGTCGACCCGGAGCAGAAGGATTGCACTTTCTATAGCTGTTTTGTAAACTTGTTTCTTTACTGCAAGTGGTTCCCAAATGTTAAGTTCCTCTGAAGGTACAATTTTGCCAGTGACACCATTTATGCCGACTTGTTCCTTGTGTGAAATTCTTCTCTCGAATTCGGCTAACACATGGATGACATTGCTCACGCCGGAATTTTGGACAAGTATTTTCGGGATGATGCTAAGGGCATTTGTCACAGCAGAGTACGGTTCCATTCCAGATAAGACTTCAGGATGCTTCTCAGTAAGCTCTGCCTTGACCATCATTTCTATGGCTCCGCCTCCAGGAACGACTTTTGACTCATGACTTATGCAACGGATTACATTTAATGCATCGTTTAAGTTTCTTTCCACTTCATTGAGTACATCTTTACTAGGGCCTCTCAACAAAATAGTACATGCTTTTGCATTCTTGCATTTTGTTAAAAATGTGAAATATTCATCACCCATTTTCTTGACTTCGAAAAGACCAGCACCTGTTCCGATGTGATGAGCCTGTAATTCATCAAGTCGGCTGATTATCGTGGCATTTGTGGCTCTTGCGATTCTATTGTTGTCCATCTTTCTAACACGTCTGATAACGGTTATACCGGCTTTTACAAGGTAATGCTGTGCCAAGTCTGACACTCCTTTTTCTGTAAAGACAAGATTCGGGTTAGCTGCAATTATCTGTTTGCACAACTTCTCGATGTATTCTTCTTCAATTTGAAGGAGCCGTGTGAAATCGCCTTCTTTTAGAATTTCTACATTCGTCTGACTTTCTCCTTTCTTATATTCAAGGGGACAATCGAGTAGAAGGATCCTGGGATTCTCAATTTTTCTTTTCATTTGAGGGTGAGTCACATCTTTGTTAATCATAATACCTTCCAAAACTTGCGAATCTTCAATAAGACCACCTGGAATTTTTTCAATTCGTGCAAAGTTTTTTATATCGACACGATTGTAACCTTGCTTCCTTTCGAGCACCATGTTAACGGCATCATAAGCGATATCACACGCGAGATCAGCCCACTGTCCCAAGAATTTGGTGCCGAGGCAACCCTTGGCGACTTTCTTAACTTCATCACGATTGCTGAAATCCATCTCTTTGGCAAACTTGTCAGTAGCTTCCATAATATCTTTCAAAGCAATTTTAAAAATTCTTATTAAAGCTACAGGATGGTAAGTATTAATGTACTGTTGGACTTCTGCCAACATCTCTCCAGCCAGAATAATGACAGATGTTGTGCCATCGCCAACTTCTTCGTCCTGAGTACGGGCTACCTCAATCATGGTTTTTGCAGCAGGGTGAGGCGAAGTGATCTCACGCAAAATGCAGTTCCCGTCATTTGTCATGACGATGCCGCCCATAGGATCCATCAACATTTTAAGCATGGCCTGAGGACCCAAACATGTCCGAATGACGTCAGCGATCGCCTTTGCTGAGTCGATGTTCTCATTCTGGACTTTACGCCCAGACTCCCTTTTAGTGTTATGACCTAAAAAAATAAATTATATTAAAATCTTGTTACTCTAATGCAATTCTTACATTAAAAATTAATGCAAAAGTAACCAGCTCGGACAGTTTCATGATTTATAATAATTTTTCAATATTTTGAAATAATTTTAAAACAGGCTTCACACAGTCCACAACAAACTTAACAAATAGTCCTCCTTTAGGAAAACGCAAGTCCTAAAGCAATTCTTTATTGTGGTGCCATTACCTTTTTCTGGTCTTTGTCGGCAATATTCATTGCAGAAAAAAATGCAGTTCATGTTGAATCAGGGTCATCGAGTGTAACAAATAAAATCCAGTCATCAATGACCCTTGTGGTCTGGGCGACATGGTCTAATCTTATAAGGAAGCCATTAGGTTTAGTGGTCTGATTGATCAAATTACTTATTTCAATTAATTTCATTTTGACCAAGACCTTAATGAAAAGAACAATTAATTGAAAAAACTTATAAGGAAGTACCACTCAATTTCTACATTTAATTTCAGTAATCTCAATGCTAAAATACAAATCGGGATATGAAATATCAAGATTTTACCGTGTACTTTAACTTTTTTTGTAAGTGGAAGTGCAAACATGTATGATTTGGTTCGCATTGTAATTGTTATATCAGCAATGGTAATTTATCGCTTAACAAATGTTTTAAGCTGGGTTTCCGTTGTACAAGTGATTTTCGAGAAACTTGGTTATGGTCGCATTGTGGGTACCTAGCCAGAACATGAAACATGGCGCGAGGATGTTTTGAGGTGAGCCGACTGGACGTTAGTTTTTTAGAGTGCCTCAAAGTGCTTCACATTGTTTCTTTCTCTCCATTTAAATGCACACATTTCTCAAGCTACAGAATGAACCAGGAGGACTGCATTCGATTTATCCAATGTATTAGAGCTACCGATTTTTGTGGGATTCTAAAAATAAAAGTCACCATAATAAGAATAAGATAGAGGAAGGAAATGTGGTGTTGTCTTTGTTTTTTATTTTTATTCATAACATCAAGTATCGCCATGATAGCAAATGCTTATGCAGATTGTGTAAATTTGAACAGCACTGCCTCGTGCTGACAGCTCACTTTGTCCTCACATCGAGGAAATGGTTAACCCGAGACAGGCGTTTCATGAGTAATCCTCGCACAATGGAAACGCAGTTAAAGGTTCATGTGCCAGCCGGTTATGGGGTTAACCATGTAATGATTAATTTATGACCAAATGCATTTCGCGGATGCAATCAAACAACATGATTAGACAGATCAGGATGATTGGTTATTATCAAGCAACACATAAATGTCTGTAAATGTTAACCACTGTTAAAATATTTCAGTAGCCTTTTCATCATTTTCAAATTATAATGTTCTTCGTCGCGTGGCTTCATAATAGACTGAGTATAATTTTGCAGGTTTATTTTATGAAAATATTTATTTAGAAATCGTGAGATGCGGTCTGGTGTGACGTAGGTTTCAGAAAAACATTTTCTTTAGCCAACGTTTCGATCTTTATTGAGATCATCTTCAGGGCCTCTCAGACCGCATCTCACGATTTCTAAATAAATATCGATTAATGGTCACTAATCACCACACATTTCTACACGAGAAGAACGAAGAACATGGGATTCTATGAACAAATTTTATGAAAATGTTCAATGCATTTCTCAGTCTGGTGATCAGCGTAATTGATGGCAACGACCTAGTGTAATTAATATGGGCGAATATTAGGCATTATTATTTTAAAGTTTTATACATTTGTTTGAATAAAAAGTTTAAAAAGAGATGTCAATGGATAATAATAACTTTTTCCCTTGAACAGGCGTCATGGTGGAAGTTCGCCTGTGGCACATGGTATTATAAGAGCAATAAACAAAAAAAGCCGGTATTAATATTATAAAAATAGATCGTCAGGTGGGAAACTGTGGTCCAAAATTTTTAATATGCACTATAAAAACCCAAAATATCTAATAACATGTAATAAAAATAGAAGGAAAATGGGCAAATAGGTTGAAATCCCTTATTTACACGTTCTGATTACTTATTAAAACTATTTAATCTCACCGATAAGCTTGTGTTGTACATCGTAAAAGAGGAATTTGTTAAAAAATTACGCTATACGCTTAAAAATCGGCGAAACATGTGAAGTATTGGTTAGTTTTCTACCGGAACTTTCCCGTTGTTGGTTATTATTGGCTTATTTTAAAATAAACTACATTTAATAAACGCGTGTTAAACGTAGGAACGTGTAGTCGGGACTTACTTAGAACGAGGATGGGCATCATTTTCGCTTTTGTCCAATTTTAAATGCACTCGGAAAAAGATCAAAATTTACAAAAGGCGTGCACGCTAAATCGAACGTGAATTCTAACACGAACGTTAGACTGGCCTCGATTTTACGGAACGAGCCGGCCGATTACGTTCTAACAGAGAGCAGCACTTTTGGCAATTATTCCAAATTCTGTTAAATAAACAAAAACACTTTGTAAAAACAAAAATCATATTTAATAAAACATTGTATAAAATAAAACATGTAATCTAAAATAAAACTGTTGCTTTACATTGTATTCATTGCCAATTCTTTATCTACGCAATCTGAATCTTGACAGTTTTCTTTCAGTGAGAGTAATTGCTCTGGACTTTGGAAGTTTTACTAAAATCAAACAAAGGTCTTAATTGAACAAAAGAAAATACTTTCAATAGGTACAAGGTTGGTACATTGGGGAATAGAAATGTACAACAGAGGATCAGTGACAAAATCACCAAACTGGGATACCTGGTGTTCTTGCAAAGTTTCAAAATAACTATTTATTTTTTTTTTTTTATTATTATTCACTAGCCTAACTACAACATAGTTTACAATAGTGCATTTCCGTACAAACACATTTCACATTTTTCCTCTTCCTTTTAAAACGACTTCTAGATACCTCGGTGTTATTTTTGACTATAAATTAAATTTTATTGCTCACATTGTCATATTAAATCCTTTAGTTTAAAAATGCTGGGTTTCTTTTCTTGTTACTCTTCTGATCTCAACCCAAATGCCTTTTTCATTCTTTGCATGTCACTTGTAAGATCAGTACTTGAGTACTCTTTTCCTGTTTGGAATCTCTCATTGCAAAATCTATTTGTAAACTTCAATTGTAAAATTTAAATTTCGCAAAATTCTTGCTTATAAAATAGGAGTAACTATTACTGACTACAATTTGAACAGTTTTTTAATTTATTTCCCCTAGAGACACGTCCCCTTTTCATCTAATGCTTTGTCTCGGCACCTTTGAAGTCCAGACCCTTTGCTGCAACGCAAATATCATAACTCATGCTCATGTCTTTCAGGTGTAGGAAGGGCAATTGTATCAAGATCCACTGAGGTGCATGAAATGCCAAGGCTCACAACAAACTAGGTGATTACATAAATAAAAATTACAGTGCTGTTGGGAACACAAATGCTGCATTATATAATTTACACCACTTAGATAAACACAATAAAATAAATATTTACAAGTACCAGAGAACTATTTTACATGATAAATTGGGATCTGCCATGGGTAACCAAAATGGCCAAGTACAGGACGCAGTCAATGTTTAAAAAATAGACATGTTACAATTTTTAAGTTTATTAAGTTCTTAAAATTAATTTATTGAATTTTGAACTTGAAAAACATTTGCAGACACAAAATACAAGATTAAAAATAAAAAAATCTATATAGACATCTATAAAGTGCATACAAAAAACATTGTTAAACATTTTTTAGTTTTTGTAAAATTGAACAAAAAAAAAAAAATAGAATATACAAATGTCTCACAGGTTGACAATTCTATCTACAACTATCAATTAAAAGTGTGAAGTTTAATGAAACAATTATAAAAAAGATCTTGTATAATACAGAATATAAAAACTTAACAAGTTTTTATTAAAATATATAATTATCTTGGCAGGGATTCTAAATATAAACATTTAAACAGTAAAAACTTTACACTGCTCTTGATCAAATTAATTAAATATTTCTTAAATTTTTTTGTCTTCTTTAATTTACTTTACAAGCGTACATTTAAAGTATTTGAATTATTATTTTAATGAATTAATGTAAACCAATTCGACCCTCACCGGTAAAGTAAATTTTTATTGTCAAATACAAGATTACAAAACTAACACATCTTATTAATATACACTAATTTACTTTTAAGTACTTAATATATTCACAAAACATTTAATACTGACAACCATTTTTACATGTCAACATTGAATGTCCAGTTTCAAAATGGCACACTATTTCAAGTAGATAGACACAACAAATATAATTAATTTAAAAAGATAACAAAATTTAAGTGGTATTCAAAAGAAACTGGCTTAAAAAGGAGTTTAAATCGAAATAACGGTCGTATACCTTCTAATCCACACTTGTAGTTTTTTTTATGAAGTGATCTTTATACACAATAAACTTTTTTTAATTACACTTTTTCTTCAATGAACAACAAAGTTTTTATTTAAACCCAATGTGCAGAAATTTCGTTTATGAAATTCTTACTCATTACATAAAAAATTTATAATAAAATTTACAGTCTGTATGTTCCCTTAATACTATGGGACTGTTTCGCTCAATGAAAGTCCCTAATACACGATCGACAGCTCCATGAACCTTCTGGAGGCGTATGTAAAGGAGGCACTAGACAATACATGTGATAACCTCTGTCACAGTCATCACAAAACAGCAACTGATCCTGAAATTATTCACCAAATATTTGTCAAATATAACTGTAATTCGTATTTGTCGGATATTGTTTATTGGCACTTACATCATTGTCGGAAGTGCCACAGATGGAGCAACATTTGCATTCAATGCACTGCCATCGATACTTCCTTACAGAAACAATCATATTGTTTGTAAATAGAAGACAGCTCGGATGTCCTTTAAATTAAGAAAATAACAGTAAATTGAATTAAATAAATATTGCAGCGCAAATAACTTACCAGAACGTCCACAATCAGAGCAAGATACCAACTCTTCTGGTTGGCCGGACTTTTTATTAGATACCGCATCACCGAGACAAAAATCACAATAAGGTGATGGTGTTGCTCTTGGCTTTTCATTTTGCTCCATTATAAGTACTTGCTGTAAAACAACAGAACACTAGACATGTGAGCAGTTTCAAACAGAAATCCTTATTCTAATTTCTGTTATAAATAGTAAATATTATATGTTCTACTACCTCAGGCATACTGTCAGGAGGTTTATCCTTGGCAGGATGAGGTGTGGATGCTTGATTTTGAGATGATTGTCCACTTGACTGGACTGGGTTTTGAATAGGTTCTTCTGATGACGCGATTTGTGCTTGAGCTTGCTGTTGCTGGCTTGCAGCGCTTGGCCGTCCTCTCTTTGCAGGTGGGCCTGTTAAAGAATGCAATTAATTCTCAATCAAATTCACTATTTTAACCTTTAGAGAACAACTGTTACATAAAATGTATTGATTTTATGTTAATAAAAGAGAAAAGGTCCTTATGATGACTCCCAGATATGAATTTATAATTCTGCATTAAAAAAATAATAGTATTTTTTAATTAGAACATGTAACTCTAGAACATATAAATTTGAAATTAAGAGTGTAAACAGAAAGGTTACTTATGTTAAAACTATTTAATAAAAGAAAAGAGGCTTATAATAATAACTTTCAACAATTAAAAAAAATATATATACTCTTCACTGGTAGTTAAAAAGCTTATATTATCAACTTTCTAAATGTATTTATTTTTTGAATGGCCTTATCTGAAATATTAGGCCATTTTAAACTATATCTAGTTATGTATCCATTTATTGTACAATTTAAAGTTTAAGAAAATATACTAAACTTGAACAAATAGAAAAATAAAAGCCACACACTACAGACAATGGAAGAATAATCATATGTACAAAAGGTAATCCAGTACCATTAAAATATCAATAAGTTGTAATGTTTCTTGGGCAATATAAAAAAGGTGCATGGTTCAATCGAAAAATTAAATTGGAAAAATTCCTGTGTAGCTTCACTACCTGACCTAAGTACATAACTTATTACTTGTATTAGAATAATTTTTGTCTCTCTTAATTATAATTATTCAATTATAACAGTTTTCTAACAATTTGGGTTAACTTGATAATATATTGTTTCATAGGAGACAAATTATTCGAACAAGTTACGTGTTTGTATTTGTCCCGGAATTGTCAAAGATTTTGGCAATTTTATTTTTATTGAGCAGAAATATATAAGTTTGAAAAAAATATATCAAAGCTAAGTGGTGTAATTCACAACTATCAAATTTAAATTTAAGACAAACCACCTAATAAATATTTAACCACCTAAATAAAATTTAAAAAAAAAATTAAATATAAATAAAATAAAATAATTTTTTTTTTAAGGCATTACACTTTTTAAATAAATTTAAGCATTCATGTGTAGTGTTTAGTGATCGTTAGTTAATGATTATTTGGAGAAGTTAAGCATTTATCCAACACAAATGTCAAACAAATTACTATTTCTGATTATTAAGAATGTAGAAAATGTCATAGTGCAATTTGTAACTACCAAAACATAAACATGAAAAAATTCTTCCAAAAAAATATATCTCTTAGTTGATGGATCAATTGGGGATTGTTAATTTAAAATAGTGTAATCTATTTCAAACAGCAGCAAAGCAAGAGACTTTTTTTACCACGAATATAATAAATTTTTTTTTTTTAATATCATTTCATTAATTTTTTGTGTAATTTATGAAATTTGGTGGTTAAATTTTGAACTTTACGTACAGTGAAAAAATGCAACTATAATAACATTTAAAGTCAAAGGTAAGTGTGTGATCCTTGTTAACATGATCTCATCTCATTCCAAGGTTTCCAAATACAGAAATAAATTAATATGATTGATATTAATTCATTTATCACCAGGAAACCCAGGTACCTACAGCTGTTTAAGGCATAAATCTTATGTTATAGTCATGGTCATTTCTAAATGATTATAAAGTTTAGAATAATTTTTAAACTGGTAAAAAATATAATAATAATAAAAATATGTCTAATATTCATTGGATCCATGGACATTTGTTTTAATTTTGATTGCCTTCTTGCTTGTGGGGTACATCAAAAATATACGTTTAAATAAAAAGTATTTAATCCCATCGCTCTGGAAAAATTGAAAACTAAGCAATAAAAATAATTATAGACTAGAATAATAATGTGTAATTTGTAATAAATACCTAATTTTTCTCAGTAAGTAAGAAAATGATAAAGAAAATCATAAGTTGTGAGGAATAGAAGGACTGAAAAAAATTAAACTTTCGGAATTGTGAAAGTAAAATATAACAAGTACAGTAAGAGTATTAAAATAGTACGTGTAAATACTGACAAAAAACACAGTTGTTATATTCGCATGCACACATTGTAATGGAAACACTTATTAATTTATAAGCCTAACATTATGGGAAAAAACAAAACATTGCACAAAACAAAGCATCACATAAATGAGTGAACAAAGAAAAATTATGTTTTCTTTATAAACATTTATTATAACAAAATTTCAGATTACATCATATATAATATATATTTATTCACATAACTTTACCTATAATTTGTTATATGTGGAATGGAGAAAGTCTTCACAATGGGAACTAAAAAGACAATTGTAAAAAATCTCACCTAACTTCAAACATCACCCAAAATTACAAGGAATTTAATTTAATGAATATTTCTTCTTTGGATGATTATTGAATTGCGCACCTAATTATTTCCTAAGGGATAATATAACAATTAGTTTTTTTAAATTAAAAACAAAGAAAAAGAATAAATTTCCTAATTATCGACTAGTGAATACAAAAATAACTCATAAATAGTCAACTCATGCATTGATTCTTTTTTCAGCATGCCAAGAACGTTTGTTTTGATATAAACATGTAAAACTTAAAAATTAAGTTTTGAGAGAAAACCTAACATTTTTCAAAACCAATTGATATTTGTGGTTTTGGTTTCAATTGAAATAGAGGTCGTTTTTAGAAATAAGTTTAAATTGGAGCAGTCTTTCTAGAGTCAGCATGCTTTGGTCCCACATTTTTTTTTTAAACACAAGTTTTGTACAATTTTGAAAACATGCAGAAAACCACTCCAAATGTTAACATTATAAAATACCACTATTAAAACATGCATCATCTGACTTTCATTTAATTTTTAACGGCGAATGAAAAATATTTTGTATGAACTTAAATTGAAGTGAACAAAGTGTGGTTTTTAACTATACTAAGGACTGTATTTTGAAATTTGCCAGGTTGCAAATACATCCGAATCCACAAAAAAAATTTTTTTTGCAATTAATTTTTAATTTACAATTTGGTTTATTCTGAACACAACGATTTTCTTATTATTCAGTCATTCGGGTCAAAAGTGCATACCTAAACCTAAACCTATTTAGAACCCACACTTTGTATTACCTTAAAAGTCAAGAATCTAAGGCAACTATGTACTGCAGTAGTATTTGTATGTTGTGTTAATCAAAACTGTATCAACCAAGTTATGAAAGTAAAGCTGTTTCACTACTAAACAAACGTTTAGGAATAGTTTCTCTCATATTTTATGGCTTTTATTTGGTATGATTTCAATATAAAAATATGCTATCTAATAATTAGATTAGACAACAAACCTTAAGTTGAAATAAATAATTTATTTAATAATAATTAAAAAAACCTAGAACTTGAAACGAGATATAACAAATACTAAAATTCAGTAATAAGGAATTCAGTGTATCTAACCTAATAATTCTTTGAAAAGATTTCATTAACTGTAATAGTTTTTATACTTAATAGTTTAAATATGATATAAATTTTCAGAAAAATTTATTTGTACATTGCTTTTGCATGAAAATTAAAATTTACATTATAAATGTATAAATACAAAACAACTATATAAAAAAAGAACAATTTTTTTAACTAAAAGAAATTTTACCAAACAATTAATGTTCTAACAGATTTTTGTTGGTTTTTGTTAAATAACAGTGATAAAAGAATGTAAAAGGAAAAAATCCCAGGTAAACAAATTAACAACTGATTAAAATGATATATGATTTTAAAAATAATAATAGTAATAAACAAAACTTTTTCAAAGAAGAAACTCCCTTTCCACTGTTGTGTTCTCCTTCGGGTTGGCGCAAACACTCTGGATAGTAAGAGATGGGTCCACCGCACCAAGAAGGTTCTGCCTCATTCACCCTTTTAACAGATCAAACAAATTACCCAATTAAATTTCATCATGAATGATGTCAATATTTTTAAATTTCTGTTTTAAAAATAAAACAATTCTCTTACTATTGACAGAGTGTATAAGCGCATACCCATTTTTTATGGAGAAACCAAACTATAAAAGTTTTTTAATTTTAAGGTCCTTGACACTTACAAGAGCAAAATGAAACCGTCATGGCTAAGTATTAATGCCACTTAGAAATTAGTATAATATTAATAATATAAAATTAATGTTTCATTTTGCTAGATTAGAAAAGCCAATGGGAGTTGGTTACATTTACTTGTCTTTATATACCTCATGCTGGATTCCTCTTTTTAATTATATAGCTCCGTAAAATTATTTCATGTTACCCAGTTCATATATATAAATTTTATTTGTACGTATATATTATTTTTAGACTCAACTTTGAAATAAACACTCCCTGGATTATTTTATAACGAAATTAATATATCTATTTCTTATTAGGTCAGTTTGATTGATAAAATTATTAATTCATTTTAGGAGTTGTAAACATTGTTATTGTAAAAATAATTCAAAGACACTCAAAAGTTAACATGTTTCACCTAAATCTTAGCACAGTGTCATAAAAGGGAAAGAAAAAAAGTCAGATGCAGTTTTAAAATAATGATGCTAAGCGATTTTTTGCAATTCAAAATTTTAATTTTTTGAACAGTTGCTCCTTTGTACTATATTTTTGAAAATTGATCTACCTACAAAAATAATAATAATAATTCACTTTTTATTTGGTAATAAAAAATTTTTCTTTAAGTATCAATCTAGTTTGATTACAAAATATAAAAAAAAACTTATTGTGGTTGTGAACAAATTTTAAGGTCCTACAATTTGTATACTTCTTAACCACAAAGTTGTAAAACAGTTAAAAATGTATGTGAAATTCCTTATTTGTGAGGAAAATTTGAACAATGTATACAATTTTTAAATATCTGATTATGTTAAGGCTTCTAAACATTTTCATATGTTAATATTTTTTTCCAAACTTAATTTAACCCGGTCAAAAAACTGCTTTAAAAATGAAATGAATATGTTTTTATTGTTACCTTATGCAATAAGTTACAATTATAAATACAAAAACTACTCTTTTCAGATAATAAAAATTAAACCATTAACATAAAATAAGATAATAAAATATGACAGGGAGGGAAAGCAATTGAATATGTTTGTTTATATAGGAGTGTCACTTGCCATCGGAGAAACAGTTTTTTCGGAGAGAAAAACACATTGATTGCTCATCATTCTTAGCAAAATCAAGCAAACTAAACTAAATTCTATATTATGTGCTTAAGTAATACACACACACAAAATTAAATTTTTTTAAAAAATGATAAAAAATATCAAACTTAATTTAAAAGTGCACGGGAGGGAGCTTCAAAAAATAGAGAAAGCAGAATGTAAATGCATGCTCAAGGTGAAAAGAGAAAAAAAAAGGATCTTTCAAACATAAAAAAACATATCACTATGGCATGCTAGAGTTAGTTAAATGAACTAAACATGAATAGAAAAAGATTAAAAGATGAAAAAAGAAAGGGAAGAAGGTAGAATTTACCGGGGGCATTTAAGAAAGTTAGATAGTTGTCCTGTGCGAAGTTTGTCCAACCTTGCTGTTGTACAGGCTGCTGTTGTTGGGGCAAAAGGGGCGATGGGGGAGCCAGGGAGTCTGCCTGTTCATCCTCAATTAGAGAAGGTTGTGATGGCGTAATAACATTAGGAGGAGGAGCGAGTCCAGCCGTAGGTGTCGACTGCCCGGTCTGAGAGGTGCCACCGCTTACCCCTCCGCTGCTACTATTCCTTGTCGACGGTGTTGCTGATGTGCCCTCTTTGTGAGAATGGGTGTAGTGATATGTAAGACCAGGTCTTGTCTTGTATCGAGCTCCGCAAACTGCAAATCAACCAGTTATGACAAATCCAAAACCCCACCCACCTTCAATTTCCTTTTATAATTCACCCAAATAAAATTTGCCTCTGAGTAAACTTCTTCATATAAAGTATTTATGAAAATCTTATTAAACTACTATTGCATTTTGTTTCTAAATCAGAGTTGCCACCTTTGAGAGAAAAATGTAAGGAAAAGTATAACATTACTGTTGTAATATTGAACCAATTTAAACGTTTTCACTTGCAGAAATGATGAATTTTTTTACTACATTTACTTTAAATATCGTTGTACCCAGTTTATTCTGATACATTGTGACTTTCAAAAATTATAATAAAATTTTGTTTGTCCCCTATTACATTGCAATAAAGAATAAAATAAAATATTTTGGCAACTAGGTGCCACTTGTATATAAAATAAACTATACAAATACTATGTAAATGTCTAGAGATATGGCTGATACATTTCATAAAACAATTTAGTTTTTAGTTTTACTGTTTTTACAGTTTCTGAGCCTATATTCAAAGAAATTTGAAACCTTTTATTAAAAACCGAATTATGCCAATTTGTAGACTGTTTTTCCTTGATGTTGAACTTAAAATAGGTCAAAAGCATGGCAGATAGCAAATGAATTTCTTTTTAATCAACTTGGCCATGTTGAGTTCCAGATTATTCATGAGTGAAAAAATGGATACATCAAACACTTTGAACTTAAATAATTTTTGTATGCATACAATAAATTAATAATAATCTTAATGGTATTGTTTGTTTTTTAAATTAAGCTATGGAATTTTGGACTTTAAACAGCCAGTATGATTAAAATGCTGTTCATTGCTGATGCATTTCAGTTCCAAATCAGGATCCTTGATTGACTTGATAAGCAGAATGTATTTGGAAATAAAATGCATCAGCAATAAACACCATTTTAATCACACTGGTTATTTACAGTTTGACAATCCAACTAATAATGTAAATTATCATTCGTTTGAGGGCGTTATTCATGACGAAATTTGAATATTACCAAGAACAAATAAGCGAGTGGTAAAAATAACTTGTTGTTAAAATCTACTTTTCATAAAAGAAATACAAGAATATATTCATTTCTGAATAATCAGATAAACTGTTAAAATGTTTGACACTGCTGTACTTATAAAGACTTTACTGATAATTAAATTTCAGCAATTATCTATTTTTGTGTAAGGAGAGCTTTGATCTAATTTTAAAATGAAATATGAGGTGGCAACCCAATTGTTTTTACTATACAATTCCAGTCCTTGAACTTTCTCTTTATGATTAAATACCTTAATATAAAAACATTAATCTTGCTTCTTTAACCAATAAAAACAAAAGTCAATAAAAAAGAAAACAAATGGAACTGAACAATAATTAAAGCAAGCAATCGACATGATAAAAAAAAGTTTACCGCATGCAGCCCAAAAAAGTATACGAGACAATCTTTATTTGAAAACCATTACGCAAAAGGAAGTTGTTAAAAATCCCACAAAATCCTTTTAATACGAAACTAAAAATATACAAAATTTATAATAAAAATAGTTTACAAAAACAAAACAAACAAAAACAATAGTCCCATTGTTGTCAAAACTTTCTCCTGTTCGTTTTCTTGTCTGGTATGTTAAGTTGAACCCCCTCCCCCTTCCAATCGAAAAAGACAAGGTAATGCGTAAAACGTTTTACAACATAAACATAAAATCAAATATTAATAAGTGTTTCCGAATAATAATTATATTTTTGAGCCATGCTTGAATATGTGCTTCGTGCTTAGTGGCTGGCTAATGGAGAGAAAATACATTTATTTCTGTAATGCTTAATAAGATATAGCATTCTGTTCTCTCCAATGTATATCCATTTTGGGGCAAATTCAGCGAACAGCTCATAAAAATAAAATAAAAATAAAATATGTTTGTCATTCACTTATCATTTTATCACACAATAATGAACAATGGACATATTATTTCATATTTATGTATATTTTGTTGAAGTACTTACGATCACAGGAGAAAGGTTTTTCCGAATCGCCAATTTCTGCATAATTTATTCCTTTTTTCCTTCCTCGGCCCTGTCCAGTGCCCTAAAATCGGTAAGAATACATATGTTTTTCACAACAGGGTACCCTATTTAATGAAGTTTCTCTAATGGGTATCCTTCCTAATTGCATTTTTAAACAAACATTTGAATAGAAAACATTACCTTGCCACCTTTCTTTGGATGTGGTGAATCTGTAGGAGTGGCACCGCCTCTTCCAGGTGTTTTTCCACCTCGACCTTTTTTTCTCCTTTTACTATAAGTTTCTTCATAATCATAATCTGAATCTGGGTCTTGGTCATCGAATCCTTCCATCGAATGCAATTCAAAATCATCATAATACCAAGCATCCTGCTGACAATTAAATTTTAAAAAATATATATATCTAAGTCATGCCATGTAAATCCAAATTGTCACATACAGATGACTTAGCAGATTCGTCTTTGACTCCAGCACTATCTTTACTATCTTCACTCATCGCAGCAGCCGGGTTTTCAACTGTGGATATTGTATGCAGGTCACTCGAATCCGAAGGAACTTCACACCTTCTAAGTCCAACCTGGGGTTGCATAAGGTACTGTCTTCGTTTTTTCCTCCATCTCTTTGAAGGATATGTATAAACTTGACCATATTGAAGGCCGGGTATTCGTTCCCTAGCCGTCATGAAAAGGTTTGAATGGTTTTGAGCAACTCCTGAAATTTGATTAAAAATTTGCCACACTATAATTATAGAAAAACTTATTGTATCATTCCCAAATAGAACAATTACAATGAGATTCAACGCACATACTTCATCTTGGATTTACACTTGTAAGAATCTTATTTACTATCAAATAAATATCGAACAAACACCAGGTTCAGGCTTTGATATTGAATTTTTATTTTACAAAAAAATTTATAATTTGGCATGTGAAATACATATTACAGCGGAAATAATAAAAGGATATAGTCCACATCCCGCAGTTGTGCTTTGAGAAATACATGCAACAGAGTTAAATTATCAAAGGCTGCGTTTTGATCAAAAACTTGGAAAAATTATGTTGAGCTTTGCGTTTGCAGATTTGGAATGCTGGAGTGTTAGAAATCAAATTGAATTACACCATTGATTGTTACCATGTCATTTCATTCATAATTAGTTGAGTCCCTTTTAATACAATTGTGAAAGGTCGAGTAATTCTTTTTTTATTCTGGTTGATTATCATGTTTGTCAGCTTGCCGTTTTGTTTTGTTATATAACGTTTTTGGAGTAAATTATCAAGTAATTTCGCAAACCTTTTATCATTCAATTGAGAACTCTTAATAAAGAAATTGACTGATATGCCTGCTCAACATATATAAATAACTAATATAAGTTACAATTAGATATATTATTGCAGAGCTCTTAGTATCAAGTTTGTGACTATAGGCCAATTGCAGAATATTTGGTACCTCATCATTGTTACAGTGAAGTCGGTTGTGGTTAGTAATATTCTGACTTGCCTGAACTTAAAAAGTTAAGAGGTTTCACAACCCCCTACTACTAAGAAACCTAGTTTTCCATGAATTTTTAAAGCTGGGAAAAATACCCAATTTTGAAGCAGTACCACATTTTACAAAGCCCCAACTCAAAAAGGTGATGGTTGGGCTTCATTTGGGCTGATTAACTGTAGGGATTAACAAGGCTATAGTAACAGCTCCTTGAATCCTGGTGAAATAATCGATGCCAAAATGCATTGCAATGCACCAGAAATTGGCATTATCGAAGCCATCTTGTTAATCAGAAAAGGTCAATTTTGTTACACGACAATGTTCGTCCCCCCATGTGTCACATGTGACAACACAAAAATTGATTTAGAGATTCCGCCTACTACTTATTCTTCCTATTCTCCAGATCTCTCGCCTACTACCATTTTTTCAGACACCTGGTCAACGTTTTACAACATAAAAAATTTATTGATCAAAAGTTATTAGAATATGCAATTACTGAATTTGTTAATAATAAAGACTCAAAATTTTATTAAGAGCATATAGAGAAGTTGCCAACACATTGGGAGAAGTGTGTTTAGAGCAATGGAGGATATTTTAATTAATACAAAATGTTTAAAATAATTTAATTAACTGTTTTTATTTTATAACCATAGACTGCATTATTTTCTGGACAACCCAATAGTTTTTGTGGTGGTTTGTCCAACTTCACCAAAGGAAGCCTAAAGGCATGTTTACACATGAGAGGAACTTAACATTGAAGCCGGAACCCTTGAGTTAGTCTGAGCCATTTGCATGTAAGAGTGAAATTCTCCAGAGTTCACTCTCGGAAAGCAACCGCTTCAGACCGTTCACACACGCATTAGACAGTTCTGAGAGTAATTTTTAGATGGCATCTTCAACACAAAAACGAAAAAGTAGTAGCAGCGTTAGTTTTGTGCTTATCGAAAACAAAAAAAGTGGGTCTTCATGGATACAAAGGATTATCATTTAGGCATGTATCACTCTTTAGGACAGGAATAGGAATTTGAATTTAGGAATATTTGCAGATTTTCAAGTGTTGAATTACTGGTAGAATTAGTGAGGCCCAATTTTTAAAAACGACACTGCAATGAGAGAAGCAATTCTGTTCAAAAGCGTCTTATGGTTATCTTACAATTAATTTCAGAGGCTGGAAAATTTAAGTCTGTTGTTAACTTCTCTCACAAGGTTTTTGTTTTGTACTTTTAAAATCTGGGTTCTGGAAGTCCTAAAAAGATTGGATATGGATCTTATGCTTTAAAGAGCTAGCAAACATCCTGGTGGGTCCATTTTTTACTGGATTTGGTGTTTTACACTCAGCAAATTTAAATTCTTGAAATGAATGAGAGTACTTTCTGAGAGCGTGAAGAAAACCTTGAGGTGTTTAACACTAGCAAGGAAGATGTATCATTGCACCTCTCGGAGAGCTCTCCCTCTACGTTTGGCAAAAACTCTCTTAGGTCTTTAAACTTGCGAGTTTTACTCTCAAGAGTAAAAAAACTCTCATGTGTAAAAAAACTCTCATGTGTAAGTGCACCTTAATTTTCACTCCACCTTAGTATAACTCTCCTTAACCCCACCCTAACAGTAATTAAGGGAAGTTTCAAATCAAAACATTTCAAACAGAAAAATCAATTTGACTGAACAATTGTTATGGATTATGTAAATATACCTGTCTGAGAGTCTAGAAACGGCATCCGGAGTCTCCTTTCAACGCAAAGTCTAGTATTGTAATTTGCCGAATTTTCTATTGCCTCCCGGTACGAAGCATCGGCCATAAAACTAAAACGAGAAAATAAATAAAAAATAAGAGTAAGAAGAAAAATGACAAATTTACAAACTGGGCATACCTTTCGATCCTGTTCAAAACGGAACTGTTAACGATTTGTATATCACAAGAAGCCATCTTTACTAACGCGAACGGCGAAACTAGTTTTATTTCGATTTTTGTCTCAGTCTTCGTACGAACTCAAGTGAAAAATGTCGGTTTTCCCCGTTGGGAAAGCTATTTCCGTGATCGAGAAAATGCACCAACTCTGACATAGTTAGACATCGGCCCAGGAGAGCCACATATCCGACAAATACGACAAAACCGACAAACAAGCATTTGTGTTGAACTACCGGTTCTCACTCTAGACTCTGGAGTCTGGTGAGTGAGACAAGTTCGTCAATAAAGCCGACCGCCGATTTGAGCGCTCCAAGTGGATCTATTTTCTAACAACCCACAATTAAAATTTCAAAAAAATAAAACACATTTCTCTTCCCAATTAGCAAATAAAATATTTAGCTAAACCATTTTGTACACTTAATTTAAAAAAATTATAACCCTGTATATTATATAATATCAATACATTTATAAATAATTCACACTATATTACTAACATGTAGTATTTTGTTAATGCACCGGTTGTCAAAATAAGTCCTACCAATTTATTAAGATAGGATAATTGTATTAACATTAAAAATGATATAAATAATAGAATTTTTAATTGACATTGTTACTTAACATATTTTATTAGCTTTTACACTCCACTGATTATTCAATGCTCCCCTTATCCGGTCAGCAATTTCATATGGGCAAATTTCATAAAACCAAATTATGTTGAGAATCATCACATGATTAACACCATGTTTAGTCGTTGCATTTTTGTAGTGCATTAAATTTAAATGGGGAGTGAAGAGTTGCTTACCTCCATCGGAGTGTACACCAGATCAGGGACAACACCACAGGGCGTTCTTTGTAATCTGGGCTTAAGACGGTGGCAAAATGAAGAAATTTTTCAAGAGGACTTATTAAAATTAGCCATTTGATTTAAATCCAACCCTTGGTGGTGTGTTAACTAGATTTCAAACACTGTATGTAAGCTAGCATATTTCGACTGTACCAAGAAAACTAAACTGTAATGCACAAAAGACAATAACAATATTAAAAGAAACAAAACTAAATATCCAAAACTGTTTTTTCAACATAATAAAAATATATAGTTTGTTATTAAAACTAGTCTCATAGAGATGTCAATGACCTAAACTAGACAAAATCTAAATTTATCAAAATAAAAATTCCAGAACCAATAATGGAATGCAACCAATCAGCCAGCACGTGTGAAAACTGCTCACGTTTATTGCTGAAACAATACATTGACTGGGCAAACTTAAAAGATATGACTGGCTCACCATGTTCACGAGAAAATATCCGGTTTCCCATGAACCATGCCAACAAACCATTTCTAAACAAAGGGGTACATTCTCAAGTTGGACATCATAATTTGTCTTATGACTGTAATTCTTTTGACAGTTCATATTCAACGCCTGACACTATTCAACACAGCGCAGAGAACATACATTATGGATATCATCGTAAACCTTGCTCTTCAAGAGATTCAATTGGTTCGCAAATACCATTCAGAATGGCTGGTAGGCCAAGTAGACCAACTTCGAGAATAGTTTCAAATCATTCTTACAATTCGGAAATGCAAAAACTGCAAGATCTGATAATCGGTGCTGCCCACGTTCAAGGTACAGCTAAATCAGCTGAAAGCAATGAAGAATATGCAAGCCCATACAATTGTTCTTATTTAACATCCAAAATCCCAGGCCACTGTAAAAGTCAGAAAACCCAAAAAATGTGTGAAATCGATGTACCCTTATTAACATTTGATTCACCTTTGGTACCAATGGAAAACTGCCGCTATGATGGTTTGTTTATTCATGACAGTTTCCCGTGTGATCTACCAAAAAACGATCGTACGACATTTGATGTAACTGAACTCTTCAATGAGTTCATAAACTGTTATATGAATAATACTAACACACTGTTTGAAGAGTTAAACAAGTATGGTTTTGACAAGCTGAAAAAAGATTATGAATTGACAGAAGGAAATAATTTTGGTACACCAAAGAGTGACTATTGTCAATCGTGTGATATTCTCGTTGACAAAGTTGCAAATTTGTTAATGAAACAAACTAATTTATTTCCTCAGAAAAAGCAAAAGTCATGTGAATGCAAGAAAAAAAAGACATGCTTTGAGGAGTTTGATGAAAAATATGGTCCAATGATTGAAAGTGTTCTTACGTATATTTCAAAGCTTCAACCAAAGTTATCAGTAAAAGAAGAAAAAGAAAGAGCAAATTCTGAACCCAAAACCTCACTAATTAGAGAGGGTTCAGAAAGCAGAAAAAAATCTGTTGCTATTGATCCATTTTTTCAACCATCATCAAGCATTGACAAGAAAAATAAAAAAGTACTTGAAACAAAATGATACCCTAACTTGTTAAATTTATGACTGTCAACATTAAAAATTATTCAATTAGAAATTTTGTAAACATTTATTTACATAAATAAACAAAACTAAAAGAATGACATTTTTAATTGTTCACCATCAAGAATAGTAGTGTGAATTTTTATATACTGAAATATCGAATATCAGAATTTTTTATTTTTAAAAACTTTTCAGGAGGAATGTGGATTTAAAAACACTATCACACAAAACACCTAATGAAAATGACACCTTTATGTATTTTTACACATACATTCAATATTACAACATTTACTAAATACAAACTGGTCAAATTTTAAAAAGCTCAGTATAATAGTTATCTGTTTAGTTGACAAATTTTGAAAAATATATTAATATATAAACATAAAAGGCACATAATTTAAGTGCACAGAACATCTAAGACATGTATTGGTGTGGTTTTTTTCCCAACTAAGCAAAGATTGTGCATACACAATCTACTTCAAAATTGGTTTCTGTTAAAATTTATACACATTTCAACAACATAAACACTCTATAAACACTTAATATAATTATAAATAAATCTGTACTGTTACAAGTGTAATTTAGGATTAAGTAAATAATGTTCAAAATGTACAAGAAAAATTTAATGAGATTTATTTAGTTAAAAATAGGTGAGAAACCTAAAATACAAAATTCACCTAGCTTGTAATGATTACATGTTAAGTAAAATAACATTATACTTTTTAATTAAAGTGAATTAATGGATTTCTAGATGTGTTAAATATGCCAAATAAAACAACGGTGGTAGTATACTTAGAAGCTTATTATATTTTTTTCTTATGGTGGTAAAATTGGAATTAGTAAGAGTTTAAAAATAAATGTCATTTTTATATTCACAATTTTACTGCAAGCTGGAACCTTCATAAAACAATCAGTTTTTAGTTATTAATATATTATATAAGATATTAATAGTTTTGGAAGAAAGATAAGAAATCTTGTTAGTATCAAATATTTCCTGTACAGGGTGCAGTTTTTTTAGGTTACCTACCAGCGATTACCTTAAAAAATGTGGCATAATCGTATACATCAGTGGTTTATAAAATATAAACATTATAATTAATATTGTAACATTGATAAAAATATTTATATGTAAAATATAATGGTTATTTGTACATATTTTATGAGCATTTGTGGGTTGTTGATGACTGTTTGATTGTAAGCTCTTGTGAATTGTAATTTTGCAAATAAATAATAATTTTAAAAAATCAAACAAATATGTAATTAAATTTAACAACAGCTGAAAAATAAGATAACACCAAACTCCATCTACAATTTAAATTCCTAATTAATTACATATTACCACATTAAAAATTAATACATCTGTACATATCACATGTGATCATTAACATTATTTTAACCTTCTTTTTCTTTCTTAAAATGAGACAACCATACATTTATTTGAACAAAAGAAAAATAAATAAATAAATAAAAAATATATATGTAATAAAATTAAAAAACACTAAACAATGTTTTTAAGGGAGCTTTGATTTCCCTACTACCTTATGCTATGAAGGTTTTTGTTTCTTTTTTGAAGAAGCTCCTCCAGTTCGGGTCCTTTTCTCAGCCACAGGTGGCGGTAATAGTTCTTCCTCTTTTACCTTCTCCCCTATCCCTTCATCTGACTCGGGATATGGTGGACTTTCCTGATTTTCCTTTTCAAGAAGTTCCTCCTCTTCACTGGAAGCTGCATCGCATTTGTTGATGTCCAAGTTAGGGCTCACCAACACACAGGAAAGTTTCGACTGCATGTATTCCTAAAAAAAACAGTTAAAAAAAAAAAAATAAAATAAAAACATGATTTGTTTCATTTGATAGACGCACTTTGAAAAGAAGCTCCTTCGTATTTAAATGATGCAGTCTAAAATGACGGTCAAGGCTGACAGAAGCTATATAAGGCTCTTCCAGTGAACAGGCGATTGATTTAATTCCACCTATACTTCCTTTATATTTATTCATGACAAGACCTTTACTTCTCAAATCAACAAGGTTCATTTGTCCAGTACCACTCCCAACAATTACATGTCTAAAACAAATATTTAACAGATTTATAATCGTTATAGTAAAATTTAGCATAAAATTTTAATAATGCTTATGACCAGCTTACATCTAATACTACAAGTGAGTTTTGATGTGCTTTCAATTTTTTAACATGAGTTAATTATTTTTCAAATTAAAATATCATAAAATTTCTTAAAGATTCACAAAAAAGGAACTGTTCATCTAAATGACTAATCATAACTTTAAAATAACATTTAAATCGATTGAAAATGAACATACTGATCTTTACAGCAGGTTGACATGCTGATTAGGGCCTGTTCTGGTACCTGTACACTCATTACCGGGCGTCTTGTCGGTGTTGAAGGATCATAAAGCCTTACCTGGTAATAAAAATGTAATAAATTAAAATGAATTATTTTTTATTTTTTATTTTCCAGAGATCTAAGAGTAATGAAGCTGTACTTTATTTGGTTGTTTACAACCATCCTGATCTCCTAATCTTGCTGTTTTGGTCTATCAGACTACGGCATCTTCAGTGATAAATTTGTCGTGTTTTTAAAAATAAAATAACAAAGACCAAAGCAGAGAGGATAGGCAGACCAATGTTAAAAAAAGTTTTCTAGGAGTTATTACTACAACTCTTCTTTCCAAAAGGGACACATTTAGTTGCCTCTTAAGACAGCTATAGAGGAATGGCCCTTTTACATAAAGGAAAATTAATTATTCTTTTCATCTAAGGTTTTTGGTTGAGATGAAAAATTGGTGTCACAAGCGGGATTTGAACCCACGACGTTCAGCTGAATATGTTGCTCTCTAACCACTTGAGCTATCATGACTTTGACTCCAATTTCCCATCTCAACCTACAACGGTTCGAATTTTACCTCTTTTCTGCCATATTTTAATGGGTTCAAATCCCACTCGTGACACTAATTTGTCCTCAACCAAAAACCTTAGATGAAAAAAAAATTAATTAGAATAATTAATATGGTCAATTTGGCCACTAAACAAATATGGATTAATAAAGGATAATGTTTCAAACTGTGCATTAGAATATGGAAAAATTCTGTATACAATTGGTTGGTTATTACTGTTTTATAAACGATATACTGTCCTGTAGTACTTACATGTCCATATCTAGTGGTTACTGCAACCTTTTGAGAATTTGTAAGAAAAACTATATCAGTGACCCAAACTGGAACTCTCAGTTCAAGTTCATCATGCCGAACCTAAAAAAAAACAAACAATGTTTTTCATTCTCTAAAAACAAATGGATGTTAAACTGAATTGCGTATATTTTAATATGCATCAGTCTAATCACACCTGGCTATCCTTTCTGATTAGGTTAACTGGAGGAGAGGTTGGATTATAACAAGATCTTTACACAAATTGAGAAATTTAATTTAAATGTGATTGCAAAGTTGTTATCTCTTTACACAAATTGAGAAATTTAATTTAAATGTGATTGCAAAGTTGTTATCAATTAAAAAACAAGGACTGTTAGAAATTTCCAAAATTACGTTTTTTGCTGTAAATGTAGTTGCTCCAGTGTTTATGTCCCATATTTTTAAATCATTCTCTTTTCCTCCTGAAGCAAAGCACTGTTCATTTGTCAGACTGTGACGGATTCGTTCTAAATTATTGCCGCACTCGATAGTGGTAGTCTCTCCTCCAGGCCGCCAAATTTTAACTGAACCTCCATCAACACCAGTCATAATAGCACTGAAATAAGACAAAAGCGATCTTACTGAAATACCATTCGTATTTATGTTTATACATACTCAGAAAATTTTGCAACACCAATCAGAGATCCTTGGCCGCATTTTTTCTCCTCTTGAGATGTAAAGCTTCTCGACTTGACGTTATAAACCTTCACCAGCTGATTTGAATAACCAATAATGACTTCCTCTTCTCCTGGTTCTGCCCAGTTCATGCAAGTTATAGGATTTTTGTTTGTTCCCGATTTTAGACCATCAATATTCTTTACAAATAAGTCATGCTTTTCCACAATATGCACACCTGAAAACAAAAAGTTATATAATTATGTAAACTTTATGAAGAAAATAACAAGCTTATAAAATTTAAAAGTACTAAGTATTTGACAGAAATGGAATTTTATGTTTGCTTTAAACAGTGAATTATGAGCTATAACAATTTAAATAGTTTTATTACTTTTTGGAATCTTTTTTTGCCTAAATAGCACATAAAGATTGAAAGTCATTAAACAATCCTAGACCAAATCACTTACACAAACCCAACACTGAAGATGGCAAAATGCTGAAATGCTTCTGACCAGCAGACCAACCCAAGGCAGACCAAAAATTACTGTTAACGATTAAATTTACCGACTAGTTCCAGTTGGTCTTATAGAATAAATTGAAAAATATGGAAGCAAGTTCTTCTCTACAATAATAAGTTTTTTAAATACACTTCTAAATTAGCAATGAATTAAGTGATTGGACATAATTTATCAGATTGATTTTTTAAGGCGCATTTTTTACAAATGTCAATTTCATTTCACAATTACTGTTTTATGTAGCACGTGTACAGAACTGAGCCTTCTTGCAGTCCACTGACAATTCCAGCTTTTGTAATAAATTATTGGGCAGGCATCGAGAATCACCCGGTAGATACAATTATATTCAAATGTAATGAATAAATGATAATGTCACCTAAATATACAATTTTATCGTTTCGTTAATAAAGTTTCGATCTTTATTGAGATCATCTTCAGGGCTCAAAGTGTTTGTTTTCTGTGGAAGTATGTCATTCTTTTGTGTCATTTTGAGAGTGCTCTAAAACCTATGCCACACCAGACTGTATCTCATGATCTTCAAGTAATCGTTATTTTATAAAAATATCCCTGATATAATACAATGTGAACTGTCATTACTCAAAGTTATCAAATTTTATTTGGTGATATCTGGCCCCCTACAGTAAAATATGAAAATAGATTTTAAATTTGTACTCTAGTAAAAGCTGTTTCCAATGCTACAAATTAACAGCTTACAATAAATTTGCTTTAATTAAAAAAAAATTACAACTAATTTTGCTAGTCTTGGCAGATGGTGAGTGAAGACATTGAAGCCAGAGTGTGTGGTGTTTAGTGAGCACTACTGTATCATCAATCAATCCAATTAGACACTAACACTCCATTGTTGTTACTAAAAATTGTAGAAATCTGCACATTTCAATTTTGTGCGACTTATTGACTAGTCATTCAAGCCACAGTGTATGGTGTTTAGTGAGTACTACCATAACTATAACACAACTTTACTGTTTAACACACACAAATGAGTGCATAGCCCTTTTTTCTCATTTGAGTGACTTACTTGACTAGCAGATATTTAGTGCGCGATGTGGTGCGTTCTTCACTATTATATGCAACTCAACATTACAGTTAGTACAGAAAAAAATGACTTATTTGATCAGATATAAAGTTAATGCAGTAGGGTTTTGTAAGCAGTATGGATTCTTTGCAGATGTACATATTGTGTGTTAGTCTACTATTTTGTTATCTATAATTTATAAATATTCACGAAATAAATTATGAACAATTTTGCTTTCTAGCAATACAACCCTTTCTAATTTTTCTATCGGTTAGCTATTTTTAATTTAGAAAGTACTCGAAAGGACGTTCTGTATTAAACTATACTGGAACTCTGTGCTTTCAACAATCGAGCAATAACAAGACATAGCGTAGTTCAACCAAAAAACAGGCTTCAAGAAATGTTATTGACACGTGCTCAACGGTTACATTATTTGTATTGTCATTTAAGGAAAAACTTCAGAGCGTACCTTTGAAAATTCCAGATGCAGTGCCGACGTAGCAGTTGAAGTTTTGGTTCTTCATTTTAATGAATCACCAAGTAAAGAAATCAAATTTGTTCTAAAGTAAAAGCAAAAATCCAAACAGCAAATTCCTGTTCGAAAGTGTTTATTTCTTTGGCAAATGGCCTGAAACGGCTCAAACGCAAAAAAAGGTTATAAACGTTTGCGAGTGGTAACTTCATTGTTAGCACATTTTTACAATATTCTAATGGCAATGAGTATATTTTCTTTTTCTTTCTTTCTTTTTTTTTTAATAATATTTTTGTCAATTCACACATTTATTTATTATTTGTTTTAAACCATTGGCACTTTTTGAACAATGATATTATGAAAGGACTCGCACATTGAAAGAAGTTTTATTCTTTGTATTATCGTAAGTAACGCACCAAGGAATACGTTAATGTACTAATAACTGGATATAATTTCAAAACAAACATTTTTTTTTTAGATTGATCAATGTAATTTTATTAGTCGCGTATCTCGATTTATTAACCTATATTTTTTTCCATCAAGAAGAAATTATTTTAAAAAAATAAACTGCACTTTTTCAAGATTCGGTAGGAACATAAGGTTGGCATGTTTTTCTTTTACCATATTTCAATTTTAAGGCTAATATTAAGAAAATGTATTTCTGATTTGATAAGACCATTGTTTTTATTTAAAAAAATGTTTTTAAAGAGATGTTTTGATCAGAAATGGTAAACAAATGTCATCTAGCAAAATAGAAAATTGCAAACAACGGCATTATCTTATTTTGATACTTTGTTTTCACAATAGTTATATACATGGTTTATTTATTGTAATTTATGACTTTATTTAGATTAATAACGTTTAGTACAGAGAGGTTTCTTGAAGGATTGTATCAGTGGACATGGATATATCATTTTTCGCAAAGTACATTTGCAAGGTCACTTTGCCAGTTTTTTTTTAAATTTTGGTTTTCTGTGTGGAAAATTTCGGATTACAATTAAGGAATTTGTATACTTAATCGAATTTTGTTCATGTGAAAATCTGTTCGAATTGATGTGAAATTTTATTATTCTGATTTGATAAGTTGGAAGTGAAACTCGTAAACAACCTAATGGGCGTTTTTGAAATATTCAGCCTACTGTAATAGATAACGAAGATCCGTTCATGCATTTTACACTGATATGAATTATCATTACTAAGGAAGCTTTATTTTTTTGTTTTGAAAAAAGCAAATTGTAGTAAAATGTCCTGATAATGTAAGAAAAGATCAATTTATAAATGTTGAGAAATGAAAAAAAACGCTTATGCAAGCCTGTGCGTGTTGACGAGTCAACTCAGGAAATAAAGGCCATAGAGTTGACCTAAAGAACCCTAAAAAATGGATATTGCATTTGTTCTGAATCGATTAAATAGCGTTTAATAGTCGATTAAGAGGGATCGAAAAAAAATCGTACTAATAGAACATCGGATTCTTTTCAATAGACCTAAAAAAAAACAAATGCATAATTAATATTGTTGAATTTTTATACTTGAACCAAATTTAAATTATCACAATTTTTATTTTTATTAGGTTTGTAATGTTAATGTTATTAATCGATTCGGTAACGCTTCGTCTTTGGTACTTGTTTAATCGATACGGCGTTGTGTTGTCACTCATCCCTACCCCCGACGCAAAACTCCGTTGGTCAACCCCACCATTGGCAGAAGAGGAGAATTGCTCGGACGTACACGTACATTTTACTCTCCTTCCTTCTTTATTATAGATTGGTTTCCCTTTCTTAGTTTTGTTCCTCTGTTCATCACCAAACCCCGGCCGACCCAGGAAGAATTCAAACGGAACGCAATTTCCCGTGAGTATGCATTTTTTTAAAAATCTATTAAAAACAAACAATCTTCCGTTGGACTTGTACAACGATGCCTGCATATTCGGTCCGTTTTCCCTCGGATCAATTTCCTTTCTTGTTTTATAACGGCGGACTTTACAGCAACTTTACAGTCGAACATAACGCGATTGTACTTGTTAACTATGTTCCTTGGTGTTAAGTTCCAAAGCTTTTTTTCTGTCACTTCCTCCCCGACTTATTTCCTCTCTGGCTTCCCTGGTAAAAGTAAGCCTCACAAATCGGCCTGGTCATCAAGATGTTTCCTTGAATTTTTTTCATCTATATCGTTCTAAGCTTTTTGTTTTATTCATTAGTAAAAAAAAAAATATATTCTTTTAAGAAAACTCGAATGTTTTCCCACTTATTCTAATCCCAAAAGGCAAAATTTTGGACCTTTCACTTCTGTATATTTGTTTAATTAATCATTCGAACTCAACAATTTATAAGTCCTGGCATGTACTACTAAAAGAAAAACAATAATTTACCCAATCATTAAAATATAAAATACATTCTATTACACTTATTTCAAAACCTAAATTGCTTATTTTCTCGGAAGCATAATAAATAATTGTAAAGCCAGCTTTAAACTGTTTTCTAAAGCACGCTGAGATCATTGGCAACGGAAAATAGCCATATTGTAACAAATAAGTGATTTATTTTCATTTCTTTTTTTAACCTCGTTCTACAAAATAATACAAAAATAAAATTTTCTCAGGTCAACATTATTCAGTTGCACTTATTTTGAGTTTTTTATTTGAAACAACTCAATTAGCTGTAATAGCGGAGTGTAAAATTTGGGTCGTCACAATTCCATTTGATTTACACATTGTTAACCATGTTTCCAAATGGAAAATAGCATAGATTTAAAGTATTTGCGAACACAATTTTGTAAAATTTATTTAATGCGTCTCAACGTCTCCGCTTGTTACTTTCTATCTGAAAGTAATGTGATCCATATGGTCGGGTTCACGGTGCCTTTTAACATATTTGTTTCTCGAGTTATTTCATATATAATCAATGATTTTTTACCGATGTTAGTGTTTTTTTTGAAAAATTTCTCGTACTATTTTGCTCAAACAAAAAAAACAAAAAATAATAATAAAAGAACCTGGAAAAGCCTTTTTTTTTCCTTCGGTCGTTGTATTTAATCCAGACCGATAACCCGGATTGTATTTAATTTCATATTCAGGAGACGTTGATAATTGTCTTCGGGAGAGCCTAAAAACTTTTTAATTTGCCCTTGATTGTAAATTGAAGGAGATCGTTTAATTTCTTGAAACGGAAAATTGACGAACACAAGATTGAGGTACCTACATAAAATACCTATTGAACCTTAAGATTTTTTTAATTATAACTATAACCGATATTTAATAAATTCACTTCAATAAACCAATTAAAAAATACATGTTCCTTAATAAAGAATATTGGAAGGAATGCTACTTGCTCTGTATGATAGTGCTCTATTTTGCAATACAAATGGCTAAAAAAGGAAAATGCAATTCTTGTAACTTTTTATGGCGAAACAACCCGTGTGGATTTTTTTCCATAAAAGTTCTATTTATAGAATATATCTATCTGGATCTGGTATCTTGAAAAGTGTCGATCTTGTGGTTTTGTTGGTTTGACTCGTGTTTCTTTAACTCTTGACGGCATTAATAATATTTCAAGATTGACCAGATTATTAAAATCAAAACCGATTTCAGGTGTGTAAAAACCTTTAGCAAGTGAAGGCTAATATTTTGTTAAATGAAACTAGTGTGTGGATTGTGTTCTTTCCTCATATCTAAAGTATCGCGAAAATTGTCTTATTTTATGGTTTGGTAATAGTGATATTTCAAGTTTGGCAGGATAACCTATTTCAGGCCCAAACGCTAAATTTTGTTTAATTGAAATAAAACTAGTGTGTGTATTGTGTTCTATCCTTATATATCTAGAGTATCACGGAAATTGTCTATTTTATGGTTTGGTAGTAATATTTAAATGGTAGGATAAAATCCTATGTCAAGTCCAAATCGTTTCAGTTTCAAACATCAGTGTTTGTATTTCCCAAATAAATAAATGTATTAACAAGGAACACTATTAAATGTTACAAGGAACACTATTAAATGTTGTGTTGCATCCATATATTAGAGTATCGCGAAAATTGTATATTTTTTGGTTTGGTAATAGCGATATTTCAAAGTATAATAGAGATTGTATAATTAACAAAAAACATGATCAAATGAAGGCTTAATATTTGGCTATATTGAAATAAAACCAGTGCGTGGATTAAGTTCTATCAAACAAACAAATACAATCGTCAATTAATAAAGATAATTTGTGTTTAAAGAATGTCGATGATGCTCACAAGGTTAGTGAAAGGCGTCTTCCATAAATAAAGAAAATCTGGAACTAAAAGTGTTTTTGAATTTACCTAAACAGTAATATTTAATGTTTGCAGTTTGGCTGGCCTAATGTCCTCGAAAGCCAGTTTCATATCCTAAACCCTGCTGTTCCCAATGTGTTTTGCAGGCCTTGCGTTTGATTTAACGGAAAACAAAAAGTTTTTAACTGCTGTTTTTTCAAGCCATAGCGCAATTTTAAACATAGTAAAGCAGGCAAAACAGATTGTTATGACTGAAATGTCTTGAAACCGAAATATCTATCGTTCACGATTATATTTTATAATTTATGGATTTGTCAACGTTTCATAAATTCCCAATTTCAGTTGGGTGTTCTAATATGTAATTTGTTTTCATCCACATTTCAACTTCTAGGGCGTATTCAAGTATCTGCTTGACCTTAAGTTTGTTTGCTGGATCGTACTGAAATTTTGTAAATACAAATTAAACGAATTAATTTCTGCGGTGTATCTGTAATTTTTATTCAATAATCTTCCAAGTATCATGTCAAGAAAAAAGTGAAATTGAGTGTTCATGTGACTAGCATTTTCTTTAAACTAAGTATGTATATCCGGTCTGTTTAGTTTTATAGTGCATTTGTTGTAAAATCACTGTGTAAACGGGCGAAAATATTATAAATTGTACTTAGTATTTATTTCAAAAATATTATAAATCGTACAAGCCCATTGATTTGCAACAATAGTTCAGATTATAACCGTGGCGTTTGTCCTATTTATTATTAATTATTTATCATTGTTAAAAGAAGCTATTTTTAAAGTGTTTTATAAGATAGTATTTAAACGATTTCTCTAATGATGTGCATTGTTTTTGTTTCAGCATCCGGATATACGTTAGTGGGCCGGTTCTAAGGACAGTGTTTAAATAGTGGATACAGGCCTAAAAATTATATCTCTTAGGTTAGATTTTTGGTTTGTTCGCGTTTGAAGTGTTTTCAAGGGAGAAAGAAAGAAGTGTTTTATAACAACAATAACAACAACAACATCATCAACAACAACAAAATCAATTAATTTCGTTAGATAGTGGTTGAGGCCGGTACAAAACTTGTACACGGCCTGGATAGATATTAAAAAAGCAGGAGTCTTTCACATATGTGCGTCAAGCTAGGGCAAGAGTACGACAGAAGAACCGCGTGTGTCCAAACTGGAAACGACGTGTATAATGCGAGACGAGATTTCTGCGGCGGTTCTCTTTTTAGCCCGGCTCATCGGGAAAAGCGAAAACTTCGACAATGACCAATTAGAGAAATTCAAAGATCGCCTTTCTGAGTTGCTCACGGAACGATTCGAAAACCACTGGTTCCCTGAGAGGCCGGACAAGGGACAAGGATACCGGTGTATCAGGGTGAATGGGGTTAGCGGAAGAGATCCGACCCTCGAGAAAGCCGCCCTTGCTTGTGGAATTAAATATGAAGATATGAACCTTCCTTTTGAGCTTACCATCTGGGTCGATCCAAACGAAGTATGCTGCAGGTAAGGTTTTTTCAATTTAATTACAAGTTAAAACTTCATACTTTCCACTCCCGTCAAGTTTCATAGACATGGTCCCACTGTAGGATTGTTTTTTTTTTTTGCTTTTTTACTATCAACTGTTTTCGTCATAAACCTACTCCTAGCTAGCTCTTGAACTATTCAATTTTGTGGAAATCTAAAAATGAAATTGAAATGAGCGTGAAATTTCCTTAAAGAAGACACTCTTCTTTAATTAACTACACTACTAATTAATTACACTCTTCTTAATCTTTCAAAAATTGTTAAATTTAAAATTAGTTTTTACTAACTTCAAATTTAACAATTTTTTTAACAAAACAATTGTTTTAAACAATTAAAAAAAAACAACTAAATTTGCAACCTCATTGGGGAAAAAATTCACGGTATAGTTTGTCAAATTTCATAAGTACTTCTTCGTGTAATAAGTTTTCTAGCGGTATACCCTTTTCTTTAATTACATCGAAACAAAATGCAGAAATTTGATGCTAAATGGGGAAAAAGTGGTGGCGATATGAAAAAGGGAGAAAGGGGGTTAATTTAGTAATACAACTTTTTGTATTTGGCAAAATTTATTTCTCAACTTTAACTCACTAAAAATTAAAAAAAATTAACGTAATTTGGTTGTTTATGATGTTTATTGTCTCTCTTTTATGAATTATATTTTATTTATGCGTAGAATTTTTCATTCTTTTGGTGCTTTTTTATTAGTTTAAAATAAGTTTTTAAAAGTTTTGGTCTGGTTGTTAGCTATGTTTATTGTCTCTTTTTTTATGTTTTGTTTCATTTTTCTTTATTTTTGTGCTTTTTTTTCAAGCATGTTGAGAAATAATTGTAATTAAAGTTTGCCAAGTACAAAACGTTGAATTACTGTATTAACCCCATTCCCCCTTTTCACACCGTCACTACTTTTTCCCAATTTAGCACTGAATTTTTGCATTTTGGTTCAATGTAATTAAATAAATGGGTAAATCACTAGAAAGCTCATTAAAAGAAGTTTTTATATTTTCCAAGCTCTACCTTGAATTTTTTCAACGAGGTTGCAATTTTAGTTTTTCCTTCAAATTATAAATTTAGCAGTTTTTGAAAGATTTAGTTTTTGTTTTTTACCAAAAATTAAATAGTAAGTTCTAGAAGTATGCCTTCTGAAAGGAAATTTTATGCTCTGTTCAATGATTTTCCCCTCAAAAATGAATAGTTCAAGAGCTACGAGTAGATTTATAACGAAAACAGTTGATAGTAAAAAAAATTGAATATCTGCGAAGTATAGAGACGGTGTTATGATAAAATTGTTTTTCATTTCGAAAGGAAATATAATCAAATCAATTTCTTTATTTATTTAGGCCCTCTTCAACGTGGGTGGGGATAGCTCCCATTATTTGTTGGTGGGAAAAAAATGATTTTTTGGCATTTCATATTGTAAAAAACATTGTTTATCTGTGTTCTCGATTTTTCCTTCGTCGTAAAAGAGTACAAATGTTTCGGCGTTTCGTTCCTGTTGATTGACAAAATGTTTGCATGCTTGTCCTCCGAGGATTTTGGTGGTCAAGGTAAATGACCCTTCCACAATGATTTTTTTTACAGCTTCTCCCATCCAATAAAAGGTTTTACGGTATATTGGCAAACAATATCTTCCATATCATGGATATTTATATTTTAACAGCCCCATTATTCGGAAACGGTTGAAATAAAGTACGTTTAATATTAAATCATACAGATTTACGGGTATACTCTTATCAATTGTACTGCATTTTAAATATTAATGAATAAGTCAAACTTTGTACTTAAGAAAATGCCAGTTGTTATTTTACAAAACTAAACAACTTTAGTCATCCTATTGAGATTGTTATGATTTTTTGTAAACAGACCATTTCGAAAGGAATGATTTATTGAATGAGGATTTCCATTGGAAGTAAGTTATCAGACAAAATATGCTTCCTTAGCATTTAATAATAAAAAATAAATTTGAACATCAACTAGTTCTAAAGAGATTCGTTTAAACTGTTGATTTGGCAACACTTGCATATACAAAAGAGTGTTCGCTGCTCGCTTCGTTTTTCCTCATAAGTTTTTCAATGACTCAGCTGAATGGTATGAATTGGTGAGAACAAGCGGACCAAATCAGATTTGGTCAAAATGTCAACAGTCGATCGATTCGCATGTGGGTGTAGCCTCACATGCCATGATAAATGTTATGATTCTTTTTGCAGTTGTTTTAATCGCCGTAGTTTCTTACTTTCTCTGACCTTCGTAGAAAGTTGTTCGCCAAATGTCATTTCGTTTATGAGATAGCTTCAATATAACAACTTTCATAGCTTTTGCATATGAGAGCATATTTTGCCAGTTTTCGATACATCTCCTGCCTGATACTCTCTCGATTCCGTGCACATTTTAAATATTTAAATTACAATCAAATGTAGTTGGTCTGTGTAAACTTCCACTGTCGTAATAGTGGTAGTTTACTTCAAAGAGTCGGTACTTTTTTAATTTGATCTCTCTTTAGCAACCTTTACAACATTAAGGAAGTCTTTTGTCTTTTCCTTTCTTCTTCTCCCCCTTTTTCCCTTGGCTCACACAACATATCCTCCAACTAGGCGATTTTGTAACAAGAGGAAAATTTAAAATTGCGCAAGGGATCGTCTTACTTAGTTTTTCTTCTGCCGCATAACATCCTTCCACCTTTGAATGTCACTTATTTATGTGAATTAAATTTTAGTTTGGATTTTTCGAATGGTGGTATTTTGCCTCAAGAAATTTAAATGGACCATTGAAAATAGTGAGTAAAAATGGTAAGGGGGTCTTTCTGTGTCTATGGTTCCCTAAGATTTATAAAGCACTGCTTTTTCTCTGAAAGTAATGGTATTGCTCAAAAATGGTAACTTCTGTTATTAAATACAGATGTACAATACATACCAAAATTAATTTTAAAAACAATTTCTTAGCAACACACACGTGCGTTGTATTTTATGAGAAAAATGTTTAGACGAAGTACCAGCTGATAATGGTGTAAATGCGGTTAAGATGAAAATAAGGATGTGAAGTTTATAATGAATTAGTAATCGGAAGTAGTAATTAATATTAATCATGACTTCGGCCCTGGGCTATGCACACATCACCGGTCGCCGTCTCATAGTTCAGATATGCCGTAACGAAATAGTTACCCTGTAAAGTTAATCTTGATAGAGCAAGTTGTAATTGAGTAGTGTCGTCTACAGTGTTAACTGATTAACTCAGCCTAATATTATTACACAGTGACAAAAAAAAAACTATCGGTACGAAAGTGAGATAAGATTGAAAAGTTTGATTTCTATGGTTAAAATACGAGTAACTCTCGAATTTACTTTAAATTTTAAAGTTTTCTCTAAATTTGATTGTAATTATAACAACGGGGGTTCCATTGTAAGCATTTAAATTGTAATTTTGTCTTGTAAACAACAAGGTCAGAATTATTATTATTAAACAAACAAGAATCGTTCTTCTGTTATTGCCAGTTCTGTGTTTTTAAGTACCGTACCTAACGTATTTAGTAAATTAACCAACTGTAAAATTAACATAGTTATTTAGCCGTTTAATATCCGACACGAAGAGACGATGGTGTTTAAATTGTTTGTATTATTTAGACGAAAACATTTTCATTCATTATTTTTCCCGTTGCCCGATGAATTTCTCTTTAAATTAAGCTATATAAATGAATATAGGAAAATATACCAAACAACACGCGATAACTCTATCATTTGACTGATCAAGCGTCGTTATCTTACATTTGAAATAAATGGTTTTTTGTTTATTACGATATTAATTTTGTATTCCACATTGAATGTGGTTTCTTTTCGCACTTGTATATCAATTTAAGGGAAAACTAGAAACTTGTCAACGTTTTCTCAAGCTGTTTTAACCTAAGGCGAGACACTGGGAAATTCAGACCTGGAAGAACATTTTACCCATGGTCAATGCGTGTTTTTGATAGTTTTCCCATCCCATGTTTTCTTAACTTCTCGAGTCGAAAGGAAAAACATTGACAAAAGCGCCTTTTCACACAAATAAATATATAACGGCGACCAACTTTAATTTTTAGATAGTTTAAAGGATATTTTGATTTCTCTCCTAGTTTATTTGTAGTAAAAGCCTTGAACCATCAGCAAACTGAAGCTGTTCACATTCCTTGAACCCTCCCAAGGATCCAGATCAAAACCAACTATTTTTAGGACGCCATAGGTTTAAAACAGATGCTTTCAACCTGTCCTGTCTCTCCCTTTATAATCGCCCAGTTATAAAGGCGAAGGAACAAACTTTTCTTTTTCCCAAGCGCACCAAGTATAGACATTTAAAAAATCAAGCACATTACATAATAGTAATAATAATTTAATTATTGTTAGTTGATAGTTTCAAATAGTTTGGTATCAACTGTAATAACTGGGGTATCAAAATTGGACCGGGCGTCATGGAAATTTTCTTATTAAAATAAACACAAATGATAAATTTAAATGTACGTTTAAAAACATACTAGACATTTCAGTGGTAAATTTTGATGTATCGACATTATTAAGTGTGCGTTAAATTTTTTATCATCAGTGATTCATACAATTAGGTACAGTGCTAAAGAGTAATTGTAGAATTAAGGTTGCAATCTAAATAAAATGTTAAGTACGGTAATAATTCTGAGTTTTCCAGTCATTATTGTTTTCTTGATTGGATACAAACGAAGTATAAATGAATCATTTGAACAGAGTTGGTCTTACTCTTTTTTTCTTTAATTCAAATGGAGATTAACAGCCTTTGGGTGTTTTCTCCTCCCATTCCAGGAAGGAACTCAAAAAATCGATGGTTCCTTGGTTACTCGACGTTTCCTGGTTATCCCGGCTAAGAAACAGTTTCCACAAAAATTAGTGAATGAATACATCGTACGTTAACAGCGAAATTGTAAACACCTACTCTTTTTTCTTCTTCAGATTTCGCATTTGGTCAAAATTAATAAATTAGTCGCT